GGGGTTTTCGCATGTCACGCCGTATGTCAGAAACTATTTATGCTTATTGCATAAAAATTCACACACAAGACGACGGGCGTATCATGCGCTCATGGCGCAGCTGTTTGTTTTTCAATTAAATGATTCTGACATGATTGGAAATAGAAATCTTCAAAGGAAGGTGTAGTATATTTTTTATTGAAGTTTAATTAATAATTTTCAGAAAGAGCCAAACAAAATGCACATTTTCAACAACAAAAATTAAATAACTAGTTTTTATTTAAATTGGTGTTCATTCTTTATTGAGAAAAAAAAATAATCCTGTATTCAAATACATGTACACATACCTTACATTGTTAAATAGCAATATAATGGGGAATAAACAAATAAATGCCCAGGTTAGAGTTATGCATATTTGTTTATTGTTTCCAGCAAATTAATAATAATTGAAATTTAAATTTACCTAATTTATTGAATAATATCAGATGACTGTAACACTGATTTTACAAATAAAATAGACCCTCTTGCATTTTTTGTACATATTTGTTTTTTGTCTTTTCTTTGCAAAAAAAAATGCATCTTTTTAATCCTTAATCATTCATCTTTAAAACATTATGTGCAGAATAATTTTATTTAGTGTAGATCAAAAGTAATTATAGGTATACTATTGAGGTCATGTGTATTAAGTTAGCTGTGTAATAAAGTGTATTTGATTATGTAACACAAGAGATATTAACATTACACGGTGGAGTTGATTCCAATTAATACCCCCACCTTTGAGTGAAATTGTTTGTAAATAATGACAATTGTCTATCATACAGTATTAAATCAGTCCTCTTACTTGCCTAAGGAAAGAATTGGAATAATAGCATTTCAAATAAAATGCTTCGCCAAGCGCAGCCTGATACAACCGCAGAGGTCGAACCCTGAACAGTTGGGGCAAGTTTGGACACAATATTCAAGCTTGATAATGTCTGAATTTGGATTGTGATCAAATTCTTGACATAATATAGGTTTCTGACACAAAATAAATGTGGTCAAAGATCTTAAAAATTTGAGATGGGACATTTGATTTACCTAGTATGGTCTGATATCCAAAATCTAACAACATGGTTAGATTCAGCACATAAAAAAATACCAAAAATTTAATTTTAGTTGAAATCAAACAAAGTTTAATTTTGGACCCTTCAAACCTTAATATGGACTAATTTGAAAACAGGGCCCAAAATAAAAAATCTAAATAATAATAATAATAAATTCTTTATTTAAAGAGGGTAAACACAGTCAGTTATAATTACTAATCTTCCCTGAGGCCCTCATATACAATACAAGTAAAAAAATAATAATAAGAAAAAAAAAAGCAAACATACAACATATTAACACAATCGTATAAGTCATGATAGTTCAATGTACATGTACCATTACAACATATAAAACAGTCACAGATTGCATGTAGTAAATAGATATTATATACAAATCAAAATCATACATTCTAAAAAAGTAATAGTTGCAATCATTTCAAGACTGAATATTGGGACTGCCTCAAGTTTTATAATTTGTTTAAAAGAAAAAGTGTTTTGCACTTTACACATTTCATATGGTAGTCCGTTCCATAAAACTGATCCAGAATAAGCAAAAGATTTTTTAAACAGTTCAGTGTTTGGCTTAGGAATTATCAAATTACCTTGAGTAACACCCCGTAAAGCATAAGGATTATTAACAGATATAAGTTGAAACTTTTGAAGTAGGTACTGTGGTGCTTCTTTCCGCATACATTTATATAGCAGTAAATGCACAATAAGATTCAGCATATCATATCAATAATTCAGTTTTTGATGAAATCAAACAAAGTTTAATTTTGAACCCTTTGGACCTCTATGTAGACCAATTTAAAAATGGGACCCAATATCCAAAATAGTAATACAAGGTTAGAACCCCCAAAAATAAAAGACTTAATTTTATCCCATTGAAATTGGTTAAAAGATTTGTTAAATATTTTCAATTGAAGATTTCTTGCTTTTGCGCAATTCTGTGCTATTTCGCAATACTGTGTTGTTGCACAATACTTAGTTAATCTGTTATATATAATAATTTACACACCCTGTTTAGTGTATATCTCCTGCCATGTCAGTATTTGTTGCTTTTATATATAAATCAGAAATAATCAATGTAAAAATGGAAAATTTTTGGGAAAAAGAACCCCCGAAAAATTATGAAAAAAAAAATACCCCCAAAAAATTTGTTGGAAACTAGAAAAATGCTTGTTTTTGGCCCCTTTATTGCCCCTAATTTCTAAACGTTTGTAGCAATTACCCCCAAACTCAATCCCAGCCTTCCCTTTATGGTATGGAACCTTGTAGTACAATTTCAGAGAGGTCCATACACTTAAACACAAGTTATTGTCTGGAAACTAGAAAAATGCTTGTTTTTGGCCCCTTTTTTGCCCCTTATTCCTGAACATTTGGGGCAATTACCCCCAAACTCAATCCTAGCCTTCCCTTTGTGATATGGAACCTTGTTGTACAATTTCAGAGAGATCAATACACTCACACACAAGTTATTGTTCGGAAACTACAGAAATGCTTGTTTTTTTCCCCCTAATTCCTAAACTGTTGGTACCATTCCTTTTGTGGTATTGAACCTTCTGGTATAATTTCATAAGATATCCATTCTTTTAAACTAAAGTTATTGTCCGGAAAACAAATGTGTCTTTGGACGCGGACAACAACATGATAGCATTATAAGAACGCATTTTTTTTGCAGTTGTGTAAAAAGCGTGGTAATCAAAACACATCTTGTACCAAATTTTATTCAATAACTTATAACATAGACAAATGATACTGATAAAATACTTTCATAATTTTTATCAACTGATGAAATTTGATATATTACTTTTTCACATTTATTCATAAATAGTAATTTATTATAAATTTTGATTTACAAAGGAACCATATGCAAGTGTATATTTAAAATAAAGTAGCTGTTCGACCAATATTTTCTTAATTTAAGGGCAAATAACATGTCAAACTTTTGCTTAGTTTACATGTAATTGGTTGTGATTAAGTCAGTTTAAGGGGAACCACTAGCAGTAGGTCAAGAATATTTTGTATGTAGATGTACTATTATTGGCACATCTCATTTCCAGGGAGATTTTTTGTCGCCCCCTCCCCCCTTTTTTTCCCTCAGACATGGTTCATTGACTTCGAGACTTTTACATAGTTTACAAGTTAAAGTTTTTGTTATTTGTTAGGTTAGTTTAAGGGGAACCACTTGTGTTCAGTCAATGGTATTTGGTATGCAGTTTTATAAGCATTTCTATGGATGTTCAGTCATGGTTCATGGACTTTGAATGATTTGCATTGTTTACATGTTTAAATATTGCCAACATTTGCATTATAGTATCAAAATTACAAAATGCAAGACATACTTCTGTGTCAACAGTTTATTCATTGTTGCTTCAATTAACTGTTCCAAAATGCAAACAAAAATCAGGTAAGTTCCACCCAATTACGAAATTACAAAACTGTTTATGCCAATACATTGACTGAAATAAAAATGAAATAAGAATAGGTGATAAGGCTATGTAAAGCCTGTTTATTGAGTGTAACATCATAACTGCCTGTATTTAAAGGCTGTATGTTGGGAGTTTCATCATATTTTCCTGTGTGTAAAGACTGTGTGAACGTGTGTGATATAAATTTTAAAGTATATGCTATGAATTGTCTATTTAATGTTGAAAAAGTTAAATTTCTTCATTGCTGATATTAAGTTATGAGCATTGTACATTTTTAGTAATTAAAAAGTGTTCCTAAAAAAACAATAAGATTAAAACATACACATGTATATATTTTCAGAGTAATTATGTAAATTTTGGAAATATTTGTGAATTAAACCAGATTTTATATTATATAAAATTATAGCTTCCTCTTTGCTTGCTTTCTTATGAATTTGTTTTTTATAGCTGCCCTTATCTTTTTAAATCACTTTCATCAATTGATTTTAGTTCTTATGATTTATTTTCAATATATTTATATTTTCTTATCATCAGTTCTGTTATATTGGATCTTTTGAGAAGTACGGTACATGTAAAGTTGTTTTTCACTTAAAAACTGCTTTTCATGATGACTTTATAACATGCATACATGAGCAGGTAATAAAAATAATGAAAAAATGGCTGCATGGCAGCAACACTTGAAAAGTTTTACTTTGTATTCTTATGAAAATATCGTAAACTACATCTTCCTAGTAATGGTCTATTAGTTCCAATCATTATCCATAACATGATTGTTCTATTATAAATGTATAGTCTGAAGGTTTACAGAAGGAAACTATAGGTCAAGGTGTGGCCTTCAACAAAAGTTACAGTAAGTGAGCTATGTCCCAGATTTTGGTAAAATTTGTCAAACAACTTTGACCTGTTGAACTTTAATTAACTAAATATTAAAAAAGTAATGCATTTATCTCTTTTATTGTCTGAAATATTACTGATTCTTTCAAAATAAGTGAACATTTGTATAGAAAACACATTAAGTTAATGAAAAACATTATAATATATGTCTAAAAATCATCAAATCTCCAATTTCTAATCCAATGATTGTTCGTCAAAAATTTTGTTGTTGATAAACAAATTTCCATTTTAATAATGTATAATAATAATATGGTCACTGTCTCGTTTTTACTGTATACATCATTCAAAGTGAAGTTCTAGGTGAATAAATACCATAAAACACACATTGTGTTGTAAGCAGTAAAGCATCAATTTCTAAATGTTTTCTTACAACCAACTACGTAACAGATTGGTTTAAACACGAAAAACTAAGTCAGTGACCATATGATTATATAAGTATAATGCATTCCAAATTATAAACAGGGAAAATGTTCATACAAATGTAAAAAAAATTCACCTTCCAGAATAAAACCATGAAATAGTGAGAAACATGTAGGTAATCATCATTATATTTTTATTTTAATTTTAAATCACATCCAATTTTAACAAATATTTTTTATGTTCTCTTGTCTAGATTTCTTGACAGCAAAAGAAGATGGAGAGACATCACCAACATTTGATGCTAAAGACCATTTAAATAAGGCACTAGGTAATTACATGAAATTAACAACAATTGAAATTTCGTTTTAATGTATAAATCAGTACAAAAATGTATTGTTAATTTTCATATTTTCATTATTGTTGCTCATCAGTTGACTCAAGGAATACTTTTGGTTTTGAACATTTTTTGTTAAAAAACATGCACCTAACAAAGTTTAGTTATTTCTTTAAAAATTTGAAAATAGGCAGTATAAAAATAAGGAGATGAGGTATGATTGCCAATGAGACAACTATCCACCAAAGTTCAAATAAAGTGGATGTAAGCAATTATAGGCAACTGTAGGTTTATTAGTATTCGTTATAAATCATTGTCTGTACCTTATTTTCACAGTCATAAAATAAAATGGACTAAATTTTTCTGGATATTTATAATCTCCCACCAAGGAAAAGTTATTTGCTAGATGCTTTGTACAACATCTTCTAATGTTATTACTTTATTAGTATGCTGAATGAAATGTTTAAAACTTCAAACTTGTTTTTTTCAGTTAATATGTTCCGATTGATGAATGCTATAAGTCAGGAAAGAAGTGTAGGTCCACAAATCAGTTTCATTGTGTCATTTATAGAAGAAGCCATTAAATGTGGACCTCAGTATTCAAAAGGTATCCTACAGTTTATGCCTCCTCAAATGGTAAGTGTTTAAAATAAACAAACATGATATCAAAAAATAAAAATTAAAAAAGTTTATATGAATTTATCAGTTTTCCAATAAGTACCGTAAAAAGCTGGTAAATCAGAATTTAAATTTGTAAATTGTAGAAGTTTTAGAAAGTGCTTTAGCACATTATAAGTCTTTATTAATGTCTGTGATCTGACCAGATCCCACAGTAATACCAGTAATTCACAACTGGCAAGATAGTACTTCTCTCCAAAATATCATTTCGAAAACAGTGTTTGATCAGGGTTTAATCTTAAAAAAAAAGAACCCCAAAGAGTGAAATTACATGTACTGAGGCATTCCAAGTGTAACAGCATTGCTCCATGCTGGAAACTACTCCTTTGATAGTGTAAATAGAGAAGGAAATGGAGCACATCCTTTTGTAAAATCATGTGTCCAAAGTTTAACATTATATAAATAACATAGCTGAGAGGGTGATAGAGCAGATTGTTACCCCGAGAAAACATTGTCAACTGAGGCGAAGCCAAGGTTGACAATGTCTTTTTGAGGGGTAACAATCTGCTCTATCACCCTCTCAGATATGTGTTATTAGTCCCCTACCGACGAAGTCTGTCCATCCGTCAGTCCGGCAAATCAGTTTTCCACACTTTTTTTCTTTATTCTTGAAGATATTGATTTGATATTTGGTATATAGTTTTGCCATGACAAGTACTAGATCAAGTTCGAATTTTGTTCCGGTCTGATGATTTAAATTTTTTGGCAGGTTTGTTTGTTATTTTGTATAAACTAATTTTCTGAATGCTATATATATATAAAAAAATAATGAAGTAAAATCCTTTAATTAGATAATAATCTATTTTTATTAATGTATATATTACATTACATTGTGTAGATAAAAATTGTTGACATTTTATAGATAAGTTACAAATCTTTATTAGTTTGTGACAAATAAAAGAAAAAATATTTGGAACTATTAATTATATTTGATTATAATTTGAAATAGATATACACTGTATTACATCATATCTAATTTTAGAGAACTATTAATCATATCTAATGTTAAAGTGTTTTCCACACTTTTTTTCATCATGCTTGAAGATATTGATTGATAATTGGTATATAGTTTTATCATGACAAGTTATACAGATCAAGTTCGAAATTTTGTTTCGGTCTGATAATTTTGTGCAGAGTTATGGTCCTGGGACTTGAAAAATTCACTCATTTAATCAGTTTTCCACACTGTTTTTAGTCATGCTTGAAGATATTGACTTGATATTTTCTTTTTGTTTACACCATGACAAGTTATAGAACAAGTTAGCTTTTTGTTCCAGTATAATGAATTTTTACCCGGTAGGGGACTATGTATTGCCATGCAATACTCTCAGAATGCTTGTTTGATTTATTATACTGAATGTTCTGTTATTACTATCTATTAAATTTCAAATTAAAAGAAATACACTATGACGTCTTGTACATAACAACCATCCGTATTCAATAATGGGCACATTTGATCAAGCGTCTCCGTGAAGGGTAATAGAGTATTTGCCATGGGATAGAGTAAATTGTCTCCCTCTTATTAACCAATCAAAGTCTGGCATTTTGACATGAAGTATAATAAATTATAACATCTATTTTGCAGCTAAGTCAGATCATGAGAAACATGCCTGCTGTGTTCACCAATCAACAGATACTTCACATCTGTGACCTTTCAACCTTGACAGGGAGAAAGTGGGCTGCTAAGGCAGTGTGTCAAAATGCAAGATATAAACATGACTATATAAATATAGACAGGAACAGCTGAAAATTAGATTTGTTTAAATGTGGAACACACCAGCTTGATTTTTAATTAAGTATTCTGATCTTTCAGTAAAATGTGCAATGCCACTAGAAACTATCATTTGTTTCTGAATCATCATGATCATAGTGTATGACAAACAACATCTATACCAGAATGTGTTCAATACTGTTGTGAATTTATAATTATGTATGTAAGGCAGATGTGCATAATGGAAGTCATGAATATAGTATACTAGAAACCATATGGCCTCTTCCAGTACCAATGCAACATTAGAATAGTATTTTTTGTACCACTTTTGTATCCACTACTGTTCCTGGACAGAATTTTACAAAATTGTCACAGAATCTTGCTCTCATCATATTTGTTCTTTTGCACATTTGATTTCACTAAATCTAAATGATTTCTGGGGTCTCTCTGACATGAAATGGACTTGGTCATATCCTCACACTTTATAACACATTCATATCCTGTTCTCTTAAACCCACTAATCAGAATTTATTAAACTCTCAGAATCATCAGGTTATCATTTTATGAGCTGTGCTGACAGAACCTTTAGTTGTTACTACTTTGTAATGATGCTAGACCCTCTTATAAAGTATGGCATTAAGTAGGATGTACTTGAATAGATAAAATGAGTATTATACTTTCTATTTGAATGGATTTCAGTTCTGATTTGGGTTTTTAAGATCTCAACACATTTCTTCTTCAGACTTTTAAAAAGATGATTTTATTATCCTCATACATAAAAGAATTCAAGGCAAAGGGTTTTGTTCAGGTCTCTGCCAAAAAAATATTTATCAACAGGGAAATTGGAATGTTTGCACTGCAGAATTTAGAATTTGGTTACTTGCTTTTCAAACAAAATTATGGAAGAAATGATTTTTGTGATATCTGCTAAAAAAAAGTGAAATCTTGTTTTAAAAATTATTAAAGTTAAATTATGAATCTTTGCAATACATTTGAATAGGAAAAATAAGACAGAAGTAAAACTGAGTGTTTGCAGTATAGGAATTGGAAATTTGAATATCGAAAAGGGTATCCAACCTTGCAAAAAACATAATAGGTTATTTTGAGTTCCTTCACTCTGGCAAAGATAAGAACCCAAAACTGTTATATTAGCATTACTTTGATAAAATATTTGTTGAAGATTTCTAAATATTTATATTTGTGCTAAGACCAAAATGATTAGAATTCAACTCTTGTAACACAGTGTACATACCATTCTCAGGAGATTAATGTATTGAACAGTATAGCTTTCATGTTTCTTGTTGAAAAGATTTGTTTCTCTTTTAGATTTATGAAATGTCTTAAAAGTTAACATGCATTTGCTGCTTCAGAATCTGTATTTTGTGTGTATAATTGTACTATTGCAATAAAATCTTGACTTGAGTGTCATGAATATGAAATAAATGAAGTGCTACAGTTTAGTGTGTTCATTATTGTCCACTACCTGTGGTGAATATTGTGGAAAGTGAGATGAATGTAACCTTTTCATTGGCATCACAGTATCACCTGTTAACCCAAGATAACTGCCTCATTTGTCTCGTGGTAACTTGTTTTCCTAGAGTGCAGGTCATGGGTTTAAACCGAGGCCTGTTCAAACCAAAGATTTTATTGATATTGGTATTTTCTTCTCCTCCTCTAAGCATGAAGCATAAAGAGTTAGAGCAAAGACTGTTCAGCTCAGACTCAGAATAATGTGTCCAGGTAGGTTAACTTGTCTTCCTGTGGACTGATACTTTATGAACTAGCTTGTAAAAAATATTGCTCACCGTGTTTGGTCTAGTACAAAGCAGGTTAGTATTCATATTTCATTAACATGTTCTCCTCCTGAATATGTATTTAATTTGCCACTGGAAATTAAACAACCATTCATCATTCTTTATTCAAGTATTCATTGAAAATATTTTTTAAAGTGCACTGTGAACCTCGTTCTTCTATGTTATAATTAAACACACACAGAAATGAACTTCAAGGTGAATGAAAAATATAATACAAAATACAATGGTAATACAAGTGATTATATTTGTAGAAAAAAATGCAGCCTCCTGTAAGATGTCTCTTTGTCAAATACCAGAAATCTAACACTCCTTTGTCTGGTATTCCACTTTTGAAGCAGTTAGATTTTATACATTTTGAATATATACCAGTCATCACTGTAGCACTGATTATTTGAAATCTGTACATGATTTGTATTGAGTACTAGGATCAGAATGGAATGCTATCTGTATATGACTTCAATAAATAGTTACACCTTGACAGACCACTTTTGTCATGCTAACACACAGTTTATATGCTTTATTTGACAATATAATAATTATTATGCAACATCAAAGCATAAATCACTCTAACATGACAAATCTACAAACCAAATGCTTTAAATACAATGTATTATCTTTTCAACAATGAGATTTGTACTATGGTATATAGAACTCTGTGGCATTACAGAAATATAAATCGCAATAAGACACCAACATATCCATTAAATGAGTAGGTTTTCATATATATTTCTGTTACATCTGTTTTTTTTCACTTTACTCATGTGACAGTATTAAACTTATCACTTTCTTCACACTTATATAAGTTCCTGATTTTCCTTCAAACTGAATATTACATTTGCTAATGTATTGTAAAAGCTACAGTAGTTGTTATAGCCTTAAAGGAATTACTGTTCTATTGATGTTTGTTGAAGCATACAAGCCTTCCAATCCTGAGTAGACTTCAAGTCATATTGAATCAACTGTTTAAATTTCAAAGTTCAAAAGCAGGAAACCTGGCATTGGAAGGATCTAGTAAGTCAATTAGGAAATATATTGTTCCTGCCATACCTGTAACATAAATAACAATTCATTACCATAAAATTTCCTTTCATTCAGCATACAAATATATAGGTGCTCAAGGGTCACCTCTTCTTTTCCATATGACATTCATTTTTTTTTTTAACATGATAATGATCAATGTAATTACCATGATTGAAGATATATGTATCTCACTTGATTAAGCTATCTTGTTACAAATGAAACAAATCAGTGCAACATCTGATACAACTGATAAAAGGAGTAAGAGCAAAGACTGGTCAGCTCAATGTCAGAATAATTTGTCCCAGTAGGGTGAAATGTCTTCCACTGTACATTGACCTTGTGAACTAGCACATTAAAAATCTGGATCAGTGTGTCAGTCTAGTAAAAAGCATGGTTCTTATTCTTGTCCCATCTACATGTTCTTGTTCTAAATATGCATTTAATTTGCTGCTGGACAATAAACTGCCATCCGTCATCATCATCATTAGTTTCTTTAAAAAAAGATTTGTGCAATTTCTGATATGGTATATGGATTATGAACATGAAAATCAGTTTGACTTCCCAGTAAATGTTTAAAGAGCATAAAGATACTAAATCTTCACTTTGAACTAAAACAATTTTTATGAAATTGTACATAAAATGTCCATTGACTATAAACTATTTCAATTTAAGGATTCTTTTTCATATCGTATATGGTATGATGTTTTGAAACTACTATAACAATTCAGTCACCTTCAAATAAAGAGTATGGTGTATCTGCTATTCTACATCCATGTTTACCATAATCAATGCACCATTCGGCAAACTGAAATGAAAATTAAATTTTTGTGCACATTTGTTAAATGTAAAAAAAGGTACAAAATGCTTGTACCGTAGAAAGGCTTGTATAGTCCGCGGTTTTATTCTCCAAAATTGGACCTTCCAGACGGGGTGCGGACTATAGAGTACAATAAGCAAGAAATAAGAGAAAAATTTCAATTTCGCGGTCGAGGTGGTTTGTTTACGTTCCGCCATCTTTGTTATTTCTATTGTAGAGGGCGCTCTTATCATTTTTCAAACTAATAATTTTAACTCATCCATTTTAATAAGTTATTTTTATTCAATATCAAATTAATACTGATAAATATAAAAACTAAACCTTTCATTACAAATTTCTCGTTTCTTTTCAATGCATTGGTTGAAATAAACTGGTATCTGCTCGATTGAAACGATACAAACATAGTGAAAAAGACAACCGTAAACCAGCTTAGAATTTGTAAACTACAAAACGAAATCGGTTATTGTTCGTTCCGTTTTGGTGTTTCATACTGACGAATATGGTTTGTATAAGCTTAAGACCCTTCAAACATTAATGTGATAGATATATTAAAGACTGTTTTACAAAAGGATGGAACTGTTTTACTTTCAAAGTCGTATTATAGTGATATCTGTTATGTACGAATTTCGACTCTCACCGGTTAATTTCTTCTTTTACACGTGCTTTTTAAACTTCCTGTTTAAACATACACAAGTTTCTAAATTGTTTTTTAAGTGAATTAAACTTATTTTAACAATCATGAAGCGTTCTAGAATCATTAACAAGCAGTTTCAGCTTCTGTTTGATGATGGAAAACAGGTTTTTCCAAGAAAATACCGCAAACGACCGCACAGGATTTGAAATTACCGGAGTTTCATTAGACCTTTTCTAACAGTTACAAAAAGTTTTTTTACATAGAATTTCGTGGGGAGAAGGGGGTGCGGACTATGTACCACTGCGAACTATACAAGCCTTTCTACGGTACTCCTTAAGCATAAAATTCCTGGGTAGAATAAAAATTGAAAAATTGAACAAAACTACTGGAATTAAGGGTTTCAGGTTTGTTCCTTAGAGTTGAATATTGATAAAAGTACATATAGCTTCTTTGTATAGTATCTGCTTGTTTTTTTAGGTTCAGAATTCACTGATTTCAGAGAAACATGAAAGTAAAATATGAGTTCTCTTTTTGCATATTCTGTAAAGAATGCCATTGAAGATGAGATACATGTATGATATTCTGGTGGCCAGATACACACTAGTTGTTCTATTTTAAGATTTATTTGTTTGAAATATAAGTGTCTACTCTGAAATATCAGCAGCTCTACTTCAGAGTAGATTTAATACAGCAACACCATTAAAGTGCAGGCAGACATGATTTTATGTACTGACCTTAGTATAAATGCAAAGAATTCAATTGGCAAAGCAAAGTATCATTAAGTCTTGTTTCAAAATATAAATGGGCAAATTGATGTTAATGCCCTTATGACTATACACAATAGCTTACGGCGCATATTTTTTGTTGTACACTCATATACAAAGTGAGGAAATGTAGAGTTACATATATATAAAAAGGTATTTATCTCACACTTAGATTTAAATAAAAGCTTTCCATTAATGTTGTAAGCTTAATATAAGTATTTGCCTTTATTTTCCAGTTGGCACACAACCATGAAAGAAAATTCCAAACAAATTGTGACACCCACCTTATAAGCCTGATATAAGTATTTCTGGTCATTGGTCATTCTGTACATAGCCAGAAAGGCATAACCATTTCCAGCAGTACCATGACAGATTCCATATCCTTTCTTCAATATACCTCTCTCCCAAATTACAGAAGAACATCTCTTGGCTGCTTCTAAATACTTCTTATCTGAAAATAACTAATAAATGAAGGTAGATTTATGAGTACAAAATTATCCTAGACAAATTCAATTCCTTCTACCATTTATCTTTGTAAGAACCATAAAATTCCAATTTTTAACCGGATTTCCAATGGAAAATATTGATTATTAGTCCCTTGACGAAGTCGAAGGGGACTTTAGGTTTGCACTCTGTCTGTCTGTCTGTCTGTCTGTCTGTCTGTCTGTCCGTCCATCCGTCAGTCAGGCAAATCAGTTTTCCACACTTTTTTTCTTCGTGCTTGAAGATATTGATTTGATATTTGGTATATAGTTTTATCATGACTAGTTACAGATCAAGTTCGAATTTTGTTCCGGTGTGATGATTTTGTGCGGAGTTATGATCCTTGGACTTAGAAAATTCATGCAAATAATCATTTTTCTGCACTTATTTTTGTCATGCTAAAAGATATTGATTTGATATTTGGTATATAGTTTTATCATGACTAGTTACAGATCAAGTTCGAATTTTGTTCCAGTCTGATGATTTTGTGCAGAGTTTTGGTCCTTGGACTTAACAAAATTCATGAAAGTAATCAGTTTTCCGCATTTTTTTCATCATGCTTGAAGATATTGATTTGATATTTGGTATATAGTTTAACCATGACAAGTTACAGATCAAGTTCAAATTTAGTTCGGTTCAGATGATTTTTTTTTGGCAGAGTTATGGTCCTTAGACTTAGAAAATTCACTCAACTAATCAGTATTCCACATTTATTTTTGTTATGCTTGAACATGTTGAAGATATTGATTTGATATTTGTTATAAAGTTTACACCATGACAAGTTATAGATCAAGTTAGCATTGTGTTCAAGTACAATAGATTTTTAACCGGTAGGGGACTATGTATTGCAATGCAATACCCACAGAATGCTGATGTACAGTGGGCTGGCTGTGACTAAAAGAAGGTCAAATTCAATTTTCATGATTTTAGCTTTTATAGTTGTTGAGTTGTATACCTTTAAGTAGCAAAAAGTGATACTTAAGAGCTTTGTCTGTGCAATTACTTGAAAAGGCTTTGATGAAATCTTTTCAAATTTAGATATGTTGTTTCCTGTGACTAAATAAAGATCAAGTTTGATTTTAATGATTTTAGCTTTTATCGTTGTGGAGTTGTAGACCTTTAAGTAGTGAAAAATGAAACTTAGATTGATTTTGGCCTTTCCATTTCTGAACCCTACAAAAATTCATTTATTTTTATGCCCCTGCCGTAACAGAGGGGGCATTAAGTTCTATCCTTGTCCGTCTGTCCGTATGTCTTGAAATTGGTTTCCGTTCTCTAACTTTAGTTAGCCTCAACCAAATGTTAAGAAACTTATACACAATGCTTATTACCACAAAACACAGATCAAGATTGAATTTGGGTGGCGTCACTTTTACCGTTCTAGAGTTATGCTCCTTTACAAATGGAAAAATTGCTGAATTTTTCGTTTCCTTTCTCTAACATAAGTTTGCCTTAACCAAATGTTATGAATCTTATAAACAATGCTTATTACCACAAAACACAGATCAAGTTTGAATTTGGGTGGCGTCACTTTTACCGTTCTAGAGTTATGCTCCTTTACAAATGGAAAAATTGCTGAATTTTTCGTTTCCTTTCTCTAACATAAGTTTGCCTTAACCAAATGTTATGAATCTTATAAACAATGCTTATTACCACAAAACACAGATCAAGTTTGAATTTGGGTGGTGTCACTTTTACCGTTCTAGAGTTATGCTCCTTTACAAATGGAAAAATTGCTGAATTTTTCGTTTCCTTTCTCTAACATAAGTTTGCCTTAACCAAATGTTATGAATCTTATAGACAATGCTTATTACCACAAAACACAGATCAAGTTTGAATTTGGGTGGCGTCACTTTTACCGTTCTAGAGTTATGCTCCTTTACAAATGGAAAAATTGCTGAATTTTTCGTTTCCTTTCTCTAACATAAGTTTGCCTTAACCAAATGTTATGAATCTTATAAACAATGCTTATTACCACAAAACACAGATCAAGATTGAATTTGGGTGGCGTCACTTTTACCTTTCTAGAGTTGTGCTCCTTTACAAATGGAAAAATTGCTGAATTTTTCGTTTCCTTTCTCTAACATAAGTTTGCCTTAACCAAATGTTATGAATCTTATAAACAATGCTTATTACCACAAAACACAGATCAAGTTTGAATTTGGGTGGTGTCACTTTTACCGTTCTAGAGTTATGCTCCTTTACAAATGGAAAAATTGCTGAATTTTTCGTTTCCTTTCTCTAACATAAGTTTGCCTTAACCAAATGTTATGAATCTTATAAACAATGCTTATTACCACAAAACACAGATCAAGATTGAATTTGGGTGGCGTCACTTTTACCTTTCTAGAGTTGTGCTCCTTTACAAATGGAAAAATTGCTGAATTTTTCGTTTCCTTTCTCTAACTTAAGTTAGCCTCAACCAAATGTTATGAAACTTATACACATTGCTTATTACTACAAAACTTAGATCAAGTACAACTTTTGGTAGTGTCACTTTTACCGTTCTTGAGTTATGTCCCTTTATAAGGTTATATGCAAGCAGTGGCATCATCTGTGTCCCATGGACACATTCCCCATATATTTTCACTTCATCCTGTTTGGGGGTCCAGATTTACAAATATCATTTTCATGCAGGAAAATCCAGTTTGCTGTCAATCTGACAGCCTCTTGTTGATTACGTAGTAAAACTAAAGGCTCTATTATAAAGAGCCTGTGTCGCTCACATTGGTCTATGTGCATATTCAACAAAGGACACTCTCCAATGTTGTAGACAGGAATAGAATTCATGACAAAAGTCTGTTTTGTTGATCTTATATTGCTGATAATTTAGCCTATTTAGTTTCTGTCTATCTTCTTTAGTTATTGCTCAAAACACAATAGAGAATAACAAAAATCCTCATTTAAGGGCAATCACTCCTATAAAGAGTGACAGTCTACTTAACTATATCGGCAAAATTTGACTTGTTAGTAGATCTTGACTTGCTGATCATTTTTGTGATTTAAAGTGTATCTTTATCTGTTATAATTTTCTATCATATATGGCAAAATGCAAAAAAAAAAGTGAAAATCGTCTTTAAAGGGCAATAACTCCAATAAGGAGTTGTCTGACCATTTCCTCCATATTGTCTTCATTGTAGATTTTGTTTTGCTGATCATTTTTGCCTAGCTAAGTTTCTATCTGTCTATTATAATCTTAAGATATAAGGCAAAAACACAAAAAATTGGTCAAAATCATCATCAAAGGGCAATAACTCTAATAAGAAGTCAATTGATGATTTCGACCATGTTGACCTATTTGTAGAACTTGTCTTGCTGATCATTTTAAAGTTTCTCTGTATCTATTATAGTTTTCAAGATAGTAGGCAAAAATGAAAAAAAATGGTAAAATTTGTCATTTAAGGGCAATAACTCCTATAAGAAGTCATCTGACAGTTTTGACATGTACGGACAATTGGTAGAGCTCAACATTCTGAACATTTTTGCTCTTGTCAAATTTCTCTCTTTATAATGATTTTCAAAATAGACAAAACTTGCAGTTTACCCCCTATGTTCTATTTTTAGCCATGTTGGCCATGTTGGTTGGCAGGCGGGGTCATCAGATACATTTTTTTAACTAGATATCCCAATGATGATTGTGGCCAAGTTTGGTTTTATTTGGCCCGATAGTTTCAGAGGAGAAGATTTTTGTAAAAGTTAACGGACGACGACGACGGACGCCAAGTGATGAGGAAAGCTCACTTGACCCTTTGGGTCAGGTGAGCTAAAACAAGCTACTTCAAATGCCTTTCAGAAAAAAATGTTCTCTTTTGAAATAAATACACTGATGACTGTACCTGATATCTTTTTGTCAGTCAAAGAAATTTTCAAAACATCATCACAGTTAAATTTGTTATTTGGTTTCCCAATAATCTTTCCACTAGAGATAGGAAAGATATGGTCCATAGGTTTAAGAGAAGAAATTGAAAGCTGACCATTTAGAATCAAGTATACCCTTTGGTAGCCACAAATTTCATCCACTCTTATGAAATAATTAAATATAAAAAAAATCATTATTTTTCAGGCAAATTTTGTAAAGATTGTAAGATGTACCATGCTATTGCTAATAGAATTCAATGGAAACCTGTATGACATCTGGTCCACCAAATCACCACAAAGTGAGAATTCATTGTAAAAAGTCTAAAAATTATTATTTCCACCAGTTTAGAAAGATTAATTGGCCCTTTAGGTTTTTAGCCCAGAGGAGAAAAAAAACCCACTGAACTGTCCATTTAAAATCAAATACATGTATTGCATTTGGTGACCATGTTTTTGTCCAATCATAACGAAATACCAAAATCAGAGGTTTTTGAAATAACGCTTGAGATCAAAGGTTGATAACTTATTTTAGGTACCCTTGAGATCAAAAGCTTTGGAAGCCAAAAATATAAAATATTTAACACCATCAAAACCCAAAAAGCCTAACACAACAATTAAAACTGTCAATGGTCAACTTTGTCAGAGGGAGTTGCAACCTTAGTTCCAATACGATAACATAATTTATAAATCAAATACTTTCAATCAAAATGTATTACCTGAACCAATCCATTAGCAACATGAGCAAAGCACTGACTACTGGGTGGATGTCTAGGCTACATAAAAATCCTTTATAAGTAAAGTTCAAAAGATAACTTTTTTATCCTCAATGAAGAAACTAATTTTCTTAATACATGTTTTAAGTAATGTCCATTTACTGATGTGTGTATAAAAATCCTCATCTTGAAATTTTTACCTGGTAAGCTTTAATAAACATGTAAATCCAACCAGGGGCACCATGACACCAGTGTATCAGCTTGTCACCTGAAGAACTCCCAATTGATGAGGGACAATTCCCTGACGGAAACTGTAATGACATCATCCAATCAACTGTTGGTCGAACTAAAGTTTGTAATGTGTCATTGAAAGATGGATCTTTTATCTGTGAAAAAGATGTATGCATCCATTGTAGATTCAAAATAAAAACAGGAACACACATGCTGAAAAGTCTCACCTGTTTTACCAATCATGATTGAATTTTATGTTGAAAGTTTTAAAGATCAAGTTTACTACAGGTATCACATATAAACTTAACATTATCATGAAAATAATGTCAAGGTCAAATAAACCCTGGCAGGCAGATATTACACTTTACATTTATTCCATATATATATATACCAAATATAGTTGTCAGACCTTTTGCCTATAGTATCTGAGAAATGGACAATATCACGAAACTTAAATCCAATAAACCATGAAAACTATGTCAAGGTCAGATGAACCCTGCCAGATGGACATGTACATCTTACAATCAAACTATATACATGTACCAAATATAGTTGAAAATATAGTTGACCTATTGCTTGTAGTACCTGAGAAACGAACCTAATCACAAAAACTTAATATTGACCAATGAACCATGAATAGAAGATTTAAAGGGCTAAACCCTGTCAGGCGAATGTGTACACCTAACAATAATTTCATACACCAAATATAGTTGACATATTACTTATACATGTAGCATCAAAGGAATAGACCTAAACAGGAAAACTTAACTTTGCTCACTGATCCATGATACCAGGTCATGGTCAGAAGAATCCTCTCTGAAAGACATGTATAACCTTGCAATTTTTCTATATACCAAATATAGTTGTCCTATAACTCATAATAACTGAAAAATAAACTGTTGACACAGAGAGATGTCTCGCCTGTCTGCATAAAATTCAGAAAAAGACAATCTGATGGACAGCAACATGATTTATTAATTCAGTCACAGGACCATTATCTAGTAGGCAGGGCCTGAAAATAAGCATCAAACTGATATGTACTGATAGTAATGCAACTTTATACAAAATATCATTGATCTATCACAAGTAGTTCTTATCAAACTGACTTAAGCAGAAAACTCAACATTGAAAATTGCTAATTAATTCAAAGTCACTGGAGCATGACCTAGGGGGCAGGGCCTCGAAATAGCCGTCAAAACTGATATGAACTGATAGTAATGCAACTTCATACAAAATATCATTGATCTATCACAAGTAGATCCTATCAAACTAACTCAAGCAGAAAACTTAACATTGAAAATTGATAATTAATTCAAAGTCACTGGACCATGATCTAGGGGGAGGGCCTCAAAATAGTCATGAAACTGATATGTAGGGATAGTAATGCAACTTTATATTAAATATCAATGATCTATCACAAGTATTTCCTATCAAACTAACTTTAGCAGAAAACTTAACATTGAAAGTTGCTAATTAATTCAAAGTCACTGGACCATGACCCTGGGAGCCTCGAAATAGTCGTCAAACTGGTATGTACTGATGATAATGCCACTTTCTATTAAATATCAATGAACTATCACCAGTAGTTCCTATCAAACTAACTTAAGCCGTCGCTGCAAAATCAATCCCTATGTCTCGCTTTCCGCGACTTTCGTCACAGGCGAGACAAAAAACCACTTGACAACTCTATAAACATGCAAATGAGGTCAAGGACAACAGACAAATGCTTAACAGAATCTTCATAACATAAGGCATCTGTTTAAATTTAAAGCTTTTTGCAAAGAGCTAATTCTGCTACTGCTAGATTAGCATCCCTATGTCTCACATTGTACAACTTTTGTGCCAGGAGAGACAATAAAGAGCTGCCCATGTGTGCATGATACACCTGTCTCTTTTTCATCAAATAAAGTGCCATAACTCCTCAATGTCATATAAACTGTTATCACAGAGACATGTCTCGCCTTTTTGTAATTTTGATAATGCAAATGTTGAAATTAAAATAGCAAAACTTTAACATGTAAGTTATGCAAATATTCCAAGTCGATGAACCATGACTGAAGGTACATGGCTAAACAATCTCCATGGAAATGAGATGTGCCAATGCTAGTACAACTGCATACCAAATACCATTGACTTATTATAAGTTGCTCCCTTTAAACAAACCTAAACACAAACATTAACTTGTAAACTATGTAAAAGTTTCAAAGTCAATGAACCATGATGAAGGGGTGGGGCTATATAATCTCCATGGAAACGATACTTGCAAATGCCAATAAATTTGCATACCAAATATCATTAACATAACATAAGCAGTTCATCTTAAACTGATCTAATCACAAACTAATACATGTAAACAAAGCAAAAGTTTCAAAGTCAATAGACCATGACTGAGGGGGCGGGCCAAATATTCTCCATGGAACTGAGATTTGCTAATGCTTATACAACTGAATACCAATTAACATTGGCCTACCACTAATGGTTCCCCTTGAACTGACCTAATCACAAACTAATACATGTAAACTAAGCAAAATATTTTCAAAGTCAATAGACCATGACTAAGGGGGCGGAGCCAAATAATCTTCATGGAAATGAGATATGCCAATGCTTTAACAACTGCATATCAAATATCATTGACCTACCACTAGTGGTTCCCCATAAACTGACCTAATCACAAACTAATACATGTAAACTAAGCAAAAGTTTCAAAGTCAATAGACCATGACTGAGGGGGCAAGGCCAAATAATCTCCATGGAAATAAGATGTGCCAATGCTAATACAACTGCATACCAAATATCATTGACCTACCACTTGTGGTTCACCATAAACTAGACCTAATCACAAACTAATACATTGTTGATGCCGGAAACAGCATACCTATGTCTCGCTTTTTGACTCAGTCAAGGCGAGACAATAAAAATAGATTATGAATGATTATGAGTTGTTGACCTTGTTGGTGAATGGTCACTTGATGTTGAAATTAGGTAAGTTTTCAGTTACTAATGAGTAATTGGTCAACTGAGCAATTCAAGCAATAAATAAGACACTTGCTGAGTCTGATACCACATTACTTGAAGAATGACTCATTTGAATGGTATTTTACTGGAATCACAAAAAAGTTTTGGATTAATTTTGAATTGACATGCTTGAACCTCAACTTTTGTCTTTTCACATCGATTTATTGCAAAAGAAATTATACTTTTCCATAGATTCACTTGAAGATTTCCTGTCCATTTAAACTTTTGTAAGTTCTCTTGTCTCACCTAATGAATACAATAGCTATTGTTCTCTGTGGAGTTTATTCAATGGGACCTTTAAATTTCTTCTAAGAGAAATCCATCACTAATTTATTAATTTACCTGAACAAAAAATTTAACTTTCAATGATGAAAATACATGTACCAATATACTAAAAGGACACACAAAACTGCATGTGATATTGTATTTATTCAATATCAATGATATATTTTCAATTTGTTGAGTATAAACATGGATTCAACCATTAGAAGTTGCTTTCAGACAAAATTTTAAATATTGTACCTATTGAATTCATTTTTTTGTGTTTGACAAATAAAAACTGGAAAATGAAGATGCTAAATTAAAGCCTTCTGTAAATAAACAAACACTAAAAAATGCAAATTTCAACAGGAACAATGCTAAAAATTTTGTCAGAAATTAATTTTTTATAATTAAATCAGTGTTAATATTTAAAAGATTAAAAATATATCATTGATATAGAATAAATACAACATCACATGCAGTTTTTTGAGTTTATATATGTATTTTCATCTACTAAGAAGAACATTTTTTGGTCAGGTAAATTAATCAATGAATGATGGATTTCTCTTACAAGAAATTTAAAGGTCCCAGTGAATAAACTAAACAGAGAACAATAGCTATTGTATTTATTCAATGGGACAAGTGAACTGACAAAAGTTTAAATACCTTGACCAAGAGGAGATGACTCTGTGGAAAACTTTCATTTGGGTTTCAATAAATAATGACAATACTTGAACTAATACACAAAATTACCATAAATTCATTTAATGCCAGAAATTGGCTTATGTACATTTATCCTATTCATTTCATTAAAGTTATCTTCATGAAATGTATTTAGAATGATTTATAAATAAATAGTTGACACCATTTTAATGAGTTACAAATATAATGTGAATTATTTAAATTAATTTATAAAAACCTGCATTAACAAATACAGAATCCCAGCAATGCCATGAGCTGCTCCAAGATATTTCTTTTCATGCCACTCGTACATCAGGGGACAGTGACACTGTTCCTGTTGTGACAATCTCCTTCCAGAATCTATAATCGAAGATGCCACCTGAAAATCATATTTACACTAGATATACATAAATAAAAGGTAGATCAATGTATTAGATATTATTATCAATTTTTCAATTATAATATTGATACAGTCTATAACCTTGAGTAACTCAAAAACAGAAATAACTTTTTTGAGATAATATTGAACCATGTATATGAAGTATATGAATCAGACGTCTCTGCATGAACTCTTTAGACTAAATATCTTGACCTATTTCTGATACCAGAGACAATATAGCAATTAGAAAAATTACTCAATATACAATAATGCCTCACTTTCTATTAATCACATAACATATCTAAGTATCTCAACTATCAAACGCTAAATTTATCAATGTGAAAATATAACGAATCTTGTTTGTGGACTATATATATATATATATGCTTGTTTATCCTTATAAGTACTTAACATATATTTGAAAATATTTTTTAGGTCATAAATTAATTAATTAATTAAAGCATTATAACTTCAATCGAACTCTGTGAAATAAGTTTTTAAATGAAATAATTTATTGTTCTCATTATGTCTGTGTATGTGTAGAATGTTAGACTTTAATATATTGTACGTTGTTGTGTGGAGAGGACATACATAGGCTTATACAACATTATAGTAGCAATTGTTAACATACAATGTAGCTGCCAAAAGAGTATTACTTTTAATAGTGACTTCTGATGCAGACAAGACAAAAAGGAAAATAATGCACTCAATTAATTTCAAATCTAAAACAGTTTATAATTCAAAAGTGAGTACCACCTTGCTGATGAGGGCATTATCTACTACTTCTTCTCCTATGTGATGTTGAACATAAAGCAGAGAATACAGATATCCAACACGCCCATTTAGTGCTTCATCTGGCAGTGATCTATCAGTAAATACTGTGCCATGCAACCCCGCAAGTCTGTACGTAATAGAAAATATAATTATGATAACCCCATTCTCTTTTTCCCCAACCTTTTTTCTTTTAAAAAAACAATTTACTGAAGTACTTGTTTTGCAATTATAAAATGTTGGAAATGTAGATGCTGTATGAATAACTAGGAACTTAATGATAAACTTTAAAAAAAAACATACAGACATGTACAGCTGCTAGTTGACTATATATCTCTGACAGTATCATCAGCTTAGTAACATGTACAGCTGCTAGTTGACTTTATATCTCTGACAGTATCATCAGCTTAGTAACTAGTCAGCTTAGTAACATGTACAGCTGCTGGTTGACTATATATCTCTGACAGTATCATCAGCTTAGTAACTAGTCAGCTTAGTAACATGTAAAGCTGTTAGTTGACTATATATCTCTGACAGTATCATCAGCTTAGTAACTAGTCAGCTTAGTAGCATGTACAGCTGTTAGTTGACTATATATCTCTGACAGTATCATCAGCTTAGTAACAAGTCAGCTTAGTAACATGTACAGCTGCTAGTTGACTATATATCTCTGACAGTATCATCAGCTTAGTAACTAGTCAGCTTAGTAGCATGTACAGCTGTTAGTTGACTATATATCTCTGACAGTATCATCAGCTTAGTAACAAGTCAGCTTAGTAACATGTACAGCTGCTAGTTGACTATATATCTCTGACAGTATCATCAGCTTAGTAACTAGTCAGCTTAGTAACATGTACAGCTGCTAGTTGACTATATATCTCTGACAGTATCATCAGTAACTAGTCAGTGTTTCGGTACCGACATGATTTATAACATATATACCTTTCTCAAAATTGCCTGCTTATAAATTTATGAATTATTAAGAAACTAAGGTTCAAACTCCCTAGGGCAAAGTTGACCTTAGATGGATTTGGCTATTATTTTTAGATCCCTTTTGGTCATAAAGCTCTTCGTGTGTTTCAGTCCTTATACATCCTTGTCTTTCAAATATTTGGCTTTGAGAGTTTCTGATGAGGGCAAATCCAGAATAATGCTTTGAATGCATAAAATTCATAAAAGGTTCTTTTCATTTTTTTGACACTATGAATGATTAGTAATTAAAGGAAATATTCCAACAAACATGACAAAAGTTATATTCAGTTATGAAAATATTTTTTATTCTAATTTTTATGCCAAAAATTTTGTTTCCCTTCAAAATCAAATGGATGCGTGCCAGTCTTGAAGTATGGCACTTAATTTTTCTTATTAGGTAATTGTCAATTTCTTTTGGGTTGATGAAATTAACTTTAAATGCCATGTTTAAATATATCTAGCTTTTGAAAGCTTATATGACATTATCTCAAGTATTTACGTTTAATAGCTTATTAAAAATATGTATGTATTAAAGAAATATAGTTAGGTCTAATAAGTGTATAGCATAAGATCACATATACTTAGTTTTTACAATTATAGCAGATCCAGATTTGTAAAAAAGGAAACACACTGTTATGGAAAAAAAATACATAATAAAATTAAATGTCTGTGTGTTAACTATAATTTCTTCTTTCTAAGGGGGAACCTAGACCCTCTACATTGGCATTTAAATAATAGAATTTTCCATTCACTCAGCTTTTATATTATTGAGATCTGTGCAAATTTTAATTGAGAAAAATATTACCTGTCAAGACAAGATTTCCTGTCATCTTCATGTCTCAACATGTGATTTATTACAGCACCAATAGCTAAAGGGCCTGCATCCCCACACAGAAAAGTATATTTTCTCCCCTTCAAATGGCGAAGAGGTCTTTTTAAGTACTGTAGCCCTGTTTGTAAATACTGTTGGCTACCAGGCACAAGTTTGTTTTGTAGATGGATATAAAGAAGTGCAATGCCTGAATAAAAATAAGAATGTTAAATAATTTGATTGGCAATTGTAAATACTACTGTTGTTTTTTTAATGAAGATTTGGAGATATATTCATACAAATCAATAAGAAGGTAAAAAATCTTTTTTGATTTGAACTAAAATGTTACCCAACTCCTTCTGCTAAAGAAATGTAATGTAACTGTTTAACAATCCTTGCGACTCAAGTACTGTAATGTTGTTGTTATATGGAAAAGAAAGGATATGGTGCATCAATTCATTATACATTATCACTATGAGCACAAGGAAAAATAAATGCAAAGGAACATTGCTTTATTGATTTTCTTCATCTCAAAGAAACAGTGTCACCTCTAATATGGAGCATTAATACTCTAACTGTAATTTCATAATGGCCCCTAGTATTTTTTATGTGGAATTCTTTACTAGATGTCAATCTATAGATACATAATGCATTAATTGAAATCTTCACTAGCTAATAAACTTGATACAGATATTGACTTGTAAGCTATAAAAGTTTTACTTTGAAATAAGAAATAATTGACAAAATGGTAATAGCTAGAGTGTATACCTCCAGTTCCTGTATATACTGTATAGTTACTGTCATCTTCACTTTCCAATCCTCTATATAGTTTTTCTAATAATTTATTGATGGCTCTTTGTACATTTTCTTTCAGTTCTGATTTCAACTACAATGTATAAGCAATATTAACACCATTATCATGTTAATACAATTGTATTACTACATACTTACAAAAATGTCAGAGAAGCAGTTTCCAAGAGAAACTGTTCACCTGTAAAATTTTGCATATGTCTTAAGATAAGGTTCAGTGTTTGGTACAATGGTAATTATGTTTGAAGTCTTTCTCACTGATACAATGCACATGTTTCGTTGTCTTATCCAAACCTCTAACCCTTTTTCCATAATACAACACTAGATACATGCAGGTTTGATATTTATATGTAAGTTTAGTTTGATTTATTTCCCTTGAACACCATGTTGGGGATATACATGGTTGAATTACGAAATTAAAACATGTAATTATAAACAAGTCAGATTAGAGATTCTTCATTATAAAAATAAAGAGATGTGGTATGATTGCCAATGAGACAACTATCCACCAAAGTTCAAATGAAGTTGATGTAAGCAATTATTAGAGATTCTTCATGTCCGGTAAACCATCAAATCTCAACCAAATGGTTAAGCGAGAAAAAACTTTGCTGGGACTTCCTGTTGAGCTTTTCTGGCATAAAATATCAAAAATATAGATAGGGTAGGTTGACTTTCAATCAATTTTATTGCCAATCTGTGATTTTTTTGCTAAATCAGGAGAATGTCATGCCATAGATAACTAAATGAGAGCTTATATATAATTGTCCTGTTTATTACTTGGACCCATGTTATTTATAATAAAATGACATCGAAATGACTTTTCTCTGCAGGTAAATGCAACAAGCACAGTTTATTAACTTTAAGCTAAATATGTTATAAAGTATGTTGGATTGAGATTGTCTGATATCTGTTGCGATATTCTGGAACAATGTTGAGATCTTCTCTTGAATAATACTTTCAACTAGCCATGTGTCAATCGGTTTATGAAGGTCAAAATTCAGGATCCTGCTGTATAGTGATTGTCATTTTAACTTGTTTCTAGTTGAAACATTAGTTTTTGTGTCTAATACAGAGGTATCCGGTCGTTCCGTCCCCAAACCTATCCGGCCCCAAGTCGATCCGGCCCAAAGTCGATCCGTCCCAAGTCGATCCGGCCCACGTCGATCCGTCCCTAAGTCGATCCGGCCCCATAATAAGATATGAATAAACTATATTGACTTTGGAGGATTTTGTGACAAATTTTAACAGTATAAATGGAATTTGTAAAAATGATGGATGACAACAGGTAAGTGAAGTATTGGAGTACCAGTCAACGAATTATTTTAAATCGATACGAAAATGAGTGTGATTGTGTCTGTTTATATAGCAGCGTCAACATATTGATATGAAGTTATTTTCCATGATAACTTTGAACGTCATGGCGATTTTTATTTTATTTAATTCACACACAGAAATGCTAAATAAATATTTAACTCATCATATTGACTTGTTTTATCAAATCATTAGTCTATAATCGGTTTGTTTATTCAACAATTGTCTAATGATTGTGAACTAAGGTAATGCCACTCGTGATCACTTAATTCAATCAAATCCTGATTGATTAAAGTTACGCAATCACTCGTCTTTATAGTTTGATCTTTTGTTTGGTGTTATGTGTTATAATAATTAATTGTATTTTTTTTCTTCAGGTAACATAAGAGGCTTCTATAACACGTTTTTTTTTTTTTTTTTTTGTAATATCGAATATAGTCAATATATATTTTTAAAGTTGACAATATTTTGAATAGTTGTGTGTAGATAAAAAACAAGTTTTATGAGTATCCATTATTCTGTATTGTAAGATAATAACAAAATAATTACACCCGATGCACATGAAGATCACATCTATTTCTTCATTTACCATGCGTCAGTAGAGATACTCCTATAAAGGAATTTAAAAAAAAGTAAATATCTATCTTTATAATGTAAAATACAAATATATAATACAAAAAAATAGAATTTATAAGCTTTTTACCATTTTACACCTGAAAAACACGCAAGTTAATATTCCCAGATTTAAAACACAAGAGTGCACACGCTGAAATGTCTCGCCTTCTTTACTAATCATTGATATTATGTTGATAGTCCTAAATATAAAGCTTTATTACAAATATCACATAAACTTAACATTAACCAAGTAAACTAAACATTGACCAATGAACCATGAAAATGAGGTCAAGGTCAGATGAACCATGCTAGGCAGGCATGTACAGCTAACAATTCTTCCATACAACAAATATAGTTGACCTATTGCTTATAGTTTAAGAAAAACAGACGAAAACACAAAAACTTAACACTGAGCAATGAACCTTGAAAATGAGGTCAAGGTCAAATAAAACCTGCGTAACTGACATATAGATCATAAAATATTTCCATACACCAAATATAGTTGAACTATTGCATATAGTATTAGAAAAAAAGACCAAAACTCAAAAACTTAACTTTGACCACTGAACCATGAAAATGAGGTCAAGGTAAGATGACACCTGCCAGCTAGACATGTACACCTTACAATCATTCCATACACCAAATATAGCTGACCTATTGCATGCAGTATTAGAAAGAAAGACCAAAACTCAAAAACTTAACTTTGACCACTGAACCATGAAAATGAGGTCAAGGTCAGATGACACCTGCCAGTTGGACATGTACACCTTACAGTCCTTCCATACACTGAATATACTAGACCTATTGCTTATAGTATCTGAGATATGGACTTGACCACGAAAACTTAACCTTGTTCACTGATCCATGAAATGAGGTCGAGGTCAAGTGAAAACTGTCTGACGGGCATGAGGACCTTGCAAGGTACGCACATACCAAATATAGTTATCCTATTACTTATAATAAGAGAGAATTTAACATTACAAAAAATCTGAACTTTTTTTCAAGTAGTCACTGAACCATGAAAATGAGGTCAAGGACATTGGACATGTGACTGACGGAAACTTCGTAACATGAGGCATCCATATACAAAGTATGAAGCATCCAGGTCTTCCATCTTCTAAAATATAAAGCTTTTAAGAAGTTAGCTAACGCCGCCGCCGCCACCGCCGCCGCCGCCGGATCGCTATCCCTATGTCGAGCTTTCTGCGACAAAAGTCGCAGGCTCGACAAAAACTATATACTTTTTTCATATTTATGGTTTAATGATTTAATGATGAAAGCAAAGACAAAAATATTTAAGACTTATATACAAAATTACAGTTTGATTATATTAAAGCAAAAAGTGAAAATAGAAACTTACCGAAACTTGTAATGAAAACATAATCAACATAGTTGTTTTAAACTCTTTTAAAGAAAATATTTGTCAAAGGCCAATTTTTTTTTTACCGTACACCTTTTACATTATAATAAAATTCATAAACATTTATGAATTACAATTAATATATATCTTTATTTTTAATCCTCATAAATATATTTTTTTATTGGGCCGGATCGACTTTAAATATGGGCCGGATCGACGTTGGGCCGGATCGACGTGGGACGGATCGACTTGGGCCGGATCGACGAGGGGCCGGATCGACATGAAAGCAATACAGATACTAGAGAGTTGTGGTTTTTAAAGTCTAGCAAACAAAGACATGAAAGATGTAAAGTATATATATATAAAGGATGGGTGAATAGTACATGTACCTTTATGTTTGATTAAAAATTGCCCCATCAAGAGGATGATGAATCAGAATGTAATTTTTTCTAAGTGTTGAATACCAATATGTATCTTTGTTCTCTCAATTTTATAGGCTGCTGTTTCACCATTGATATAAGGAATGGTCTTTCATATTGTTGCATGTATTCAATATTGAGGACAATTTCAAGCTTGACATTAATACCTAGGCTATTGTATATTGTTGAATACTGTATCTTGCCCTCTGTTTGTCTATTGATTGTTTTTTTCTCGCTAGGTTGCTGTCACATTGATGTAGATCCCACATCTCTTTTTATTTCTTAGCTAGCTCCTATTTTTGAAAGTGTTTGATGGCAGACATTTATGAAGGAAGTTTTGGACATAGACCTCAAACATGACAAAAGGGATATAACGCTTGCTCAAATTGTCCCAATCGAAGTCTGGTGCTATCTTTTTTTGGAGTCCAATGTTATATCTCTTTGACTGTGTGGTACAATGTAATTTTGAAGAAAATGATTTGCTACAACAGTATTATTATTTGGTCATTTGATTGATTTAAGTGCAAGTATTTGAATTGATGATCACTGAAATCATGTAAACATTTGTATTCTCATACAGACAGTGGAAAACAAAAATGTCATGCAATAAAATAGTAATATATCAATGACATTAGCTACTGCTAACACACCTGTCCTTTTGGATCAGTCAAATGCTCATCTTTATAATGTGGAAATGGATTTTCAAATTCTCTCTTTTCACTCATATTTTTGTTTTGGTGAGTTGATGCAATTTAAATAAGCAATGTAAAACGAATTATGTTTTTTTCTTCTAAATTAGTGTATTATTTTTATCTTTCAACAAACAATGCAAATTTTTGTTCTATATTTTCCTACATGATTAATATTAAATAACTAGAACATCGTCTCAAAGCAGTATTATTTGTATATATATATAATTTCGTTTTATCTACAAATTTTAAATTTGTGCCTACTGTACTGCTTGTTTGACGAGGTTTGACAGTTAGTTGACAGGCTGATCACATGCTACTGTATAGATGGAAGAACAAGAGAACGAAAAGAATAATCTTGTTAATGAATCAAGATCTTGTCCAAGTAGATATGGCTCAACGTCTAATGGATCAGACACTTATGAGGAGTTATTAAGGGGGAGTGTACCCTGTCCAACATGTAGAGGAAAAGGAAACATTCCAAAAGGTTGTCATGATCAGTTTGTTAAGACTGTTATTCAGAATGTGAAAAAGATTGAGGATGTGAAAAAATATATCCCATATTGCAACATGCATATAAAAGTTAAATGTAAAAATCTTAAGTTAAGTATATAGCTGAAATTTAGTCCCTTTATCAGTAAAATGTTGTAAAAATGGGGAAAAAACTAAAATTTTGCTCCTTATGATATCTCCAGAGACATGTTGTGTATATATGTCTCTGATATCTCCAGAGACATGTTGTGTATATATGTCTCTGATATCTCCAGAGACATGTTGTGTATACATGTCTCTGATATCTCTTTATAATGAACAATCGTTTGTGCTAGTTTCATAAAAGTCCATGAAAATTAATAATCAAAGTTATTGAAGTTTAAAAATGTATATTACTTCAGACTGTAACTTTATTAACAGCTATCCGTAAAAAACTGATAATGTAAAAAAACAAAATTTAAGATTTTGCTCGGGATCCTGTCTTTTCGTCATGGAAAAAGCTAGCTTCTGTCCATTTAAGTTTTTTAAAATTCTAAGAAGGCTTGACTGGATTATTAATATCTAATAAACCTATTAACTCTAGACTGAAACTAAAATGTTGAAGATGCCTGTGACAGAATGTAGGATTACTTCGGACAAAGGCGGATCAGGGGGTGTCACCAAGTGCACATGACCCCCCCGCCCTTTTCCCCTGAGGTTGGCAAGAATGGTGCACCATATAGAGTATAATTTAAATTTTGATTAATTTACCAATTAGTCTATCACTAGTAATATACTTGTCATTGTATTTCCAATACCATTGAATACCTTATAGCGAAAAACATATACATGTAACTTGACCTGTATTTTAATACAAGAAATTTGTCATCAATGACCATTCATTGCTAATTCGGTTCCTAAATTGATGTGCAGGTATGAAAATGAAAAGACAATTCTAAATTTTAAAAAGCTTTCAATCTTTATTTTTACATATATATTTATGTTTGAAATGTTTAAATGTTACTTCCAAATTTTCCAGAACATTAATCATCTGCTGTTGATTAGAACTGTGTTACCAAAATCTGAATGATTTGTCATTCGTTCTCTCTGATTATAATCAACATCCTAAATCCTACATATATATACATTTTTTTTGTACCCCACCATTTATAAATTTCCTTAAAACTTGTTTACATGTTTTGAAATTATTACCCCTTTTCCTCAGGAAAAACCACAAATCAGTCCAAAGATAAGTATCAATGAACTTTAACAGATCTGTTTAAACAAGTGGGTGTTCTTCCAAATAGAAAACTTCCAAATAGAAAACGTGGTATGTCTGGCAAAAATACAATGGACATTGCCAAAATCAGCAACTAAAATAATTGCAAACCAAATGAAACTTTTTCACAGAGTCATCTCCTATTGGTCAATCTATTTAAATTTTTGTTAGTTCTATATTGTCCCATTGAGTAAATACAATAGCTATTGTTCTCTGTGTAGTTATTTCACTGGGACCTTTAAATTTTTTGTGAGAGAAATCCATCACTCATTGATTAATTTACCACAGTAAAAAAATGTTCTTCTAAATAGATGAAAATACATGTTTCAACTCACAAAACTGTATGTGATGTTGTATTTATTCAATATCAATAATATATTTTCAATCTGTTCAATATAAACACTGATTTAATCATAAAAAGTTGATTTCTGACAAAATATTTAGCATTGTTCCTCTTGAAATGTGCATTTTTTTTGTGTTTGTTTAGTTATACATGTAGAATACTTTTAAGAAGGCCTTAATTTACACATTGTCATTTTCCAGTTTTTATTTGTCAAACTAAAAAAAAAAAACAAATTTCAATAGGAACAATGTTGAAAATTTCGTCAGAAATCAACTTGTAATGTTTGAATCACTGTATACATTGAACATATTGAAAATATATTATTGATATTGAATAAATACAACATCACATACAGTTTTGTGAGTTAAAACATGTATTTTCATCTTTTAGAAGATATTTTTTTTACTCAGGTAATTCAATCAATGAGTGATGGATTTCTCTTAGAAGAAATTTAAAGGTCCCAGTGAATAAAGTACACAGAGAACAATAGCTATTGTATTTATTCAATGGGACAATAGAACTAACAAAAGTTTAAATAGATTCACCAATAGACATGATAGGAGATGACTCTGCGGAAAAAAGTTTCATTTGGTTCGCAGTAAAGCATTCAGATTTACACTTCGACCTTGATATGCTTGCCTTCACTTTTTGCTTACAGACATGAAAGAAAAATGATGATGATTCAATAGATATCTTTTTAATGTCCAGTGTCAAGTTAAATGCAAATACAGGACAAGATCATGGTAATGTTATATGAATATAAATCCTGCTTTGTACTAGACCGACACAGTCAGATTCATAATGTGCTTAGTTCACAAGGAAAAATACCACAAGAAGACATGTAATCCTACCCATGCACATTATTCTGACTGTGAGCCAACCAGTCTTTTCTCTACTCCTATATGCCACACACTTATAGCAGAAGCTGGAAATACAAATTTTCCAGTCTTTGACCTGTCGCAACCGAGGCGGTCAAAGAAAAATTTGAATCAATTTTGTAAACCATGTGTTACCAATGACTAACCATTTGTTTTGTTAAGTACTACATTTTGTTCATGTATCTTGATGATATTACGGTATTAAAAAAAAAAATTGAAATATTTTGAATGATCGTTTTGGTGACAACCCTCTGAAAAATTTCTGGATCACTGGACTTTTACATATGTCATATAAATGCTTTTTTTTCCCTCATAGAACAAGAAGGAGAACTTGTAGCACTCATTCCAGTGAGAGATAAGCGACTTAAACCTAGACGAACGTAAGTAATGCAACATATCAGACAAATGTCTTAAACATGAATGAATGGAAATACTTATGTTATCATTTCAGGAATGCAACTTCATCTATATACATAAATGTATATGTAGAGCAGTCTCAACTTTTAAGTAAATATTTTTTTACTCAATCTAACATACAAAGTATAACTTCCAAACTGATATGTACAAAAATGTAGCACACTCCCAGCATCCATGAAAATAATGTTCTAATTTTAACAAAGTAAACTCCCTTAATGTAGGACAGTCTAAGCATCCATGTAAATAATGTTTTACTCAATCTAACATACAAAGCATAAATTCCATACTAATACGTAGCACAGTCATATAACAATATAGAAAATTACAGTGCAGCTCCATCAGGTGCTGGTGGATTTGTAATTTCCATTTATCCATAATGATAGTGGGCACATTGGGAGTCACCTCCTAGATGGTTCCCTGTGCCTACCAAATGAAAGGGACATGTCATATTTTTTTCAGAAGAAGACTTGTACCAGCAATACTTTGGATTAATTACTTATTAGCTTTTGTGTACAATATTTTCACAAAATCTTAGGTCATGCAAATTTCATTGGGTAAATGGAAATAACAAAATTCATATGAACTGTCAGGAAACTTTTGACTTTTATATGAAAAAGTTTAAATTTCATCAGACAATTTTTACATAAACAAAACCAATACTGGGTCTGGAACGATGCATGTAATTGGTTGAGGTAACATGTATACTGAAGCATAAGTGATCATTCCCTTCCAGAGAAGCCAAGAAATGTTTTACAAGAATTTTCCTAGTACAGTGAGTGTTATAAATTTTAAATAATTAGCAAACAGGAAGTAGTTGCACTGCTGATGTAAAAATTGCTTACAGGCTACAACTCAACATTATCAAGTTCCAGACCAAATATAAATTCATTACCTTTTCCTGGCAGGGGAGAAGAGTTGGCAGAAAATTTTCCTTGGGCAATGAATGTAAATTTTTTTAAACTGTTGGCAAACAGGAAGTGGCTGCATGGCTCAGCCTAAATGTTAAAATTGCTTACACGTTACAACTTGATTAACATTATCAAGCTGTAGACCAAATATAAAATTGTCCCCTTCCATAGAAGCCAAGAAAATGTTTACTGTGACTTGACTAAGTGTTGCTCTAATTGCAATTTATTCAAAATTCTGACCTGAAGTTGCAATTTGTTTCATCAAACCAAACTCTTCAACTGGTCAGATATTTTGACTAACTGCTGTAGAAAACCACAGTCAAGTAGTGAAAGTGCAAAGTGATTTAATAAGGCATACTTGCAATCCTATTAGACTTTAATTCCACTTTATTGACATTATGTAAATGAATTCAGAATTTCTGTACACAATTTTATTGTAATTGTCATTCCAAAGGTGATGGGTAATAATTTTTGAAATGCTATAAAAATGTCCAAACTTAAAGCTTTCGTACAATTTTTTTTTTTAAAATACGTCTTCTATATTAATAAGAATCAGACATCTGTTTGAATTAAAACGTGTTATATTCAGTAAAATATAATATGAAATTACAATACATTTTTAATAAGTTTCAATGGGAGATAATCTAAAATCATTGATCTTATCTCCCTTTAAAACTTCAAGAGAACATATTTAAGTTTAAAGTATATTTCACCAAGTATTCTAGAGATTAATTTAAAGAAAGCTTTGTAGTGTGCATAGAAAAACACCATTTTAAAAGAAATAATGCCAAAACTTAAAATTTGGACATTTTTTTAGCAATTAAAAAATTACTACCTATCACCTTTGAATGACAATTACAATCATCCTGTTGATAGAAATTCTGAGATACATAATCATAATATCATTGAAGTAGAGTTAAAGTATAATGGGATTGTATGTATTCTTTATTTTATCAGCTTGCACTTTAACGACTTGACTGTTGTTTCTACAGCAGTTCGTTAAAATTTCTGACTAGTTGAACAGTTTGGTTTGATAAAACAAATTGCAATTTGGTCAGAATTTTGAATAAACTGCAATAGGTGGAGAGCAACACTTAAAGTCAAGTCACAGTAAGAAAAATATTCCTTGTACAAAGAGAGTTGTAAAATTTCAAACTATCGGCAAACAGGAAGTGGCTGTATGGCAGATGTAAAAAATTGCTTATACACTACAAAAAGAATGTTATTGAGCTGCAGACAAAATATAAAATCATTCCCTTCTATAGAACCTAATAAAAAATTGATGAAACTTTTCTTCCCCAAGTCTTTCAGACAGACGGACAGACGAGCGGTAACTTTACCTGCTGTCGCCTTTGGCGAGGCAAGTTAAAAATATATATAAGCGAGTTAAGATTGGGATAACAATACTGTGTGTTTGTAGTTACACATACATGACATATGTATTTTGATCAACAGCTATCAAAGAATTCTGCTAAAACCCATGCTGGTTGTCATCTTGAACTTTCAGTGTGGTGAGAATTTATATTATGCTGAAGGCCTCACTGTGACTTAGAGTTGAAAAAACAGCAGTAAAAGCACTGTTTCTTTGCCTTTGGTGTTTCCTGTGTTCAAATTAATTTGGCATCATGAATTGATTTGTTGCTTGACCTTAGACATTAAAAACACTGAAAAAATATACAGGAGCACCATTGGTGCATAAGCTGAACAGTTGCAATCATATTGATTGTTGCTTCACCTGTGACCCGGTGACCTCAAAATAAAAAGGGGTGTTTGTCATCTTGATGGTCATAACCAAATCAAATTTGATAAAAGATGAACATAAGGAAAAAATTAAAAACAAGAAACAAAAAGGATTCAGTATAATACCTTTTTTTGCCCCTTGAACTACAAAAATCATAGAGTATTATAAATCTTTCAAATAACATCCTGCAGATGTTCATAAGATGTTAGTCTGATAGATAGAGTATTATAAATCTTTCAAATAACATCCTGCAGATGTTCATAAGATGTTAGTCTGATAGATAGAGTATTATAAATCTTTCAAATAACATCCTGCAGATGTTCATAAGATGTTAGTCTGATAGATAGAGTATTATAAATCTTTCAAATAACATCCTGCAGATGTTCATAAGATGTTAGTCTGATAGATAGAGTATTATAAATCTTTCAAATAACATCCTGCAGATGTTCATAAGATGTTAGTCTGATAGATAGAGTATTATAAATCTTTCAAATAACATCCTGCAGATGTTCATAAGATGTTAGTCTGATAGATAGAGTATTATAAATCTTTCAAATAACATCCTGCAGATGTTCATCAGATGTTAGTCTGATAGATAACGTATTATAAATCTTTCAAATAACATCCTGCAGATGTTCATCAGATGTTAGTCTGATAGATAGAGTATTATAAATCTTTCAAATAACATCCTGCAGATGTTCATAAGATGTTAGTCTGATAGATAGAGTATTATAAATCTTTCAAATAACATCCTGCAGATGTTCATAAGATGTTAGTCTGATAGATAGAGTATTATAAATCTTTCAAATAACATCCTGCAGATGTTCATAAGATGTTAGTCTTATAGATAGAGTATTATAAATCTTTCAAATAACATCCTGCAGATGTTCATCAGATGTTAGTCTGATAGATAACGTATTATAAATCTTTCAAATAACATCCTGCAGATGTTCATAAGATGTTAGTCTGATAGATAGAGTATTATAAATCTTTCAAATAACATCCTGCAGATGTTCATAAGATGTTAGTCTGATAGATAACCTATTATAAATCTTTCAAATAACATCCTGCAGATGTTCATAAGATGTTAGTCTTATAGATAGAGTATTATAAATCTTTCAAATAACATCCTGCAGATGTTCATAATTTTGTCATGTGAATTTCTCACTTATTATGATTAATAGGATAACTATATTTAGTATATAGGTTCCTTGCAGCGTTTACATGTCCGTCAGACAGGGTTAACCTGTCCTCGACCTCAATTCACGGATCAGTGATCAAGGTTAAAGTTACGTGATTAGGTCTGTTTCTCAGATACTTCAAGCAGCAGGTCAACTATATGTGGTGTATGGAATGATTGTAAGGGGTACATGTCAGACTGGCAGATTTCATATGACCTTGTCCTTGTTTTCATGGTTCATTGGTCATTGTTAATTTTTGTGTTTTGGATTGTTTTTCAAGTACTGTAAGCAATAGGTCAACTATATGTGGTGTATGGAATGATTGTAAGGTGTACATGTCTGTCTAGCTGGTGTCATCTGACCTTGACCTCATTTTAATGGTTCATTGGCCATTGTTAATTTTTGTGTTTTGGTCTATTTTTCAAGTACTATAATCAATAGGTCAACTATATTTGGTTTATGGAATGATTGTAAGGTGTACATGTCTGTCTAAACGGTGTCATCTGACCTTGTCCTCATTTTCATGGTTCATTGGGCAATGTTAAATCTATTTTTTCAAATACTAATAGCAATAGGTCAACTATAATTGGTGTACAGAATGATTGTAAGGTGTAAATGTCTGTCTAGCCAGTATCATCTGACCTTGACCTCATTTCCATAGTTCATTGGTTAATATTAAGTTTTTGTGTTTTGGTCTGTTTTTCAATTACCATAAGCAATGGGTCAACTATATTTGGTGTATAGAATAATTGTAAGGTGTACATGTCTGTGACAGTTTTTATCTGACCTTGACATCATTGTCATGGATCTTTAAAAATGTTAAGTTTATGTGATACTTGTAGTAAAACCTTTATTTAAAACTTTCAACATAAAATCAATGGTCAGTAAAACAGGCGAGACATTTCAGCGCGTGCACTCTTGTTTAACATGGTTTTTGTCTCGCCTGCGACGAATGGTCGCAATATGGGAGACATAGGGATAACTATCCAGTGGCGGCAGTGTAAACTATTTGTATAAAGCTTTATATTTCAGAAGGCAGGAGACCTTGATGCTTCAAATCTTGTATGCAGATATCTTATGTTACGAAGTTTCTGTCTGTCATATGTCCATTGTCCTTGCTTGACCTCATTTTCATGGTTCAATGACTGCTTGAAAAAAAATTGAATTTGTGAATTTCTCACTTATTATGAGTAATAGGATAACTATGTTTGGTATATAGGTACCTTGCAACGTCTACATTTTCGTCAGATAGGGTTCACCTGCCCTCGATCATATTTCATTGATCAGTGATCAAGGTTAAAGTTAAGTGAGTAGGTCTGTTTCTCAGATACTATAAGCAGTAGGTCAACTGTATGTGGTGTATGGAATGATTGTAAGAGGTACATGTCAGACTGGCAGGTTTCATCTGACCTTGACCTCATTTTCATGGTTCATTGGTCAATGTTAAAGTTTTTGTGTTTTATATTGTTTTTCAAGTACTTTAAGCAATAGGTCAACTATATTTGGTGTATGGAATAATTGTAAGGTGTAAATGTTTGTCTGGCAGGTATCATCTGACCTTGACCTAATTTTCATGCATGGTTCATTGGTCAATGTTTTTTTTTTAACCAGATTTTTGAAGGAAATAACGGTTATTGATTTGGGGATGTGCGGTGGGCGGGCGGCTGCCAAACAGTGTCTCTTCAATAACATGAAAACGCTGTGATGATTTTTTTTTCAAATTTAGATATGTTGTTTCTTGTGACTTAATGAAGGTCAAGTTCAATTTTCAAGTTTTTAGTATTTCTCCTTTTTGAGTTATCACCATTTTTAATATCCAAAAGTGGTATTTTTAAATATTTTTCTTTTGTTATCTTATTATGACTAAGCATAGTAAATGTCTTATCTCAAAATAAACATTGGAGTGATAGATTTATTTGAAAATTTTCTATTTCCTAAGTGGTGATGATTATAAGCTATATTATTAGACATTTTGAAGTTAATTACATTATTAATTATTATATATGTAATGTTAGAGTACTATGTTAAACCATAGTTCTGTTCAAACCCTTCAGATTGCAAGTATGATTTTCATTATTAATTAGATCTGGAAAATATCTTAGCATATGATAATCATTGGAGTGACAGATTTATTTGAAAATTTTCTGTTTCCTGATAAGATCTGTAGGACTGTATAAATGAAGTTTGAAATTTAGTGTTTATTATTAGACATTTTGCAGATAATTAAGTCTCCCTAAACCATACATATTCTTACCCCCACCCCTCTTCAATTTGAGAATGTGCTTTTATCTTGTAAATGGTCGAGATTCCCACCCCTTAACCATATATATTCTTGTATGGGACAATAAAACAAATCAAACAAAATAATTGGGGAGTCCCCGGGTTCACCCCCCACCCCTTTTTCATTTTGAAAACTTGTAAACGGTCAAGATCCGCACCCCGAAACCATATATATTCTTGTATGGGACAATAAAACAAATCAAATGAAATAAAAGGCGAGTCCCCTTGGGTCACCCCCACCCCCTCCTGTTTGAGAATTTGTAAACAGTCGAGATCCCCACCCCTAAACCATATATATTGTTGTATGGGACAATAAAAAAAATCAAATGAAATATAGGGGAAGTCCAGGGGGGTCTCCCCAACCCCCTCTTTTTGAAAACTTGTAAACGGCCAAGATCCCCACCCCAAAACCATATATATTCTTGTATGGGACAATAAAACAAATCAAATGAAATAAAAGGCAGGTCCCCCGGGGTCACCCCACCCCCTCCTGTTTGAGAACTTGTAAACGGTCGAGATTCCCACCCCTAAACCATATATATTCTTGTATGGGACAATAAAACAAATCAAATGAATATAGGGGAAGTCCATGGGGGTAACCCCCACCCCCCTTCTTTTTGATAACTTGTAAACGGTCAAGATCCCCACCGCAAAACCATATATATATTCTTGTATGGGACAATAAAACAAATCAAATGAAATATAGGGGAAGTCCACGGGGGTAACCCCCACCCCTCTTCTTTTTGAAAACTTGTAAACGGTCAAGATCCCCACCGCTGAACCATATATATTCTTGTATGGGACAATAAAACAAATCAAAGGAAATAAAAGGTGAGTCCCCTGGGGTCACCCCCACCCCTCCTAATTAAGAACTTGTAAACGGTCGAGATCCCCTCCCCTAAACCATATATATTCTTGTATGGGACAAAAAAACAAATCATATGAAATAAAGGGCGAGTCCCCTGGGGATCACACCCCCTCCCCCCTTTGAGAACTTGTAAACGGTCGTGATCTCCACCCCTAAACAACCATATATATTCCTGTTCGTCATTTCAAGAAGATTTGAATGACATACAGGGTCAATCCATAGGTGTCACATGCACCAATTTGTACTGGACTTTGCCCAATGTCAGGCTACCATGGGAATGACGAATTATTGGAGCTTTGTTTGGGAGACTTCGTAACAGCATCCTGTTACAATTATTTCTTGTTACTGATAAGTTTTATAGATTTTGAAAAGACATTGTATTAAAGATAAATAAAATTTAGGATTTTTTTTATTCTTTTCTTTGGTAAATTGTTTGAAGAATTTTGTGGCAAGTTTGTTTTTATTCTGTATAAACTAATTTTCTGAATGCTATATATTTTTTTCTGTTGAAGTGAACTCCTTTAAAAACTTAGCTTATATTGTCTATTAATAAACATATATTTAGATTTCTGATTTTGGGCCCAGTTTTCAAGTTGGTCCAAATCGGGGTCCAAAATAAACTGTGTTTGATTTCAAGATAAATTGAATATATATAGGGTTCTTTGAAATGCTTAATCTAAACCTGTATTTCTTTTCATTATATAAATATGATAATACCACATTGAGGTCCAAAGGGTACTAAATTAAACTTTTGTTTAATTTCATCAAAAATTGAATTCTTTGGTTCTTTGATATGCTGATTCTAACAATGTTTGAGTGTTAAATCATATCTAATTTTAGAGAACTGGTTGTTGTTATTATATTATTGATTATAATTTGAAAAATTGCATCATATCCTATTTTAGAGAACTTTTTTTCCAGTTTGAGTTATTTCCCTTTGCACAGAAAATATTATGGATAAAATTACCATTTCAACATAAATTAAATATATATATAGGGTTCTTTCAAATGCTGAGGCTGAACCTGTATTTAAATATTAGATTTTTGGGCCCAGTTTTCAAGTTGGTCCAAATCAGGGTCCAAAATTAAACTTTGTTTGATTCAACAAAAATTGAATTTATGGGGTTCTTTGAAATGCTGAATGTCCAATTTCAAATATTTCAGTTCTTTGACCACATTTGTTTTGTGTCACAAACCTGTGTTGTGTCAAATATTCAACCACAGTCCAAATTCAGAGCTGTTTTAAGCTTAAATGTAGTGTCCATACTTGCTCAACTGTTCAGGGTTCGACCTCTGCAGGAAAATCCAGTTTGCTGTCACTCTGACAGACTCTTGTTGTGTTTTGGTCTGTTTTTCAAATACTAATAGCAATAGGTTATTTATATTTGGTGCATGGAATAATTGTAAGGTGTACATGTCTGTCACACAGGTTTTATCTGACCTTGACCTCATTGTCATGAATCTTTAAAAATATTAAGTTTATGTGATACTTGTAGTGAAAACTTTATCTGTAAGACTTTATTGTGTGCACTCTTGTTTAAGTCTTGAATAATTTTACTATTTTGCAATTGCAGTGGCAAAAAAATAGCTATTATCATACTTCTATTTCTTTTGCAAGAATTTAGGTTTGTTAATAATTGCTGTGACCTTGACTTTTGACCTTTTGGCCCAAATATATATTAAGTTCAGAAAAGTCATTCTGAAATGTTGACTCTGGATACTCACTGGAGTACTTGTGGATGGCATTCACTATATTATATAAACCTAGTACTTTGTAACAACTCAGCTAGCAATAACACACTATTACTAGCATTTAGTTTAAGTTGCTAATTCTATTGTTCTTGACAGAGTTAATGAGATTTTATATACTTCTATAAGAATGAAGATGCTAAATAAAGTATTACTAGTTTTGGATTTATCACAAGAGATAGACAATTCTTTTTATAGTGAAGTAATAGTGTTTTGTCTGTAGATCTGGTAATTAATAAATTAGATATACCATTATGGCTGACTACACTGTGGATTGAGCCATAATCTTGTAATATGTATTAGTTCTACTACAACAACTTTATGTACCATAATGCAAACATGTTATATATATATATATTATTCCAGATGCCTGTATGTAGGGATAGCTGTATTTACTTGTATTGTTATGGCTGGACTGTTATTTTTCTTCCTTTCGCAAAGAGATGTTACCATAGCTAGTAACATATCACTGTTATCACCAAAAAATCTCACCATAGATACTGCAAAGAAATATGTTTACTTTGAAGTCACAGTATGTATTACATATACAATCAATAGTCACAAGTGTTCTTATATTACTTCTCTTTCAGTTTTACAGGATAAACTTTTTTTCTGTGTGCTTCTATTACTTTATGAAGAGGTCAGTCAAAATGAAACTATTTTGACAAATTACACATGCTTTGTATCTGCAGAATAGAAACAAAACAAATTCAGATATTTTAGTCAAACTTAATAGCATAATAAATACCAGTTATGTATTAGATGGCTAAAAGAATACCTCATAAAAAAGTATTTTCAGTTTCCTACTAAAACAGTTGTTTGATAATAAGTCAAGCGGATAAGACAACAAGAAAATCAGTTAAACATGTCTTCTTCAATTTCAACTCATCAATGAATGTTTTGTATTTTCAAGGAGAAATTTACTGTTCCCCTTGAATGAACTCCACAGAGAACAATAGCTATTGAATTTATTCAATTGGACAGTTCACTTTGCAAAATTTAAATGGCCAAGTAAGCACCAACTGATTCTAGGGTAAGGTTTTATTTCCTTAGAATATAATATCGACAGGGCAACATCATGAGTAAATGCAAATGTTGATTTAACTGTGTAAGGTCTGAAATGATCATATTATTTAATGAAGTTATATGACAGATATATTGTTTTTCTTTTCAGTATCCATTCAATATATCCAACTTGAATTACTTTCCTATAACATTAACACAGAACTCTATAGCTGTAGAATTCAATGTTAAACTCATAAATACAACCAAGTCTAGCTTTACCTTAAATGTGCCAATGAGATCAACAAGGAAATTTGATGTCAATGTTGGAATCACTTTCAGTAAAGATAACGGATTGGGGGCAATGGCGTAAGTATATTATTGAGTGAAACCTGTCTAAACAGTGGTGTAGCTACCCTTGATGCAACGACGCACTTGCGTACACAAACACAAAAGCCAAAAAAAAATTATTGAAAGAAAAAAATTGAGAGAGAGAAAAAGATAGTATAAATAAATAAAAACTGGGGACCATTTACCTGGACTTTTCTGTACTAATATTTTATTGTCAGATAAAAATGTCATCTTGTCAAAATAGATTCTTTTTTCGGAGAAGAAAATGGAACAAAAAGAATGCATTTGAAGCAATAGCTGGTCTGTTTAATTCTCAGTAATGAGTCAGAATTCAACAAAAAGTTTTGTGAAATGCCTCCCAAACTATCCTTATATCTGAGAACTGTCAAAAGAAGATATGACAAGGGACAATAACTTAAAACTTCAATGAAAATTCAGAAATGACGTCATACAGATTAGGGGTTTGATTAAGCCTTTGCAACGGTGACTGATGTCGATGACGTGACGTCATACAGATTAGGGGTTTGATAAAGCCTTTGCAACGGTGACTGATGTCGATGACGTGACGTCATACAGATTAAGGGTGTGATAAAGCCTTTGCAACCGTGCTGATATCGATATCATCACAGATGGCTGATACAGGGTTTGATAAAGTAGCATTTGTTTTGAAGTGTTTTGTTTTTCTGATGATTCAAACACAACTTTTATTTATTGTCTGGATTTGCAAAACATTTCAACTGAAATAAAATTCAGTATGTTTGCATCAGCAGAAAACAACTGAAGACAAATCTATCACCAAATAAACAAATAGAATTCAGACATTTCTGCTTCTTTCAACACTTGGTTTGTAAAAATATAAACACAAACGCCTTCAAAATAGATTTAAACAAAAAAGTTTTTATATGAAATGTATAGGTGATGAATACTTATGTCCATGCACTGTAAAGATTAATTGGTTGAAGTAGATATTTCGTGTCTACTGAATTAGTTTACAAAGTTTAACTGAGTTTATACACACTGATCACTAAATATACACAAAATTTAATCATGCACATCTATTTTACAGGAGCAGATGTAATAATCCAGAACCTTTCTTTACTCAGTATGTGATGATATTTCAGTAAGTCTAATATAACTTCAGCTTTTAAATTCTTAAAAACTAATATTTCAGTATGATGATTTTTAATGTAGGGAAAAAAATTTGGAAAAAGGAAAAGAAACAATGTGTATATATAAAAGACATGAGGAGCTGCACCATTCTGTCTTAATAATTTTATTATCAGAGGGTCCAGGATTGCTGAAAATAATAATTGGTGTGAAACTTGAGTTTAAAATTATTATCTGGGCTAAACATAATTTATGTTATTTTGACAATAATGTCACTGTTTAAAATCTGGTTATTTTCGCATAATGTTTTCGTTTCTTCACAGAAATATTTGTTCCTGATAAGATCTGTATTGTGTAGACATTCAGTCTTAGATCAACTTTATACATATGTATAAACGTGTCCGATTCCCCCAAACGTGTCCACATGACGTCACTGAACTGCAAAACATGTCTTAAAATGTAAAAGGGCGCCAAAGCGTATCATTTGTATGAACTACATGTACCAAACGTGTCCATTTTTTAGCTCACCTGGCCCGAAGGGCCAAGTGAGCTTTTCTCATCACTTGGCGTCAGTCGTCCGTCGTCGTCCGTCGTCGTTAGCTTTTTACAAAAATCTTCTCCTCTGAAACCACTGGGCCAAATTTAACCAAACTTGGCCAAAATCATCATTAGGGTATCTAGTTCAAAAAATGTGTCCGATGACCCCGCCAACCAACCAAGATGGCCGCCATGGCTAAAATAGAACATAGGGGTAAAATGTAGATTTTGGCTTATATTTCTGAAACCAAAGCATTTAGAGTAAATCTGACATAGGGTAAAACTGATTATCAGGTCAGATCTATCTGCTCTGTAATTTTCAGACAAATCTGACATCCTGTTGTTAGGTTGCTGCCCCTGAATTGGTAATTTTAAGGAAATTTTGCAGTTTTTGGTTATTATCTTGAATATTATTATAGATAGAGATAAACTGTAAACAGCAATTATGTTCAGCAAAGTAAGATCTACAAATAAGTTGTCATGACCAAAATTGTCAGTCGACCCCTTTAGGAGTTATTGCCCTTAATAGTCAATTTTTAACAATTTTTTGTAAATTTTTGTAATCTTTTACAAAAATCTTCTTCTCTGAAACTACTGAGACAAATTAATTTAACCATACTTGGCCATAATCATTATTAGGGTATCTAGTTTAAAAAATTTGTCTGATGACCCCGCCTTCCATCCATCATGGCCGACTTGGTTAAAAATAGAACATAGGGGTAAAATGCAGTTTTTGGTTTATATCTCTGTAACTTAAGCATTTAGAGCAAATCTGACAGGTGGCAAAAATGTTCATCAGATTTAGATTTATCTGCCCTGAAATTTTCAGACGAATCTGACAACCCGTTTTGGGTCGCTGCCCCTGAGTTAGTAATTTTACAAAAATTTTGCAGTTTTTTGTTATTATCTTAGATATCATTATAATATCTAATATCTAATACTATTAATTATGATTTTAACCTTATTTTACATGATTTCCAAAGCATCAGTAAATACAGGTGAGCGACACAGGCTCTTGAGAGCCTCTAGTTAATGAACACCCAAACGTGCCCAATCCCAAAAACTTGTCCATATCAAGCTCTTTTTTTTTCTTTTACCGAACGACCATTCTTGTCCATATAATAAATACTTCCGTTATTTGGTTATCACTATTTCATTAAAGTATACTCATTTTACTATTTTATTAAAAAAAAGAAATAAAGTACTTTTAAGTCTTTTTTAAACCGGCAGTATAACCTGGGTTAAAGTTGGGCGTCCATTCAGCTATGTCGGATGCAAATGTAAGCAGCCACGCTCAGCTAAATTTCTCTGCAGATCAAAACCTTTCTAACAACTCTTTCAATGTGCCATCAGTTGTATTTCGGAAGGCAACATTTTTGTCCGGATTCATTATTTTTTCTAGTGGCAGTTAAAACGGTCTCTTTGACATAATGGACATTAAAGTAGTGTCTTACTGGAGTCATTAGAACCTATCTAAAGTTTTTTATTGTTAATATGATGTCTTCAAATAATGCATGAAATATTTGGCACTGGACATTATGTCTCTTGTTCGTGTGTCTTTAGTGATGCTCGAAACCTAAAATTTATTAAAAAAAAAAAGCATGAAAACCAGTTTGTATCAGAACTGTTGAAAAAAGGGAATTCTATTGAAAGCCAGCCGTGCAGATTGATATAAAAAGGCATCATCAGAGTTTATTAGTACAAAATAATTTACATAGTAAACGATTAATTCAACAGTACAAGAATTATATGTATGTTTGCTCTAAATGAGCATGAAATACTTGCAACAGGACAATAATCAATTTCAGTCAAAAGTCAATTCATATGTTACAAATTAAATTTGCAATGATGTTTTATGCTAATCATTAACAACCAGCATTGAACAAACTAATGCTAATAAATGACCACTTTGTCAACTGTGTCCCCCATCATAGAATTGCCGGGAACGTTATTGATTTCATTCGGGACATGCATGTATTAGCGCTAAAAGACGTGAAACGTTCTGGCGTGTAATAGTGGACACGTTTTGGCGAATAACAATTATCGGACACGTTTGGGGGTTATGAAATTGGACACGTTTGGAGAATATTGAATATTATGGACAGGTTTGGGGAGAATAGACACGTTTGAGGGAATTGGACACGTTTGGGGGGAAGGACACGTTTGGGAGTGTTACACATATATAATTTGTATTCCAAATTAAACATTTCAAATTAAGGTGTAGGCGACTTCCAATTAAAGATATAACATTATTTTCATTTTTATATCTTAAATTTTGTATTTACCATTAAAATGACTAAAAGTATTGCCATATATTATATACAGATATTAAGTGACATAATTTTTAAATTTCAGGACAACAGCCACATATTCCTCACTTGGACATCAAGAACAGACAACAGTTAATACTTATCCTTTAGTAGATTGTGGAAATCATACAAAAGCAGAAAACTTAAGTATTTTGTCACCAGAATATTCATTATTGATCAGTTGATTCTAAGAAGAATTCTTTAACAGAAAGAGATACTGTCTTCACCGATGCTTATAGCAGTCAGCAGTAAGAGATCATAGGAATGCACAGATATTCAAATCAGCATTTAGTGGAACCATAATCTTTCTACAAAAATATGTTTGTTATCTCCCTTGAGCAGTTGGTAATGTCAAAGTATGGAGACAATGAAACATAGTTCCTTTGTGTACCTTTATATTTTTAGTTTTTTCTGAGGCAGCCAAAAAAAGTTGCTATCCCAGTTGACCTAATGTATACAGTTGCAAATATAGATATATTTTTATGATAGACAAAAACTTTGTTAGCCATTCATATGGAAAATTCTTTTTAATGTTTTAAAAGGAATGTGTTCTGATTAAAGAGGGTGGTAAAGGGTTATTTTCGTGCAATGTGTTTTGCCATTTTTATTTCACGTGCAGCCGTAAAAAAGGTTCATTATTCACTGTGTTTCGTGAAATCGGTAAAAAGATCAACGTGCAAGAAATTTTTAATTGTTTGTTCATCGTGAAATGGCAATTTTATTTCGCGTTCTTCCGTGCAGTTACCCCCCTTTACGCCCCTCATTAAACATTATTTAAATAACTATAAAATCAAAGAATTCAAACATAAACTTGTTTTCAATAAGTGACCTAATTCAGGGTTGCATGTATAGCATGTGTCAATTATCACTGTTTTTTGGTCATCAGTTGAATATTTTTGTTATTTGAATTCTTGGATTAGTTATTCTTTATGTTGACTCTATGTTGCCCTTTATAGCTTACTTTTCGGTGTGAGCCAAGGCTCCGTGTTGAAGACCGTACTTTGACCTATAATGGTTTACTTTTATAAATTTTTACTTGGACGGAGAGTTGTCTCATTGGCACTCATACCACATCTTCTTATATCTATCTAAAGGCCAGTAACAAAGAAAATGCAAGAAACTTTTTCTATGTCTCTCAAATCTTTTGATCCAACACCATTGACAATGTCTTGACTAATTATTGCATGATGTCAGATGAGTGAAATGACAGGTTTTATTACACACGTGACAATATCTGTCTTTGTTTATTTTACTTGGAAATCACTATATTTTATTGCAGTATTTGTAATAATTTCTGTTCTTGTAACTAATGCTATAAATAAAAATCTGAGTATTATGTCTTTAACATGTATTGAAAGTATACTGCTTTATATATTTACTTTGTTAATATGTTCATGCTTTACTTCAACTCAAGTATTATAATTCATATACCGGTATGTGTAAAGGTATCACCTTGTAGTAATCATTGTTGTTTCTCCACATAACTTGTCCTATTATTTCAGAATTTTTGTACTAGTCTTTTAACTGCAGGTTGTGATACTATAATTTGAATTGTTCTTCATACATTAAAATGATGTTATTTTGAAAAAAAATATGTCTTTAAGTTAGAACATTATAGTGTAGACTAGCAGATTACTATATGTATGTATTTTTGGCTACCAAGCTTTAAATGAATATTTCACTCATTAAACATATTTGCTCATCTGATTAAAGGTGATTGCTATATTTATATTTGTTATATATGTATTTTTTTATTTTCATATTTTAGTACTTTATCATAATATCGTTCATCAAAGATCATACATAATTGAAATTTTAGATTAACTGTTTTTAATTTTATTCAAAGATCTGTGATTTTTAACAATAAGAACATATAAAAAGTAGTTGTTCTGCTGATATTAAACTTGTTTTATTACAAATGGAGATATGGTTTTACCTGAAAACCATTTAACAGTCATTTTTTAATACATGTACTGTAAACTAGGATATTTTGGCTGTGGTAATATTTTGGATTTTTTTGGGGCTTTGATGAAAGTACCAAAGTTAATCATACAAAGATAAATCAGTTACCAGTAAGTTAAAAGTTTAAGTTTTGAGAGATGAAGTTAGATATAAATTTATAGTTTAATTCTGAATTTCTACCTATTAATTTTAATTTGCTTCAACAGAAGTAGAATAGGTTAGTCAATATCAATATTAATTTGTGTGTTCGAGCCCATTTATCAGAAACTAAAAGAGAGAAACACATAATTTGCATACACATGTGCCTAGTAGATATCATTGAAAGATAGAAGTATTAATAAATAGAGGAAAACTATGAGTTGATATCTTTTCCCTGATGATGTCTACCAAAAGTTGTACATAATTTAGACATTTAGAACTTTCAGGAATTTTTGAAGACCTTCTTGAAAGCATGCATTTCAGCACCATTTCAGAAAAGAGATCGATTTATATGTGAGTCTTCAACAAAAAAAATAAAGAAACATTACTCATCACAAAACATATTTGTAATAGTGATCCCCAAATTTGTTACATCTATTGCTAATGAATTAAGTTGCATCCAATCTGCAAAGTATATCAACATGACCCATATCACACATTTAAAAGGGGGTATTTGTGGTAAGGGAGATAATTATTTAAATCTGTAAAGTGTTTGCAATAGACATTTTCATCAATCAGTTTTAAGCATTCATATGAAACACCTGTAAGTTAATCAGTGTTAAGGTAGATCAGCGGTCTAAACAAAAAATTAAAGAATTTTTAAATAATTTGCCAAAATGAAGTTTAAATCATTCTTTATTTGTTTAAATATGATAGTGTAGGTCACTGGCTTATTTTTAAGCTACAGGTTGTGTAAACTTGTCCGAATGTGTAGATTATACATGGAAAACCCAATTTTGTGTGACAGAAGGAAAACTATACCACAGAATTTTGAGATAGAATATGAGAAATATAGATTCCACCACTGAAACAAGTGTCTTACAATATTTCTCAACTGGAGACCGTTAAATTTAAATATTAAAAGCGCAAACTTGCCAAGCTTTTTAAATAATCAAAATTTAACTGTTGAGAGTGGAGAAATATCGCAATACACGAGTTAAAGTGGTGGAATCTGTTTCCCTTATGAATTTTATCATTCCTTTTCAAAGATTTACAGAAAGTTGTGTTCTTTATATGTGACGTCATCAGGCATGGTCGCCTTTTTAGCTCACATGGCCCATAGGGCCAAGTGAGCTTTTCTCATCACTTGGCGTCCGTCGTCTGTAAACTTTTACAAAAATCTTCTCCTCTGAAACTACTGGGCCAAATTTGACCAAACTTTGCCACAATCATCATTGGGGTATCTAGTTTAAAAAATGTGTCTGTTGACCCGGCCAACCAACCAAGATGGCCGCCATGGCTAAAAATAGAACATAGGGGTAAAGTATAGATTTTGGCTTATATCTCTGAAACCAAAGCATTTAGAGCAAATCTGACAGTGGTAAAATTGTTTATCAGGTCCAGATCTATCTGCCCTGAAATTTTCAGATGAGTCGGACAACCTGTTGTTGGGTTGCTGCCCCTGAATTGGTAATTTTAAAGAAATTTTGCTGTTTTTGGTTATTATCTTGAATATTATTATAGATAGAGATAAACTGTAAACAGCAATAATGTTCAGCAAAGTAAGATCTACAAATAAGTCAACATGACCAAAATGGTCAGTTGACCCCTTAAGGAGTTATTGCCGTTTATAGTCAATTTTTAACCATTTTTCGTAAATTTTTGTAATTTTTTACAAAAATCTTCTCCTCTGAAACTACTTAGACAAATTTAACCAAACTTGTCCACAATCATCATTAGGGTATCTAGTTTAAAAAATGTGTCCGATGACCCCACCCGCGAACCAAGATGGCTGACATGGCTAAAAAATAGTACATAGGGTAAAATGCAGTTTTTGGCTCATATCTCTGAAACCAAAGCATTTAGAGCAAATCTGACGAGGATAAATTTGTTCATTAGGTCAAGATCTATCTGCCCTGAAATTTTCAGACCAATCAGGCAACTTGTTGTTGGGTTGCTGCCCCTGAATTGGTAATTTTAAGAAAATTTTGCAGCTTTTGGTTATTATCTTGAATATTATTATAGATAGAGATAAACTGTAAACAGCAATAATGTACAGCAAAGTAAGATCTACAAATAAGTCAACATGACCAAAATTGTCAATTGACTACTTAAGGAGTTATTGCCCTTTATAGTCAATTTTTTACAATTTTCATAAATTTTGTAAATTTTTGTAAATTTTTACAAAATATTTTCCACTGTAACTACTGGGCCAAGTTCATTATAGATAGAGATAATAGTAAGGAGCAAGAATGTTCAGTAAAGTAAGATCTACAAACACATCACCATCACCAAAACACAATTTTGTCATGAATCCATCTGTGTCCTTTGTTTAATATGCACATAGACTAAGGTGAGCGACACAGGCTCTTTAGAGCCTCTAGTGTCATGACCTCACAATAGGAAATTCAGAAAAAACCATGAAAATTTGACGTCATAATTAAATTTCGACCAATCATTTGCCGAGAACAATTATTTCACAAGTGAGGAGAACAATTTTTTCACAATCGGTTGGGAAAGGTGAAAATAGTGAAAAAATTAGAGAAAATAATTCTAATAATGTGCTGTCAGAAAAAAAAAAAAAAAAAAATTTGTGTCACAGGAGTTCTGTATGTTATCAAAACAATAATAAGATAAAACACATTATTTATTTCATTTAGATGAAAAGCATTCCAAATGAATTACATTCCTCTCTCAGAATTTTTATAATTTATTAAAGATCTAATCCAATAGGCTATTTCTCGAATTATGGCTTTCACCAGAAAAGATCGTCAATTACACACACCCTTATGACATCATTTACCAGATAGAAGGTGTGGTGCGCCTGTATCCCTGCACTAATAAAAAATTTCAAACATCTTCAGGATCATCGTTCTGCAGGGTAGTCTAGAAATAATTTATGTTCCGTAGGTACGTAATCTCAATTCCCGTACGCTTGAAGGGAGGGTGACCAACTAATTATTTTAATTTCCCGAATATTTTGTACAATATAGCATTTAACATTTTGACCCATTCCCTCGATGCCTACATTTTTGGTGATAGAAGTCACATGACAGATATAATTTGCAACTATATCTCAGTATTGGCGTATTGGGTTCTATTTTACAATACAAGATGGTGGAAGATACCCAATCTACCTCAAAGAAAATGGTTGACAAAATTTGTTCCAGTAATTATTAAGAGTAAAGTACCTTACCTTAAGTGTTGATCGACATTGTTGAAATGACAAGTAGCCATCTAAGATCCATTATCTTGTATTCCAAAGTGGTGTTTTTTGTATTTATTTTTAAAAAAAAATGGCATTAAAATGACATTTTTTGTATTTATTTCATTTTTATGTTATTGCATGTATTTATAAAGTTTCATGAAATAAAAGATTAACTTTTAATTATTTAACTGCTTTGAATAACTTGTCTTTGTGAATTGTCATGGAATAGAAGTTCCTTTATAATACTAGTTCCAAATGAAAGACATTCTGGAATAAAATTTCCACAGGAAGAAATAGTAGTGTCTGTTTCTAACTGAACTAGAGGCTCTCAAGAGCCTGTGTCGCTCACCTGATTCTACTTTGGTTTTGGAAATCATGTAAAAATAGATTAAAATCATAACAGATACCCTAATAATGAGTGAGGCCAAATTTGGTTTAAAATTGGTCCTGTAATTTAATAAAAAATCCTGGTGGCCATCTTGAACAGTAAATCGGCAACAAAGTAGCAACACTTCATCAGCACCTCATAAGGAACATTCATGCCATGTTTGGTTTCAATCCATTCAGTATGTGGTTCTCTAAAAGAAGTCATTTGTATGTATTGTCCATAGGGTCCTTTGTTAAACATTGTCCCCATCTGGCGGCCATCGTGGATGAAGGATCAGCTTCAAATTAACAACACTTGGTCAGCACCTCAAAAGGAACATGCATGCCATGTTTGGTTTCATTCCATTCAATGGTTCTCTAAAAGAAAACATTTGTATGTATTTCTCATAGGGTCCTATATTAAACTAAGTCCTCCACTGGCGGCCATCTTAGATTATGGATCGGCTTCATAGTAACAACACTTGGTCAGCACCTCATAAAGAACATTCATGCCATGTTTGGTTTCATTGCATTCAGTGGTTCTCTAAAAGAAGACATTTGTATGTATTTCCCATAGGGTCCTATGTTAAACTAAGTCCCCTGCTGGCGGCCATCTTGGATGATGGATCAGCTTCAAAGTAACAACACTTGGTCAGCACCTCATAAGGAACATTCATGTCGAGTTTGGTTTAATTCCATTCAGTGGTTCTCTAAAAGAAGACATTTGTATGTATTTCCCGTAGGGTCCTATGTTAAACTAAGTCCCCCGCTGGCGGCCGTCTTGGATTATGGATCGGCTTCATAGTAACAACACTTGGTCAGCACCTCATAAGGAACATTCATGCCATGTTTGGTTTCATTCCATTCAGTGGTTCTCTAAAAGAAGATGTTTGTATGTATTTCCCATAGGGTCCCATGTTAAACTAAGTCCCCCACTGGCGGCCATCTTGGATTATGGATCGGCTTCAAAGTAACAACACTCGGTCAGCATCTCATAAGGAACATTCATGCCATGTTTGGTTTCATTCCATTCAGTGGTTCTCTAAAAGAAGACATTTGTATGTATTTCTCATAGGGTCCCATGTTAAACTAAGTCCCCTGCTGGCAGCCATCTTGGATTATGGATTGGCTTCAAAGTAACAACACTTGGTCAGCACCTCATAAGAAACATTCATGCCATGTTTGGTTTCATTCCATTTAGTGGTTCTCTAAAAGAAGACATTTGTATGTATTTCCCATAGGGTCCAATGTTAAACTAAGTCCCCTGCTGGCGGCCATCTTGGATTATGGATCAGCTTCATAGTAACAACACTTGGTCAACACCTCATAAGGAACATTCATGCCATGTTTGGTTTCATTCCATTCAGTGGTTCTTTAAAAGAAGACATTTGTATTTATTTCCCATAGGGTCCTATGTTAAACTAAGTCCTCCTCGCTGGCGGCCATCTTGGATGATGGATCGGCTTCAAAGTAACAACACTTGGTCAGCACCTCATAAGGAACATTCATGCCATGTTTGGTTTCATTCCATTCAGTGGTTCTCTAGAAGAAGTTCAAAATGCAAAAAGTTAACAACGACGACGTACGCCAAGTGATGAGAAAAGCTCACTTGGCCCTTCGGGCCAGGTGAGCTAATAAAGGGTATAGAATATTTTTTTCTAATAGGAACAGATATAGCATTGTTTATGACAAAGTTTCCAGAGAAACTTCTGTAAAGGAGAAAGAATATACGTTGATAAATGAAGAGAACCTGTTGATTGGAGCAAATGTATAAAATTATTTTACTATATTTTAATGGTATGATGTAGTCATCATTGTTAGAAGACATTTGGTTTCCAGACAATAACTTGAGCTTAAGTGTATGGATATAGGAACAAATATAGCATTGTTTATGTGTATCTCTTACATCTCAGCAGTAATTGGTTGTGGTCTTGTTTATCAAATTGAACAAAGCAGAATCCTTTTAGTTGCAAAAATGGTAATGGGACCAAGTAAATATTTGAATATGATTTACATATAGTCAGGTCTACAAAAAAATACAGCTATTTAACCCTATTAATACTTTAAAAGAATCTTCCAACAACTGCTGCTTTGAATAAAACATTTGTAAAGAAATGATTGAAGGTATTGATTTAAAGCTTGTATTACGTAGGTCAAGACCACTGATTTGTTATAGAAGCCTTCTTTACTTGTATCTGCTGTTTTATCACTGAGACCATGCATTAGGTTCAGAACTTAAACTAAAACCTTACTAAGATATAGCTTATTCATGATTCTAAATAGGTCAATATGATTATGATATATGAATAGTTCTCAGTCAACTTTTTTTGTAACAAAATTACTATTTTTAGATTTCATTCCAATATGTTTGATGAATCACTTCCATCTAAGACCTACCTTACAAAGATATTCACATTTGCAACCTTACCTTTCTTTAAAATCATTGAAATCTTGTCTTTTTTTTTGTCTTGCTGTGACCTGGTTAAATAGTGGCAGCTTGTTAACAAACAGTTGTAAGGGCAGTTTACGGGGAACCACTAATGGCAAGCATTTGCACATCTCATTTCTGTTGAGATTATTTAGTCATGTTTTGTTGACTTTGAAACTTTTGCATAGTTTACATATAAAAGTTTGGGATTAGGTCAGTTTAAGGGGAACCACTTATGATAAGTCATTAATATTTGGTATGCAGTTATATAGGCATTGGCACAACTCGGTATATGATCGGCCGTATAACAGTATGGTGATGTTGTTGTCTTCCGTAGACATTTGGTTTCTAGACATTAACTTGAGCATAAGTGTATATTTCTCTATGTAATTGTACCACAAGGTTCCATACCACATAAGGAAGGTTTGGATTGATTTTGGGGCTATTGTGCTAGCTGTTTAGGAATTGGTGACCAAAAAGAGGCATTTTTCTTGGAATTGATTTTGGGGGTTGTGGCCCAACCTGTTTAAGACTAAGGGGCCAAAAAACAAGGATTTTCTGGTTTTTGGACAATAACTTGAGAATTAGTCTATGGATCTTTATGAAATTGTACCACAAGGTTCCATACCAAACTAGAGGCTCTAAAGAGCCTGTGTCGCTCACCTTGGTCTATGTGCATATTAAACAAAAGACACATATTATAGACAAGAATAGAATTCATGACAAAATTGTCTGTTTTGGTGATTGGGCCAGGTGAGCTCAAAAGGAAGGTTTGGATTGATTTTGGGGGTTATGGTCCTAAAAGTGTCCAAAAACAATACTTTGTATAAATTGCTTATTTCTTGATTAATTTCATTGGGATTTAATTCTGAGGATCTTTAACATGCTGAATCTGTGTATTTAGATTTTGGATTTTGGGCCCTGTTTTTAAATTGGTCCACATTGAGGTCAAAGGGTCCCAAAATAATTTGTTTGATTTCATCAAAAACTGAATTCTTGGGATTCTTCGATATGCTGAATTGAACCATGTATTTAGATTTTGGATATTGGACCATAATAGGTAAATGTCCAATATCAAATTCTTAAATTCTTAGACCACTTTCATTCTGTGTCAGAAACTTATGCTGTGTCAAATATTTCCAAATTCAGAGCTGTATCAAGCTTGAATGTTGTGTCCATACTTGCACCAACTGTTCAGGGTTCAACCTCTAGGGTTGTATCAAGCTGCATCTGAAGCATTTTATTCCATGGAGATTATTTGACCCTCACCCTCAGTCATGGCATTCTGACTTTAAAACAAGTTTAAATGTTCAACTTTGTGATTAGATCAGTTTAAGGGGAACCACAAATGATAAGTCAATATTTGATATGCAGGTGTATAAGCATTGGAACATGGCCATTCCAATGGATATTACTTGGACCTGCACCGTCAGCCATGGTTCATTGCCTTTTAATGTTTTTCATATTTTACATTTTTATGCCATGGTTCATTGCCTTTTTTAAAATGTTTTTCATATTTTACATTTTTATGCCCCACCTACGATAGTAGTAGGGGCATTATGTTTTCTGGTCTGTGCATCCGTTCGTTCGTTCGTCCGTTCATTCGTCTGTCTGTCCCATGTTTTTGGTCAAGGTAGTTTATGATGAAGTTATAGTTGCATCCACTTGTAACTTTGCATAAATGGTCATTATGATTGGGACTTTCTAAAAAGTATGGCAAATTTGGGTTTTGGTCCAAATTTTATGGTTCATTGAACATGAAAATGGGATTGTGTGAAACAGCTTTTTTTGATAAAGTTGAAGTCCAATCAACTTGAAACTTAGTACACATATTCCCTATTATATGATCTTTCAAATTTTAATGCCAAATTAGAGTTTTGACACCAATTTCACGGTCCACTGAACATAGAAAATGATAGTGCGAGTGGGGCATCCGTGTACTAAGGACACATTCTTGTTTAGTATTGCTATTTTAATTTCAACATGTGCATTTTACTTTCAAAATAACATACAGGTGAGAAATATCCGTGTCAATAGTCTATTAGTATATTTGTGTTAAGATGCAAATATGATGGACAAAGGCAGACAGAAAATACTATATATATATATATATATTATTATTATTATTATTGTTGTGCAGGGTATAAGAAATAATACATTTGTTTGATTTTCTATTTTTAATATCAATAATTTGGCACATTACAATAACAATTGCATAAAAATATTATTACCCAGTAACTTGAAAGATCTTTTGTACTCAATAAATGTTATAATTCTACTTTTACTTCGGCACTTGGATGTAGATCATTGCCTATATGGCATAAAGTTGTTTTTACTTAGAAAATTGGTAAGATTCATAATTACATGGCAGTCAGTCATCAACTTTTCCTAACTTCCTATGATAATCACAGAAGAGATTTTTCCAAATATTACCGTGTATTTCAACACAGATTTTTTTAATATACCTTGATGTTAATCTTTTTTAATTACCTATTCTTATGTGTAATTTAAACAAAGGTGCACACAGTGCAACACACTGAAATGTCTCGTCTGCTTTACTTATCTTGATTGAATTTATGTGGGAAGTCTGTTATATGAAGGATATTTTACAAGCATCACAAACACTAATCATTACCAATGATCCATGAAAATACAGTCATGGTCAGATGAACCATGTCAGACAAATGTTCATCTTACAATCTATCTATACATCAAATATAGTGGTCCTATTGGATAAAGTACTTGAGAAATAGACCAAACCACATAAAACTTAACATTTTCCAATAAACTATGAACATGAGGTCAAGGTCATATGAAACCTGCCAAGCAGAATGTTTACCGAACAATCAATCCATACACCTTATATAGTTGACCTATTGCTTCTAGCATCTAATAAACGGACAAAACCATGAAAACTTAACATTGACTAATGAACCATGAAAGTAAGGTCAAGGTCAGATGAAATCTGTCAGACAGACATGTACACCTTACAATCATTCCATTCACCGAATATAGTGGTCCTATTGCTTAAAGTATCTGAGCTGAAAATAGACCAAACCATGAAAAATTAACTTTGTCCAATGAACCATGAAAAAAGGTCAAGGTCAGATGTAACCTGCCAGACAGACTTGTATACCTTACAATCATTTCTTAAACCAAATTAAGCTGATATATTGCTTATAGTATCAGAAAAAACAGACCAAACCACAAAAACAACACCGACCAATGAACCATGGAATTGAGGACAAGGGCAGATGTAACCTGCCAGTCTGACATGTACACCTTAAACACATTCCGCACAACAAATATAGTTGATATATTGCTTACAGTATCTGAGATAAAGATTTGACCACAAAAACTTAACTTTGATCACTGTTCCATGAAATGAGGTTGGGGTCAGGTGAACCCTGTCTAACAGACATGAAGACCTTTATACATGTAGTTTAAGCCGTTGTGGCCATGGCCGCAGGTGAAACAAAAATCATCTTTCTGGAATCTGAATATATTTGCCATTAAAATTTCTCATAAATTGTCATTTTACATCCACTTATTCTTGTTGCCTTCACTAGCAACTTTTTTTTTTATATAAATACAATGTAAAAGGGTTTTTGCTTCCCACTTTAAAGTATGTTTTTCTAAATGGTTTCTGAGATTATCAGAAAAATACATTTTACATGTATCTTCATCAAATACACTGAATTCTATTAGTTATGGTAAGTAAAATAATGTAGCGACAATTAAAAAAAATACTTGATAGGATAATACTTGCATCAGTATACAATAGAGATTCAATTTAAACATCTAGCTCATTAAACTCTTCAAAAAATCTATTTATAATTCAAGAAGAGAGGTTGTAAAAATAGAACATCAATCTTGAATTTAATGGACCTACGGTAATTAAAAACACAAAGTTTTACCATTCAAAATGTTCATCAAATAACAACCTTGACTTAACAGTATCATAATAAAATTACACTGTGTGTCTAACTTAATTGTATTGTACTACTTCTGTAAAATTAATTATTCCGATTATAATGATGATGATTTGTTTCATACATATAAAACAGTCATTTTTTTCAAAAAATTCCGCTCAAACCAGTGCTAGGGGCTGTCTTAAAATTGCAGTGAGGGGAGTTTTTTTTGGGTGTTTTTTTTTTACTCCATGTTGAAGGCCTCACTGTGACTTTGAGATGAAGAACAGCAATAAAAGTGCTGTATTTTGCTTTTTGTGTGTTTTTTTGCTGTGTATGTACTGATTTTGTATCATGGATGGATACCCCATGCCCTTTGTTTTCTCTTATATTTAACTTGAGATTTATTTGTTAGAATGTGGATGTGTTTATCAACAATTTTTTTTAAACAAGATATACAATTCATAAGAAAAAAAACACAAAATTTTATTAACCTTAATTAAGGTTATTATAAGGGCTATTCCATTAAAATGTATGTGGGAGGGTAGGAAAGGACTTTCAAAATATCCTAACAACCAAGAACCATTTTTTAGATAATTTTGCATAATGGTAATAGACGCATACTGAAAAAAGACCCATGACCCACATTCAATAATTAAACTTCCCTTCCTACCCTCCCACATACATTTTAATGGAGTAGCCCTAAACATGTAAAATAAAACATAAAAATCTTTGTGATCTTGTTTTCGGTAATTTGTTTGATACACCCTGATTTAGATAAATGTTTATCATTACAATTTTCCTCTGCTGTAACATTCATTTCATTGATGTTATTTATCTACAATCAATCATATAAGTTCATTTCCCTGTTGGAGCTCTACACACACTAACTCACTCAGTCTTTCATACTTTCTTCACCTTGTTCTGTGAACTATTCCCTGAACCCTCACACTAAGGAGCAGTGGTCATCTTTTCTGAATTGTGAGTGACAACAGATATCAGGTATATTCACATATATGACCACAGCCAGTAGGACATTGTTTACTGATTGTTAACCATTCCTCTATATGTTTTATATGCCCTCCATGAGAACAGCCTTGGCACCAAACAAACAATCCTTTCACAGGTAAGTGGCTGAAATAATCATACAAACATATTCAAATCTTATCATAATATCTGCACATACTTTAGTGAAATACTTTTGTGTGAAAAAATTGTCAATAACTTTTGCTATAAATATTTCATTTAAATCACAGACATTGATATCGATTAAATGTTTGTGGTGTCAAAATACAGGTTCTATCCTCATATCCTGTCATATGTAACAAGCCAACACCTGTTAGTTCAAAGTTGAAAGATCAACAAATTAAGATCGTTTTATGTTACAGAATACTGATTCATGTATATCTATTGTCTAAATGATTTCAGTGTTGAAATATATATGATTAAAAAATCTGCTTTGTACTAGTAACTTTAATCCAGGACCATTTAATTATCAGTATATTTATCATGTTGAATGTGAGAATTATATGGAAGAAGATAATATATCCAAATTACTGATATAACAATATTAATCTTATCTTTAAATTTTCACAATGATAATTGATGTGTATAGTTCATATGACTAATAAGAATAATTGCATGGAAAATTATCACACCATTATTCCATTATAATTAGACAGTGATAGTGCAGATTATTGTTGATAACACTTACCATACAGCACAGGAATTGATCACAGATTTACATCTATCACACAACCATCCAACTCTCGTCAACACACGATTACACTGGTTACATGTGACATTGATTGTTGTTGACTGATGATTCATCATAGAAATACTGCCTAAATGACTCAAATTTATCAATGTGTTTGATACAGTCCATAGTTTAAACCTTGCTAATAACTCTGAAATATAAATATAAATAATGTATTAGAAAAGTGTCCATTTTGAAAAAGGGACTTGTGCATCCAGATAATAAGATTGCTTATGTAGTGCAAAGATCAACACAGATTGTCAAACTTTAAGTGGATATAGTAAGTCATTTGTAAAAATGTGCAATTGATTGTAAAACAAGAAATTAAACATAATGTCATGCAAACTACTGGTATACCCCCAAACTGCATGCTCAATAAGTATAATACAAATTAAAAGTACCGTCAAACAGGATGTCAGTGCCAGGCAGATCTAAGTATAGCTTACATTGTAAAACTCAACATTTTTAAAAGTTAGGACTAAATATTGAATCCTATCATAATACAGAAGCTTAGTTATATGTTACGAAACTTATTGACAGGCAAACAGACATACAGACAAGTTCATTGCAGCATACCAACAACTCCATGAATGGGGGTATAATAAGTTATGTACTAAGCTTCAGGAGGTGATTCCCTTTATATATTCTGAATTCGTCAATAAACAAGACTACTTTATAAAAAGTAGAAAAAATCAGTTCATTACAAACTATAGATAATGTGACCATAGATTCAACAAGAATTAGAATATCATTTACATCAAAATTAACTTTTCTGTAAATTCATAACTTTTTGAATGCATTTATAATTGAGAATGTAGAACAGTGGTTGTTTTCTACAGGTTTACTGTTCAGTGGACTCACAATTATATTGAAAAGGTCAGCAAGTGATTATCTATATTACCTAAGTAAGATATAAACCAATCATCCTGTATATCAACAGGTATTTTAGGTCTTCTTTCTCCAAGAACCACTAGCATGCATACTGTGGTCTGTACATCTCCCTATAAAGGAACAACACATATTCTTTAACTAAATTAAGTAAAATTTAAAGAGGTTATAATGTTTTCAATACATAGACAAGAATGATATTTCATTTTTTTTAAGAATATTTAAGAAAGTTGAAATGTACTGCTTAGAGAGTATATAAGTGCACTCCAAAATCCACTTTATTATCCTGCAAAAAACATATTTGGATCTGCATAAGATGGGTCCACTTAGCCAAAACATAAGAATATGCTGTGAAAGTACTTTTATTTGTAAGTCCATTGTCAGCATTTGTACATGTAATAACAACTCAATTGCATCAGATTTTTTTCTTCTAAAAATTACTACAAAAAATAATAGGTACTGGAAAATGGTTGCATAAATCAAAATGTAAGCATAGTAAAATCTATCAACTTATTTCCCCCAGGACCATAAAAAATAATATGTTTTAATAAAAAAAAAACAAGTGAAACTGCGAGCTACTGCTCACTGATGATACCCCTGCCCAAATATTTCGGTAAACAGAAAGTTGTTGAGTGATAAATCTGAAAACGCATCACACGGTAAAACTGACTCATATAAACCCTGAAACCAAATTTCAGAAATCCTTGTAATGTAGTTCCTGAGATAAATGTGACGAAAATTTTCAACTACTTGGATCTAATGTGTGAAAAATGATGTAAGTGTTCGGTAAACAGGAAGTTGTTGAGTGATGAATCTGAAAACGCATCACACGATAAAGCTGACTTATATATACCCTTAAACCAAATTTCAAAAATCCTTATGATGTAGTTCCTGAGAAAAATGCGACGAAATAAATATTCATGGGACGGACAGACAGATGGACAGACAAAGGTAAAACAGTATACCCCCACTTTTTCAAAGCAGGGGTATAATTACGAATGTTATCAATAATAAGAGACAAACATGTGAGAGAAAATGAAAACACTTTTTTTTTGCAAAGACCCATAAATCAAAAGGCCAGAAATAATCACACCATCATTAAAGTCACATTTTAATCGTTTTAAGATTTTTCCTTTCTCATGTACAAATTTCTCCTCGATTTTTTTCTTCAGAAACCTGAAATCCAAGAATTTACAAACGCACGAACATATAACTTATCTACAAAACACAAAAATGGATACCTAAGAATTAAGTACTTTCACAGTATACAATTCTTAAGTTTCAAGAAAAAAAACATTGATCTTTATTTTACCATGTTCATATTTTACCTTTTAACAAGAGATTCTTGATCAATAAATGTCTTTTCTGCATCTATAGCACATCCTTTTTGTTATTCAATCATTTTAAATGAATTATTGAATTGATTGCTTGATTGTTGATACAGCACTTTTGGAGGAAGCAGGATCACCTATTTTTGCCAGGAAAATGGTTTGTTGGAACAGATTAATTTTTTTCATTACAAATAGTTTGTATTTTCGGTAAAAAAAAGTTACTAACAAATGAATAGTAGAGGATTAATTCAAATTACAATATCATATCCTTTGGTACATTAATAATCTACACCATATATTTTACCTCTTCTGCAAAGTATTTTAACATTTGTTCCACACAGTCAGTAAACACAAACTCAGAAATCTCAACTTCTTTCATCAGCAGCAACATATTTATGTCTTCATTAACCTTTGAATTGTGGTTGTTTGAAGGGTTTGCTTCAGTTTCATTTGCACTTAAAGGTGGTGAATCTTGATTATTTTGTTTAGGGACTTCTGAGGGATCCTTTATTTCATGTCTTGGCACAAATGCTTCTTTTGGCAATTTAAAATCCTATAAATAAATTAAAAAAATTGACTAAAGATAAATTGCTTACACTCCTTTCTTTGTATTTCTTAATGATTTTCATAGGATTTACTGATTTGTTTCCTTTTTTTAAACACACACTTTACATGTTTAGGCTTTAGATTGGTTTGATGTTAATTAGTGATAAATCTGAAACTGTGTCACAAGGTACAGCATGCTGACATGAAGTCTGATAATACATTTAAGGAAGCTCTTATTTGTAGTTCCCTAGAAAAATGTGGTGAAAATTTCATACATGGCCATTATGTTTTCAACATACAAGTATTCAGTAAACATGAAGTTGATGGGGGATGAATCTGAAACCTTGTCACACGGTAAAGCATGCTGATAAGAAGCCTGATAACAAATTTCAGGAAGCTCTTTATATCTGTAGTTACTCCATAAAATGCACAAAAAAATCCTACATGTTCATTATATTTAAAATATATATCTATTTGGTAAACAGGAAGTTGATTAGCCATGAATCTGAAACCGTGTCGCACAGTACATGTATAACATGTTCACAAGAAGCCTGATGACAAATTTCAGAAAGCTCTGATATGTAGTTCCTGAGAAAAATGTAACAGAAATTATGTCTATGTCATGATAGACAAAATACTCTCAGCCAATCAGAAGACCTGTTACATCCAAAATTAAATTATTAAACAATAATTTTAAAATACTTACTGGTCCAATATCTTCCATATGACCAAATGTTGGAAAAGACTGTTCCACATCTGCTCCCCCAAACAAAATATCCCATTCCACAGGTGGATTAATCTGTCCCCGGGCAATGCTTGACAGATCTGTGTCAGTCATATCATCATCCTCTACAAGTATAATATTTAAAGAAATCTACAAAAATAAACATGGAAATCAGTTCTATACTGTACATTTGTAATTTACTCAATTTTTTATTTAAATGCTCTTGGTACAAAACTGTTTGGCAAAAATTTTGGATATTTTTTTCTAAAAAAACTGTGACATTGTTTCTTTCAGTCCTATGTCTATAGATTTTACATAAAATTCTTATTCATTAACTACAGCAAGCTACAAACAAAGGAACAACAAAGACCAAAATCATATTGGTGAGGTATTGCAGGTCATATCATGCTGGACTTTGTTTATAGTGATATTTGTAGAGTAGTTTGTGTTGCAAGCACAAACATTTTTTATTACTTATGTTCCTTAATTGGAATATCACAGATTTAATTAAATAATTTATTTATGTATTGTTTGAAAACTGTAAATGTTATTTGCGTTTTTATAATTATGAAAGGAGGAGGTGTGCTATGGGTCATTTTCCTCTTAGAAAATGAAGTAATATAAAAAAAATTGATTTAAGCTTAAAATATTTGTTCAGTGTGTACGAAGTTTAAACTGTAATAGCTTATAATGTCAAGAATATTTACAGAGATTTTATAGCAGAACAATAGCAAAATAAATTTTTCTTCAAAAAATGACAAAATTTGCATATTTTCACAAGTTTTGTTAGTGGAAAATATTGAGTGCATGCAAGAAGCACAAACATAATGATATGAAAAGTGTTTTTCATTTAGACAAACATTGTGGTAAATTTCTTAGTTGGTACTTCCACGTGCTTTATATTGGCAGTTCCAAAAAATATGTAAAATTCTAATGGAATTATTTTGTACCAATGGTTCTGATTGGATGACAATTAGCGTAAAATTCTCTATCTCCCTGTCTGTAACTAAGGAAGCCGACATTTTGAATTCCGGAATGTATTGACATGTAATATCTCCAATAATAAGCAAAAAAACTCACATTTTGCACCTAGAAATCTTCTTTTTCATTCTGAAGCGGACAAGAAGCCAGAAAACGCCTGGTGTTTAAGTTTGATGCTGGATGCATCACTTAGTTTAGGCACCAAAGAAGATAAAATCATTTTGCAGAATTTTCGATTAATGAAAATTTTACATGTTTAGAAATAATGACTAAAATTCAATGATTTGTTTATTTTGCATTAGAATAGAGATAACTGTATTGTATTTGAAGCTTTGTGGACGTCCATCGATAGTTTTACTGTCGCAAATATTAGTTTAGCTGTCTCTGCTACGCGTTGCCAGGTAAACTCAATTTGCGACAGTAAAACTACTGATGGATGTCTGCAAAGCTTCAAATACAATACCGTTATCTCTAAAATAACCAAAATCTTTGTATTTTTCACACAACATTTAAAAAAAAGACTATTTCTTTACGTCAAAATGCAGTTATTGTGAAGTCATGGGTAAAAAATTACTTTTTTTTAATTTTTGAATGATCTCAACTGTAAAACAAGACATAAATTGAAATCATAAATCAATAGTTTGAATTTAAGTAAAAAGATAGGCCAAATAAGGCTCTTTATCGCACTCTGTCCTTTAAGCATTGTGGTTCTGTTCTGTAACATGTCTTTATTGTATACAAGTAAGCAACAATATTCTCTGTTTTTTTACTAGATTCAGAACAGAGTTAGTCAGACACTGATCTGCATCTAATCTGAAGTTGGTCTAGATTCCAGCAGCATATACTGTGTCAGATGGAGGAGGGCTAATTAGAAAGGGGTGGACTTTCTGAGTGCTGTAGATAAGATTAGATTAATTTGTTGAATATATATTTGCTGAAATTATTAACTTATACTGTAATAGAAAGGAACTACACAAGTTACCTGAGGTAGCATCTATTGTTTGTTTATCCTTCTCTGTAGACTTGGGAGTATCTGGTTGATTAACTGAAAAAGTATATACATGTAATAACAATTTATTTTCATAGCAAAATGATGACCTAAAAACACACTTAAGGATAATACTTTTTGCCCTTCAAAGTATTTTTTTCTTCAATTTTGCAATTTTTGAGAAATTTTTATGATGTTTTAATATATTTATGCCACTAATGAAATTGGATAAGTGCAGTATAATCAATAACTTGCACATCAATTATGAATTTAAAGGTTTCATAACAAGTGAAAATTGGATATCAGGTCAGATTGTTTAATTTTAATATAATAATAAATGAGACTTTAGTAGTTTTTTTTTCATTTTTTAGACCAAATAACGAAATTAAAAGTTATCAATGCATTTTGAAATCACAAATCATATCATACTCCGGTCAGTGTGAAACAAGTAATGTCTCTTTATGAAGGAAATAGACAACAGGCCACAACCATAAGAGAAAAACAATTTCCATTATAACATTTCAATAACAGAAGTAGATAAATCTCATTAAAAGATTTTCATTTATAATAAACATGCTTTTAAAAATTCAAAATAGATTTTAATACTATTACTAATCTTATGTTATTTAAACTTCATATTTTACCTTTGTCTTTAGGCTTTTCACTAATATTAGACATAACTGATTCTTTCGTAAGTAAACTTTATATTTTATCTTTGTCGTTAGGCTTTTCACTAACATTAGACATAACTGATTCTGTCCTAAGTAAACTTGATATTTTTCCTTTGTCTTTAGGCTTTTCACTAACATTAGACATAACTGATTCTGTCCTTAGTAAACTTGATATTTTACCTTTGTCGTTAGGCTTTTCACTAACATTAGACATAACTGATTCTGTCCTAAGTAAACTTGATATTTTTCCTTTGTCTTTAGGTTTTTCACTAACATTAGACATAACTGATTCTGTCCTAAGTAAACTTGTTATTTTACCTTTGTCTTTAGGCTCTTTACTAACATTAGACATAACTGATTCTGTCCTAAGTAAACTTGATATTTTACCTTTGTCTTTAGGTTTTTCACAAATATTAGACATAACTTATTCTGTCCTAAGTAAACTTGATATTTTACCTTTGTCGTTAGGCTTTTCACTAACATTAGACATAACTGATTCTGTCCTAAGTAAACTTGATATTTTACCTTTGTCGTTAGGCTTTTCACTAACATTAGACATAACTGATTCTGTCCTAAGTAAACTTGATATTTTACCTTTGTCTTTAGGTTTTTCACTAATATTAGACATAACTGATTCTGTCCTAAGTAAACTTTATATTTTACCTTTGTCTTTAGGCTTTTCACTAACATTAGACATAACTGATTCTGTCCTAAGTAAACTTTATATTTTACCTTTGTCTTTAGACATTAGACATAACTGATTCTGTCCTAAGTAAACTTTATATTTTCCCTTTGTCTTTAGGTTTTTCACAAATATTAGACATAACTGATTCTGTCCTAAGTAAACTTTATATTTTACCTTTGTCTTTAGGCTTTTCACTAATATTAGACATCACTTAATCTGTCCTAAGTAAACTTGATATTTTTCCTTTGTCTTTACGTTTTTCACTAACATTAGACATAACTGATTCTGTCCTAAGTAAACTTTATATTTTACCTTTGTCTTTAGGCTTTTCACTAATATCAGACATAACTGATTCTGTCCTAAGTAAACTTTATATTTTACCTTTGTCTTTAGACTTTTCACTAACATTAGACTTAACTGATTCTGTCCTAAGTAAACTTTATATTTTACCTTTGTCTTTAGGTTTTTCACAAATATTAGACATAACTTATTCTGTCCTAAGTAAACTTTATATTTTACCTTTGTCTTTAGGCTTTTCACTAATATTAGACATAACTGATTCTGTCCTAAGTAAACTTTATATTTTACCTTTGTCTTTAGACTTTTCACTAACATTAGACATAACTGATTCTGTCCTAAGTAAACTTTATATTTTACCTTTGTCTTTAGACTTTTCACTAATATTAGACATAACTGATTCTGTCCTAAGTAAACTTTATATTTTCCCTTTGTCTTTAGGTTTTTCACAAATATTAGACATAACTGATTCTGTCCTAAGTAAACTTTATATTTTACCTTTGTCTTTAGGCTTTTCACTAATATTAGACATCACTTAATCTGTCCTAAGTAAACTTGATATTTTTTCTTTGTCTTTACGTTTTTCACTAACATTAGACATAACTGATTCTGTCCTAAGTAAACTTTATATTTTACCTTTGTCTTCAGGCTTTTCACTAATATCAGACATAACTGATTCTGTCCTAAGTAAACTTTATATTTTACCTTTGTCTTTAGACTTTTCACTAACATTAGACTTAACTGATTCTGTCCTAAGTAAACTTTATATTTTACCTTTGTCTTTAGGTTTTTCACAAATATTAGACATAACTTATTCTGTCCTAAGTAAACTTTATATTTTACCTTTGTCTTTAGGCTTTTCACTAATATTAGACATAACTTATTCTGTCCTAAGTAAACTTTATATTTTACCTTTGTCTTTAGACTTTTCACTAACATTAGACATAACTGATTCTGTCCTAAGTAAACTTTATATTTTACCTTTGTCTTCAGACTTTTCACTAACATTAGACATAACTAATTCTGTCCTAAGTAAACTTTATATTTTACCTTTGTCTTTAGGGTTTTCACTAACATTAGACATAACTGATTCTGTCCTAAGTAAACTTTATATTTTACCTTTGTCTTTAGGCTTTTCACTAACATTAGACATAACTGATTCTGTCCTAAGTAAACTTTATATTTTACCTTTGTTTTTATGCTTTTCACTAACATTAGACATAACTGATTCTGTCCTAAGTAAACTTTATATTTTACCTTTGTCTTTAGGCTTTTCACTAACATTAGACATAACTGATTCTGTCCTAAGTAAACTTTATATTTTACCTTTGTCTTTAGGTTTTTCACAAATATTAGACATAACTTATTCTGTCCTAAGTAAACTTTATATTTTACCTTTGTCTTTAGGCTTTTCACTAACATTAGACATAACTGATTCTGTCCTAAGTAAACTTTATATTTTACCTTTGTCTTTAGGTTTTTCACAAATATTAGACATAACTTATTCTGTTCTAAGTAAACTTTATATTTTACCTTTGTCTTTAGGCTTTTCATTAATATTAGACATAACTTATTCTGTCCTAAGTAAACTTTATATTTTACCTTTGTCTTTAGGTTTTTCACTAATATTAGACATAACTGATTCTTTCGTAAGTAAACTTTATATTTTACCTTTGTCTTTAGGTTTTTCACAAATATTAGACATAACTTATTCTGTCCTAAGTAAACTTTATTTTATACCTTTATCTTTAGGTTTTTCACTAACATTAGACATAACTGATTCTGTCCTCAGTAAACTTTATATTTTACCTTTGTCTTTAGGCTTTTCACTAACATTAGACATAACTGATTCTGTCCTAAGTAAGTTCTTAGTGACAGTAGGTGTTGTATAAATTGCCTTTAACATTCTCCAGCTCTGTGCAACCTGCAATAAGTACTTATTTTCAACCATAATACATATTTCCAATAACAAAAGTGCTCAAGCTGGAATCTTTCAGCTGCTTTACTCATTATGTTTGAATTGAATTTTCAAAGTCTATAAAAATATATTACGCCATGCTATTCACAACTTGCACTGAATATAAACTTTTTTATATAGTACTAATTAAATACATATCATCCACTGGATATAAATAATTAGCACAAATATTGCAGATTAGATCAGACTATGGATCTCTTGATGTCTTTTCTCATTTTACTGTAGCGTTAGATTGCAGTCTCACTAACATATAACTCATAATTCCTTTTACTCAATCTATGACCTGAAAAATATTATCTAACTGGTAAAAGTTTGCATGTCTTATAACAGCAATGAATTTAAATACATGTACAATGTATGTACATCCAACATTATAAGGTTAGATAAAATCAAAGTATAAAGATATTAAACCAATTCTACTTTTCACAATTTTTAAAATAAATGCTTGATGTTATAAAATGTAATCTTAATATATTTGGAATAATAATCTTCAGAGCAACAAGTTTCAGTGATTTTATAGTTTGTGATAAATACCTGGAATCTGTCATTTTGATCTGACACTTGAGCATTATGCTCACACATTTCCTCAAAAGATCTTCCATGAAGAATATACTGCTTAGCACAATTCACAAACCATTCCATAGATAGTAACTGTGGATATCCAAATAAACTATAAGCATCATTGATATATGTCTAACATTTAGGAATATTTCACTTTCTAATTAGGACTTAGTTTGATTAGGAAATGTTTTTTAACTGTAATTGACAGTCTCAAATCCATCATAATAATGGATGAAAAAAAAGTTTGTTCATGTATTAAAGAAGACTTATTTTTTACTGTTCAAGTCAAGGCAAGTTTTTTACTTAATTTTGAGAAATATGAGAATGCCATTTGGTCTGAAAAAAAACCAACAGAACTAGTCTTTGAGTTTTTACAAAAAGAATAAAGAATAAATCTATATGAAAATAGAGAGGTGGTCTGAGTGAACACAGATACCCCTGCCAGTAGCAACAACAGTAGTGAAAACAAAGAAAATAGAACTTAACCTGTCTTTATTGGTCCAAAACACATGAGTTAAAACCAGAATGGTGATTGTCTTTTATAACATAGTGTTTTTGTTGTTGTAATCTTGTTCACAGATGGGTCTCTGAATATCCCAATTAAATATCCTTACAGTGACTATTAGAGTATGTTTTGTGATGACAATATACTCCTTGCATATAAATATTGTTTTTTACATTATCAATATAACAAAACTTTTAAGCATCAATATAATCATTACTTGTCGGCAGTTTGTATAGGAGAAAACAAAACTCTTAGCATCAATATAACCATTACCTGATGGCAGTTTGTATAGGAGAAAACAAAACTTTTAGCATCAATAAACTGATCCCCCTTATCTGGTTGTTTACTAAACATTGAGTATTTCTTCTTCTCTAAAATAAGAATAATCTAAGTTTAGTGAAAAAATATTAATAAAATACCGAACTCCTAAGGTAAATTGAAAAAGGTGGAAGTCCATAAAATCTGACAAAATCAAACGTTAGACTTTATCAACCAATGGAATGAATGGAAAACAACTGTCATGTTGTATGGCAAATCTGATTAAAATGTATGGCAAATGAATCATTACTATTTTATCAAGATGTACAGTGTGCTTTTTATAACTTGGTAAATTTATTATGACTTTTGAGTATGGCAAAGACAACAAGAACTGTCAGCTGATTAGAACAAAATTTGAGTGTACCCAAAATTTCCATTTTAGAGAAGGAAAAATTGGGTTAAAATCAGATTATCAACTTCAAAGATATGAGAATATTGACATAATTAAAATTTTTAACTTTCCAAGGCATCATTTTTAAGAAATCCAGATGAACCAGTACCTCATACCACATACACACCAGGATTTAGCAATACTGCAGTGTTCTTGTATATCAAAGGTATCATGCAGAGTTGTGTTGACAAAGAGTAAAGAGGATATATGGACCCAAAAATCCAACTCAGTGCATTTGCTCTAGCAATGTACAAATATGTACATACAATAATCATGTAAGAATACAAATGACACGGTGGGTATCCAACATTGCTAAAATGCTTATTCAAAAGAGAATATTTCTAAATAAACTGAAAATAATCAAAAATCCAATCATGGCTTACTCATTTACCTTCACTCTTCAAAGCTTCCATTGAACTACAAAATGTGAAAAGGGTTCCACAGAACCCTGTGTTTTGCCTGCAATTGCTTCTGTCAGTGTAAAAGTGTAAAGTTAACTACCAAAAACTAAGTCAGTATTTGATCAGCACTGATTTTAGAACTTGTACAAGACATTGCTTATAAACCTATGACATAAGTTTCAGAAAAATCTGGCAAGAATTGTACACATGAGAGCTCCAACAATGCAATTTTCCATAAAATCAATATTTCAAAGGGACACAACTCTTTTAAAAATAATTGATCTGCACTGATTTTCAAACTGGTCTGAGAAATTGATGATATAAACCTATGATATAAGTTTCATAAAAATCTGGCAAGAATTGAACACCTGAGAGCACTAACAATGCAATTTTCCATATAATTAATATTTCAAAAGGGCACAACCTTTGATTGGCACTGATTTTCAAACTTATTGGGGACATTGCTGATATAAACCTAAACCTATGATAAAAGTTTCATAAAAATCTGGCAAGAATTGTACACATGAGAGCTCCAACAATGCAATTTTCCATAAAATCAATATTTCAAAGGGACACAACTCTTTTAAAAATAATTGATCTGCACTGATTTTCAAACTGGTCTTAGAAATAGATGATATAAACCTATGATATAAGTTTCATAAAAATCTGGCAAGAATTGTACACTCGAGAGCACTAACAATGCAATTTTCCATATATTTAATATTTCAAAAGGGCACAACCTTTGATCGGCACTGATTTTCAAACTTGTTGGGGACATTGCTGATATAAACCTATGATAAAAGTTTCATAAAAATCTGGCAAGAATTGTACACATGAGAGCGCCAACAATGCAATTTTCCATAAAATCAATATTTCAAAGGGACACAACTCGTTTAAAAATAATTGATCGGCACTGATTTTGGAACTTGTCCAAGACACAGATCCACCAGCTTGTAAATATGCAAGGTCAATGACTAATTCAAAACGATTTACATTTTGTTTGCTTTGAAACTTAATGACATTTGTTTCTGTATGTTGTCATTAAAGATTGCTAGGGGGTTTGACAAAACAAACAGTAAAAGGGTAACCCTAGAATGGTAAAAGTGACGACTCCCAAAATCGAACTTGATTTGTGTTTGGTGATAATAAGCATTGTGTATAAGTTTCAGAACATTTGGAAGTGGCAAAGTGAAGTTAGAGTGCAGAAACAGTAAATTCAACAATTTTTCCATTTATAAAGGGACATAACTCAAAAACAGTGAAAGTGACGCCACCTCAATTTGAACTTGATCTATGTTTGGTGGTAGTAAGCATTATGTATAAGTTTCATAACCATTGGTTGAGAGAACTTATGTAAGAGAATGAAAAACAATTTTGGGACTTATGTACATACGGATGGACAAGGGTAAACCTTAATGCCCCCTTTGCTTAGAGCTGGGGGCATGTAAAAACAAATTCCCTTCTTAGATTCAAATTTCTTAGGCAAATAAAGATCTTTGAATAAGCTTAATATGCATTCTTCATATTTATAAGTTTGGCTGATGTGAGTAACAAGCACTGTGACATTCATGCATTTTGATAAACTTTGGAATAAGGGACTCTCATACCCTGTATCCTATAACTTGTAGCTGCCATAGTCATCTAAAAAGCTTCAATCAAAACTAACTTGAAACTATCAAATTCACTAACAAAACATTCTTACAACTATCATTTAAATGGGCCATAAAATCTATAAAACTTTATTGACGATTTCATTTTACTGCAAGCTTATTCTGCTAATCTACACTTGACTTATAATCTAAGGAACAACATGGGTGATTTTTTTTAAACACTGCAGATCATATTTGTTGTACAGCAGGACAGCTAAAAAATTCGTAAGAGTTCCGCGGAACCCAGTGTCTCGCATACTTTTGCTGTTAGTCGCAGGCTCAACAAAAATGGGGAAAAAATGATTAAAAATTTTCCTCTAGATACTATCTTTTGATTGTAAAAAGTTCTGTTCAAGTTTGGTAAATATCCAAGAAGGTTTATGAATCTAATAAATGTTTTAAAAACTTAAACTGCAGACTGTACGTAATGTTAACTGGAATAAAACTAAGTCCATTTATAAGTAATATAGGGAAAAACAGGAAATAAATTTTTACAAAATTTCCTTCTAGATACTAGCTTTTGATCATAAACAAGCTTCTGTCCAAGTTTGGTACAAATCCAGGATAGTTTAAGAAAGTTATTAAAATTTGAAAAACTTTAACCACAGAGTGAATGTAATGTTAACTGGCAGAAAAACTAAGTCCATTTATGAGTAAAATACGGATAAACAGGATTTTTTTTTTTACAAAATTTACTTCTGGATACTATCTTATGATCATAAACAAGCTTCTGTCCAAGTTTGGTTGAAATGCAGGATAGTTTAGGAAAGTTATTAAAATTTCAAAAACTATAACCACAGAGTGAATATTTGTGGACGCTGCCGACGGAATGTAAGATCGCATGTCTCGCTTTTGCGACAAAAGTCGCAGGCTCGACAAAAAACCATCCTTTTTACTAGAAAGTTCCTTAAGTCAGGCCATATTAAGCAAATTTTGAAATGGTAAAGCATATTGGAAACATCATTTTGTAGACATTCCAGATTGGATATAAAATTATTTGCATTGATAATGTATAATAAAACTTAAACAAATGAAGGATGAATTTCTAAATATGTCAATTTGATTCTAAATAGTTTTAAACTGCATGAAAAGAGAAGATTTAAAAAAAAATTAACAGTGATGACTGACAACAAACCAACAACGACAGATAACAAGTGATGACTATAAACCCTTGGTCAAATTATAAATGCAAAGGTAATAAATTTCAACATTTCAAATACTAGAACAAAACAAATGAATGAATTTTCCAACTAGTAACAACTTAGCAAGTCTGTAACACTAGCAACGAACTAGACACAATAACACCATACCTTTATTATCTTCTATCTCAGGGATATTGTGCTGGACTAAGTTGTCTATACAATGATTAAATGCTGCAGGATGTATTATGTACAATAATAGGATAAAACAAAACAGGCTGCCAAAATCTTAATTCATAATTAATTCAACATTGTGTCAAAACATTGTGCATGCTTCTTTGAAAAAGTTGAATGTTTTTTTTTATATTTTCAAACATTCAGAATTTTATAAAAATTTTGGCAACCATTTCTGAAAAAGCAGCAAGCGCAAATAAAATACCAACCTCTATGCCAAGCACCTTAAGAAAATAAATATTCAGTAACAATACAAATAAAAAGTTTGTATTTGTCATTATGATTTGCATATAAGCTGTAGATGATTTTTCTGTATTTATTTATAAGTTACAAATGAAAGAACTATATATTGACCTTTCACTTTCAGGGTTTTGCATTGGTACATCTATTTTACTAAAATGCTTGGGAATATTTTATTTGTTCTATCAGTAAAACAACCATTTACTATGGCAATTTGTTTTTATTGTGTTCGAAATTTGATTTTTTAACTTCCGATAAAATATACCTATACACTGAAATCAAAGATACATTTAATAAAATATCATGTTCAATGACATTACCATGATGCTGGATTAATTGCTTTGCTTCTAATATACATGTTTTTCAACATAAGTTGAGTATCTGTTAGTCCAACCTACCTAGTGACTTTGTCTTGTCTTTAGTAGCCTGAGTTACATGTCCTATGACACTGACATCTAGACCATCAGGTACAACTTTGTCTGCTGGACGTATTGCATCTTTGAACACATGTTGGTATAGGAAGTTATCTTTACCACTGCTATAGAATGTATGACCGTCATCTTTTTTCCATACAATACCTAACAAAATGTTTAATCTTTTATGATAGTCAAATATTTAAAGAAAACTATGTATTAAAATAATTCAGATCTTTTTTAAATGTTAGTTGATTTATAGTCACAGTACCAAAATTGCACTGAGTACCCAATTTGCAATAATATCAACGAAAATCTTAGAGGTTTTCTTAAAACTTAAACAATTTGTACTTTTATAATTTGCCATTATGCATGTCTTTCAACATAGATCAAAATATTTAAATATACACAAAATGGTCACTTTATATATCAACAAATGGAGCATCCACTGAAAAAAGTAAAATCTATGGAAACAAGTGATGTCCGCAAAAGTCAATGTTTAAAAATGAGCAATTAAAATATGTCACAGGCTTCAATTTCTTACAAAATGTAGACTAAGCATGGACTAAGAAATAAAACAAAAAGATCAGTTATTTGATTTTTACGGATGTAAAGCATGTATGCAATTTAGGTACTTCTCATTACAGAATCTTTGATAGTTTGGCGGTCAGTTCCAACCAATTTTTATATGATTCAGAATGGATTCCAAATTAGATTAAATTATATAGTTAATATAAATGATACAGCTAAAAAATAAAATCAGAATGGAAACTTTTGTCCATTTCTTAAATTAAGGCAAATGTAAAAACGGTCAAAATGGGTACCCTAACCTTTACACTCCTAAGTACATTTGTATCATCTACTTTTAAAAATTTTGATATTTTTTATAAAATTTAGAATTTTGGATAAGCAACAAACTAAGGAAGTGTATCAGAATGCCTAATTCATTAGTAAATTCTTTCAAATACTGTACACATTGATAATAGTCTAACAGATTATGACTCACTTCGTGTTTTATCTAGATTTTCAGTATACACTTTTTTTATATCTGTATACACCCTGTTTAATACTTTGGATTTTATATGCTAATAAAATGCTTCGCTGGGGCGCAGCTTGATACGACCGCAGAGGTCGAACCCTGAACAGTTGGGGCAAGTATGGACACAAAATTCAAGCTTGATACAGCTATGACTTTGGATTGTCATTAAATATTTGACACAGCATAGGTTTCTGACACAGGATGAATGTGGTGTAAGAACTGGAAAAAATTTAATTTACCTATTATGGTGGAATATCCATAAACTAAATTGTTTGTTAATTTCAATATATCAAAGAATATGTAGAATTCAATGTTTGATGTAATGTAATAAAGTTGAAATTTGGACCGTTTTTGTTCAATGTGGACCAATTTGGTAACATGTATAAATAATCAAAAATCTAAATACATGGGAGCCCATTTAAATACATCATAAAGGTATTAAAACAGAAAGTGACATCATAGTCATGGCTAAAAATAAACAAAAATCCTTAATCAGCAACATTTAAAGTAATATCTAAAAATAAAATTCCTTTGTAACCATAAAAGCCCATTTAAATACATCATAAAGATATTAAAATAGAAAATGACATCATAGTCATGGCTAAACATAGCAAAAAACCCTTAATCAGCATCATTTAACAGTAATATCTAAAAATGGAAATTACATCATAAAGGTATTAAAATAGAAAATGACATCATAGTCATGGCTAAAAATAAACAAAATCCTTAATCAGCATCAGCAACATTTTATAGTAATATCTAAAAATAAAATTCCTTTGTAACCATAAAAGCCCATTTAAATACATCATAACAGATATTAAAATAGAAAATGACATCATAGTCATGGCTAAACATAGCAAAAACCTTAATCAGCATCATTTAACAGTAATATCTAAAAATAAAAATTTCTTTGCAACCATAAAAGTAAAATAGAAAATGACATCATAATCATAGCTAAAAATAAACAAAAATTTTTTTTATTGGCAAATTTTAAATGGAGTTTATTATACTAAAACAATAAATTTGCAACCATAAACATGATAAAACCCCATTTAAACACATCATAAAAGTATTAAATAATTCAACTACATCATAAGGCTATAAAAATAGAAAATGACTTCATAGTCAAGGCTAAAGGTAAACAAAAAACCTTCATCAGCAAAATTTTATATTGGCAAATTTCCAATGAAGTTTATTACACTAAAATTGTTGGCAAATTTCCAATGCATTTATTAACAATAAAGTTATTGGCAAATTTCCAATTTACATAATTTAAAAGCAGTGTAGATGAGATATTTAAATGAGTTTGAATTACCAACCTTACACTGCTTTTAAATAATGTTCTTTACTCAATTATTTGTCTATTAAAATGGAAACCCTTGTTTTTTAACCTTTTTTCCCCTTATTCCTTAAACATTAGAGTCATAACCACCCACCCCCCCCCCCCCCCCCCAAAGCCAATTATTACTTTCCAATGTAACCTAAATTTCCAATATACATAATTTTAAATTTCAATTCCTCATGATATATAACCGTATCATTATTATTTTCTTTCATATATAAATCTGAAACAACCATCTTTAAATGGAAAATTTTAAAGAAAAAAAAAGGAAAAAAAAAAATCCTACCCCCCACACATTTTTTCAACCCCCTTTTGATTCATCATCCCCCACCTCAATCACAATCTTCAATTTGTGGTATGGTACATTGCAATACAATTTCACAGAGATCCATACACTTGAACACAAGTTTTTGTTGCAAACTAAAAAAAATCCTTATTTTCGACCAATATTTGGCCCCTTATTCATAAATGTTTGAGCAATTAACCCCAAAACTCAATTCCTACTTTCTCTTCGTGATAAAAAATAACTAACTTAAAATGTAAATTTAAAAAAAAAAAAAGGAAAAAAAAAAATTACCCCTTTTTTGACCCCCGCCCCCCTTATGATTCATCACCCCCACCCCCCTTTCCCCCAAACCAAGCTCAATAACAGCCTTGCCTTTGTGGTATGGTACCTTGTAATACAATTTTAGAGAGATCCATACACTTGAACACAAGTTATTGTCTAGAAACTAAAAAATGCTTATTTTAAACCCCTTTTTAGGCCCCTTATTACTAAACGTTTTGGGCAATTACCACAACACTCAATTCCAGCTTTCCCTTTGTGAAATGGAACCTTGTAGTAAAATTTCAGAAAGATCCATACACTTACACACAAGTTATTGTCATGAAACTAGAAAAATGCTTGTTTTTTGCCCCCTTTTGGCCCCTTATTCCTAAAATTTTGAGGCAATTAACCCCAAAATCAATCCCAGCATTGACCCTTTGTGATATGGAATCTTGTGGTACAATGTCAAAGAGATCCATATGCTAACACACAAGTTATGTCTGGAAGTTACAAAAATGCTTATTTTCGGCCCCTTTTTGGCCCCTAATTCCTTAACTGTTGGTACCATAACCCCCAAAATCAATCCCCACCTTCCTATTGTGGTATTGAACCTTATGGTAAAATTTCATAGAGATCCATTCACTTAAACTAAAGTTAGAGTGCGAAAACCATTGTGTATTCGGACGACGACGCCGGACGACGACGACGACGACGACGACGACGACGACGCCAACGTCATACCAATATACAACCTCAAAATTTTTTTGCGGTCGTATAAAAATGGCTTTTTACCTGTAGCAACATTTTTATGTTCCTCAAATGAAGCAAAGGGTATATAAGGTCTACGTACATCCCATACATTGATACTAAAGTCTATCACTAAAGAACAACTAGCTATATGATACTTCCGTTCTGGACGCCACTTTATTCTGGCTACAGAGGCTATTGTAGGAACACTGTGAAGTAACTTTCCCAAAGCATGATCCCAAATCTACAAAGGAAATCATTCACTGCATTACTTAAGAAACCTATTTTTCTGCCAACAAAAAATATGTATACATGTACTAATTTGAAGCAAAGAAGCATATCATGTCATGCAAGATACTGCAAACCGGGAAAATATTTAGCCATCTTTATTTCATGACTTACCAACTGAATCTTAAGTCACGCTTTGCTGAATTTGTGATTTGTAGGAGGCCTGAACAAAATTTAGTAAATGATTTTAAAATGGCCCAGTTGTACATGTATCGTAAAGCAAGTATTGAAAATCGATCAAAAACTTTTTTGTCTGATCAAAGTGAATAGTCTTCGTCAGTTCATATAATTAATGTACATGAAGATTTCAAGCTATGTGTGAATTGACATATATTTAGTATACTTATATATATTTATTAATTACTTGTAAAAACACATATTAACATAAAAGAATAGCTTTAGTAAGAGCAAATTAGAAGCTACGAGGATTATGGCTAATTAATTAATCTTTTGAACATATTAATCAGTGTAGTTGATGCAATGTAGTAATTATCTTAAAAACTATTTACCAAACAACATAAGTGCTTGTCTATATAATAAAATCAGAAATTTCCGCTTGCTTAAAATAATTTCGTTTTAATACGTCTGCCATTCGTTAAAAGTTGTGGTTTCTAACACTGCCTTTCATTAAAAAATAAAGTGTTAATTTGTCAATTAGATCTGTCATCTGAAAAACTGTTGTTATAAATTAGCACTGTACATAATCCTATTGATATAAGTTAATGGATGGTTTTCATTCTTTGAATAAGTTTTCCTCAATATATTCATGGAAGTTCTACTTTTACCACGAAAAAAGTGAAATAAAACTCTAAACTTTACAAAAGGATTGCTGTATCTCACCTTTGCAAATGTGAGAAAATAAATAAGTGCTATACACAATTCAACTGCTATATATTAGAACTATACAAAATTGCTGCTGTCAGTGTTAAAGTGTAATGTTGACTTAAAAAGTGAGTCCACTTATCAGTAAAATACAGAATTTAAAAAAAAATTCAAACTTTTTCTTTAGATGCTATTTTTTTGTCTTGAAGATGAGCTTCTGTACAAGTTTCATAACAATCTATGAAGGTTTACAAATTTATCATGTAAATTTTTTTTATCAAAAACTGTCTTTAAATGTTAACTGTAAAAGATGAAGTCCATCTATCAAAAAAATACTAAAAATGAAAAAAATATATTTTCAAAGGTTTGCTTCAGACATTATCACTTAATCGTTAAAAAGCTACTGCCAAAGTTTCATAAAATTCTATGAAGGTTTGACAAAGTAATTGATGTGTATCAAACTTTAACCCCAGACTGTATCTACTTGTTAACTGTAAAAAAAAATAAGTCCATTTATCAGTAAAATACGGAAAAATGAAAATAAATATTTCCAAAATTTTGCTCTGGATACTGTATTTTAGTCATAAACAAGCTTCTGTCCAAATTTTATAAAATTCCATGAAGGTTTGACAAAGTTATTGATGACTGGAAAACTTTAACCTCAGACAAAATCTGAAGTTAGCTGTAAATAAACTGTTAACACAGAGATATGTCTCGCCTTTTTGTAATTTTGATAATGCAAATGTTGAAATTAAAATAGCAATACTTTAACATGTAAGTTATGCAAATATTCAAAGTCAATGAACCATGACTGAAGGTACATGGCTAAACAATCTCCATGGAAATGAGATATGCCAATGCTAATACAACTGCATTCCAAATACCATTGACTTATCATAAGCCATTCCCTTTAAACAAACCTCAACACAAACATTAACATTAACTTGTTAACTATGTAAAAGTTTCAAAGTCAATGAACCATGATGAGTGGGTGAAGCTATATAATCTCCATGGAAATGAAATTTGCAAATGCCAATACATATCATTGACTTAACATTAGTGGTTCATCTTAAAATGACCTAATCACAAACGAATACATGTAAACTAAGCAAAAGTTTCAAAGTCAATAGACCATGACTGAGGGGTGGGGCCAAATATTCTCCATGGAAATGAGATGAGCTAATGCTTATACAACTGCATACCAATTAACATTGGCCTACCACTAATGGTTCCCCTTGAACTGACTTAATCACAAATTAATACATGTAAACTAAGTAAAAGTTTCAAAGTCAATAGACCATGACTGAGGGGGCAGAGCCAAATAATCTCCATGGAAATGAGATATGCCAATGATTATACAACAGCATACCAAATATCATTGACCTACCACTAGTGGTTCCCCATAAACTGACCTAATCACAAACTAATACATGTAAACTAAGCAAAAGTTTCAAAGTCAACAGACCATGACTGAGGGAACAGGGCCAAATAATCTCCATGGAAATGAGATGTGTCATTGCAAATACAACTACATACCAAATATCATTGACCTACCACTAGTGGTTCACAAACTAATACATTGTTGACGCCGCCGCTGCCGGAAACAGCATACCTATGTCTCGCTTTATGACTCCGTCAAGGCGAGACAAAAAAACTAAGTCCATTTATTAGTAAAATACGGAAAATTGAAAATAAATATTTTCAAATTTTGCCTCGTATACTGTATTTTGGTCATAAAGAAGCTTCTGTCCCAATTTCATAAAATTCCATGTATGTTTGACAAGGTTATTGATGTCCAAAAAAAACTTTAATCACAGACTGAACCTAAATGTTGATGCCGCCGTCGCAATCTAGGATCGTTATGTCTCGCTTTCGCGAAATAAATTTTGCAAGCTCGACAAAAATCAATCCTATTGACCCTACATAAACCTAATGGTATACGTTAATTTTTTGAATCAGTTTTCTTTAAATATTCACGGAAGTTCCACTCTTACCGCGAAAATAGCAAAATAAAACTGCAGTGAAAATTTCCCTGTTTACAGTACACTAAACATCTTTCTGTCTCTAGCTGTACCAGATGAATTAATGGTAGAAAAATCTATATTGAGTAATAACAGACTAACAAATAGACCCTATCCATAAAGATAAAGTAATTATTAATCTGTGGTTGCTGTTTTTATAAGTCCTTTTTTCATATTTGTTTCAGCTGGTTAAATGGTATCAATGTACACTATGTCTTCTGCTAAACTGATCCACTAATCAGCACAAAAGTTAAAATACCAATTTATGTACTTCACAAACTCTTTCCAACATATTTTGTTTAATTATTTAAGAATTTTGAAGAAAAAGATTTTACTACAAATTTCCCAAAGCCTTCATTGTAAGCTATGAACCTTGCTGGTAATCATGTTGTGCGGGAGATTCACCTCAACATTTTTTTAACAGCAAAGAAACCTTTGTTCTATATTACGTTTCTATTGTTAGAGTGGTTCTATAAAAGAAATTTATTTCGTTACATTTCCCATAGGCTTAACATGATGTCCTCTATTATAAAATATCAGTTAGTCAATCAGTAACTTTGAGAAAAGAAAATTATAAGGCACAACTACTTAGTATTTGAGTTATAAATGAAAATTTAAATTCAGTTATTATACAAATTTCATATATAATACATTATCTTACCTTGATTGTCCTGTCCCGCCCACCTGTAGCAAGCCATTTTGGTTCTGATGGATGCCAGTCTAAACAGAACATAGGTCCACCATGAGCAGTAAACTGCTTTTCTGGACTGTTTAATCTTCTCATATCCCATATCTGTACATATGTAACAAAATAAAGAAAATATTCATGTAGATATGATATTGGTTATCATAAGGTCTATTGAAAATGGTAATTTATGACATATGTCAACACAATATATTTTTAGAAGTGTAAAACTGTACTGAATATATTTCAATTTTTTTTTTAGCACAATTGAATCATCATTTTTGCATAATTTACTGTATAACAACATATCTAGCTTACTAAATCTGTTCTTGATTGGACAGGCAAGTATTTGATTCATGGTTTGTTTTTTTGCAAAGATATTATAGAATATTCTTTCACATTATATAAAAAACACACTGAAATGTCTCGCTTTCTTTACTAACCATTGATATTATGTTGATAGTCCTAAATATTAAGCTTTACTACAACTATCAACCTTACAATCATTCAATACACTAAATATAGTTTACCTATTGCTTATAGTTTCTAAGAAACAGACTTAACCAAGAAAACTAAACATTGACCAATGAACCATGAAAATGAGGTCAAGGTCAGATGAACCATGCCAGGCAGACATGTACACCTTACAATCAACCTATGCATTAAATATAGTTGACCTATTGCTTATAGTATCTAAGAAACAAACTTAACCATGAAAACTTAACATTGACCAATGAATATAATATAGTTGACCTATTGCACATAGTATTAGAAAAAAAGACCAAAACTCAAAAATTTAACTTTGACCACTGAACCATGAAAATGAGGTCAAGGTCAGATGACACCTGCCAGTTGGACATGTACACCTTACAATAATTCCATACACCAAATATAGTAGACCTATTGCGTACAGTATAAGAAAAACAGATCAAAACACAAAAACTTAACTATAACCAATGAACCATGAAAATGAGGTCAAGGTCAGATGAACCATGTCAGGCAGACATGTACACCTTACAATCAACCTATGCATTAAATATAGTTGACCTATTGCTTATAGTATCTAAGAAACAAACTTAACCATGAAAACTTAACTTTGACCAATGAACCAACAAAATGATGCATACCTGTCAACCTATGGCAATGAAAATGCAGGTGATGACCTGCATAGAAGAATGAAATCTCAGGTCATAAGGCGTACAAACTTTTTCGAGCTGAATTTCAGTATTTAGGGGACATTTTTCTTATAATTTATATCAAAGTTTCCAAAACATGTCCACATGGTCAAGTAATTTAAAATTGTACATATTATTATTTCATTGCACCTGGAGTTCATTGATAGATTTGTGTTTCATTGCCTAAATTCCTGTTCATATTCATTCCATGACATACAATGTGCCAATTTGTGTTTTCGTTTCATACATTTGTGCAGCTTTAAACAACAACAAATGGAAGTTTTTAACGACCTTGACTGGCTATACAGCCCTTGCACGGTTGGTAAAGCTTTAAACAATGGTTGATATTAGAGAATAATAAAATAAAGTTAAACAATTAAAGGAGGTATAGATGAAAAAAGTAATTTCAAAATTTTTATTTTTTAATTGTTCTAAGATAGAACATTAAGCAAAAGTATTACATGTATTCCGATATGTTTGTGCATTTAATTCATTTTAGATTTAATCTTTTTACAAAAGAAAACATAAGTTTAAGGAGTATATTGTGAATTGACAAAAAAGGGGAAGTAACTCAAGTTGTTTTTAAAACAACTTGGAAAATATACACAAATTATTTACGACCTAAAGCTAAGGTAATTAGTGTTAATTAACAGTGTGTTTGACACCAAAGCTGTCAAGTGAAGCCATGCACTGAAATAGGTCAATTGAGCTGAGTTTACACAGCTAGTTAAACTTCTTGTCCAGGAAGAATTACAAATTTTCTGTTATTTCACTGAAATCACTTTATATCTAATCAGTCTGAAGGCAAAGGAATCCGGGTGAAAACGGGTGATTTTCCGAATTCCCGGGTTATTTGGTCACCTGGCAGGTGTTCCGGGTGACCCCTCAGAATTGTGAAAATCTCGGGTCACACCCGCAGGATCCAGGTCAGTTGACAGGTATGATGATGTCAAGGTCAGATGATACCTGCCAGACAGACATATACAGCTTACAATCCTTCTATACAAAAAATATAGTTGACCTTTTGCTTATAGTTTAAGAAAAACAGACCAAAACACAAAAACTTAACACTGAGCAATGAACTGTGAAAATGAGGTCAAGGTCAAATAAAGCCTCTGAGACTGACATGTGCATCATAAAATATTTCCATACACTAAATATAGTTGACCTATTGCACATAGTATTAGAAAAAAAGACCAAAATTCAAAAACTTATCTTTGACCACTGAACCATGAAAATGAGGTCAAGGTCAGATGACACCTGCCAGTTGGACATGTACACCTTACAATCATTCCATACACAAAATATAGTAGACCTATTGCGTACAGTATAAGAATAAAATGTGCCGCTGGGCGCAGCTTGATACGACCGCAGAGGTCGAACCCTGATCAGTTGGGGCAAGTATGGACACAACATTCAAGCTTGATACAGCACTGAATTTGGATTGTGATTAAATATTTGACACAGCATAGGTTTTTGACACAGTCTAAGAACTTAAAAAATTTTAATTTACCTATTCAAACCATATCATTATTATTTGCTTTTATATATAAATCAGAAATAACCAATTTAAAATGGAAAAATTTAAAGAAAAGAAAAAAGGAAAAAAAGGAAACCCCCACCCCATTTTTTGAACCCCCTTATGATTCATCACCCCCAAACTCAATCCCAGCCTTCCCTTTGTGGTATGGTACCTTGCAGTACAATTTCAGAGAGATCCATACACTTGAACACAAATTATTGTCTGGAAACTAGAAAAATGCTTGTTTTTTGGCCCCTTTTTGGCCCCAAATTCCTAAACATTTAGGGCAATTACCCCCAAACTCAAACCCAGCTTTCCCTTTGTGATATGGAACCTTGTAGTACAATTTCACAAAGATCCATACACTTACACACAAGTTATTGTCCTGAAACTAGAAAAATGCTAGTTTTTTTACCCTTTTTTGCCCCTAATTCCTAAAATTTTGAGGCAATTACCCCCATAATCAATCCCTGCCTTCCCTCTGTTGTATGGTACCTTGCAGTACAATTTCAGAGAGATCCATACACTTGAACACAAGTTATTGTCTGGATACTAGAAAAATGCTTATTTTTGGCCCCTTTTTGGCCCCTTATTCCTAAACGTTTTTGGCAATTACCCCAAACTCAATTCCAGCTTTCCCTTTGTGATATGGAACCTTGTAGTACAATTTCAGAAAGATCCATACACTTACACACAAGTTATTGTCATGAAACTAGAAAAATGCTTGTTTTTTCCCCTTTTTTGGCCCCTAATTCCTAAAATTTTGAAGCAATTACCCCCAAAATCAATCCCAGCATTCCCTTTGTGATATGGAACCTTGTGGTACAATGTCAGAGAGATCCATACACTAACACACAAGTTATGTCTGGAAGTTACAAAAATGCTTATTTTTGGCCCCTTTTTGGCCCCTAATTCCTTAACTGTTGGTACCATAACCCCCAAAATCAATCCCAACCTTCCTTCTGTGGTATTGAACCTTATGGTAAAATTTCATAGAGATCCATTCACTTAAACTCAAGTTAGAGTGCGAAAACCAATGTGTCTTCGGACGACAACAACAGCGATGACGACGACGACAATAACGACGACGACGCCAACGTCATACCAATATACGACCACAAAATTTTTTTGTGGTCATATAAAAACTGCAAAATTTCCATAAAATTACCAATTCAGGGGCAGCAACCCAACAACGGGTTGTCAGATTTGTCTGTAAATTTCAGGGCAGATAGATCTTGACCTGATAATCAGTTTAACCCGATGTCAGATTTACTCTAAATGCTTTGGTTTCAGAGATATAAGCCAAAATCTACATTTCACCCCTATGTTCTATTTTTAGCCACGACGGCCATCTTGGTTGGTTGGCAGGGTCATCGGACACATTTTTTAAAACTAGATACCCTAATGATGATTGTGGCCAAGTTTGGTTAAATTTGGTCCAGTGGTTTCAGAAGAGAAGATTTTTGTAAAAGCTAACGACGACGGAAGACGACGACAACGGACGCCAAGTGATGAGAAAAGCTCACTAAGCCCTTCGGGCCAGGTGAGCTAAAAAAGGAAAAAAGGAAACCCCCCCCCCCCCCCAATTTTTCGAACCCCCATATGATTCATCACCCCCAAACTCAATCCCAGCCTTCCCTTTGTGGTATGGTACCTTGCAGTACAATTTCAGAGAGAAACATACACTTGAACACAAGTTACTGTCTGGAAACTAGAAAAATGCTTGTTTTTTGGCCCCTTATTCCTAAACATTTTGGACAATTACCCCCAAACTCAATTCCAGCTTTTCCTTTGTGATATGGAACCTTGTAGTACAATTTCAAAAAGATCCATACACTTACACACAAGTTATTGTCATGAAACTAGAAAAATGCTTGTTTTTTGGCCCTTTTTTTTACCCTAATTCCTAAAATTTTGAGGCAATTACCCCCAAAATCAATCCCGCATTCCCTTTGTGATATGGAACCTTGTGGTACAATGTCAGAGAGATCCATACACTAACACACAAGTTATGTCTGAAAGTTACAAAAATGCTTATTTTTGGCCCCTTTTTGGCACCTAATTCCTTAACTGTTGGTACCATAACCCTCAAAATCAATCCCAACCTTTCTTTTGTGGTATTGAACCTTATGGTAAAATTTCATAGAGATCCATTCACTTAAACTTAAGTTAGAGTGCCAAAACCGATGTGTCTTCAGACGACGACGACTCCAACGTCATACCAATATACAACCGCAAAATTTTTTTGCTGTCGTATAAAAACAGATCAAAACACAAAAACTTAACTATAACCACTGAACCATGAAAATGAGGTCAAGGTCAAATGACACCTGCCAGTTGGACATGTACACCTTACAATCCTTCCATACACCAAATATACTAGACCTATTGTTTATAGTATCTGAGATATGGACTTGACCACCAAAACTTAACCTGACGGGCATGAGGACCTTGCAAGGTACGCACATACCAAATATAGTTATCCTATTACTCATAATAAGAGAAAAATTAATATTACAAAAAATCTTTTTTTTTTCAAGTAGTCACTGAACCATGAAAATGAGGTCAAGGACAATGGACATGTGACAGACGGAAACTTCGTTACATAAGGCATCTATATGCAAAGTATGAAGCATCCAAGTCTTCTAGTTTCTAAAATATGAAGCTTTTAAGAAGTTAGTTAACGCCGCCACCGGATCACTATCCCTTTGTCGAGCTTTCTGCGACAAAAGTCACAGGCTCGACAATAAATGGGGAATGATGATGCCCCCGCTTGCATGTAACATTATAAAGGGACATAACCCTGCTTGCATGTAACATTATAAAGGAACATAACTCAAGAATGGTAAAAGTGACGCTACCTGAATTCATACTTGATCTGAGTTTTGTGGTGATAAGCATTGTGTATAAGTTTCATACATTTGGTTGAGGCTAACTTAAGTTAGTGAACGGAAACCAAAAATTCAGCAATTTTTTCATTTGTAAAGGGACATAACTCTAGAACGGTTAAAGTGACACCACCAAAATTCATACTTGATCTGTGTTTTGTGGTAATAAGCATTGTGTATAAGTTTCATAACATTTGGTTGAGGCAAACTAAAGTTAGAGAACGAAAACCAACTTTGGGACGTACGTACGTACGTACTTACAGACGGACAAGGGTAAAACTTAATGCCCCCCCCTGCTACAGGGAATAAAAATTTGAACTGGAAACGACATGTTTATAAAACAGAAACTTTTGTTCAATAGAAATCAATACAGAATGAATGACTTACGTTGATTTAAGCCATACAAACTTTAAAGGGGTATTAGCTGTCAAAATCATTTTCACCTATTTGACTCAAATTCTCATATACTGATTTATAACATACTAAAACATATATCCAAATTACAATAAGTCTAAAATAAACAGTTAACAATGCAAGTACTCGATAAATTTCGTGTGTATTTTTTAGTCAAGACACCATCTGATTAACTAATTAGATGACCTCTGAAGACTACCTAAGGTCACATAACCTGATATAAACATAAAAATAACAAGCATTCTGAGAGTATTGCATGGCAATACATAGTCCCCTACCGGGTAAAAATTCATTTTACTGGAACAAAATGCTAACTTGTTCTATAACTTGTCATGGTGTAAACAAAAAGTAAATATCATGTCAATATCTTCAAGCATGACTGAAAACAGTGTGGAAAATTGATTATATGAGTGAAAAAAACACTAGATATAATTAATAGTTCTCTAAAATTAGATATGATGTAATACAGTGTATATCTATTTTCAAATTATAATCAAATATAGTTAATAGTTCCAAATATTTTTTCTTTCATTTGTCACAAACTAATATAGATTTGTAACTTATCTATAAAATGTCAACAACTTTTATCTACACAATGTAATGTATTGAAATATATACATTAAAAAAAAATAGATTATTATCTAATTAAAGGATTTCTCTTCATAATTTTTTTTTATAAATATAGCATTCAGAAAATTAGTTTATACTAAATAACAAACAAACCTGCCAAAAAATTCTTCAAATAAGTTAACAAAGAATGTCTTTTAAAAAATGAGTTATCTCCCTTTGTACAGAAATATGATTTAACATAGTACTCTAACATTTGATATGGTCCAGAGTTATGATGGTCCATTAACTCTGGACTAAATCATCAGACCGGAACAAAATTTGAACTTGATCTAAAACTTGTCATGATAAAACTATATACCAAATATCAAATCAATATCTTCAAGAACGAAGAAAAAAAGTGTGGAAAGCTGATTTGCCGGACTGACGGATGGACAGACGGACAGACGGACGGAGTGCAAACCTAAAGCCCCCTTCGACTTCGTCGGTAGGGGACTAAATACAATAGATAGCGACCTCGTGCAATTTGATTTTTCTATGTCTGTTTGATTTCATGCTATAGGTTAAAAAAATAAGTTTATTATCATTTTTACCAGTATAAGAATGGTTTTTTGTGGATCACATTAGTCAACAAAATGGTTCTCCTTTGTTTCACTTTCAATGTTGACATTCTTTTCCTTTTAATGGCTGAACACGACTAAAACATGCGTAACCAATCTCTAGCTAATGGGTTAAATTGAAGGTCACATGAATACGGATTCAATGAGGTCGAATTATTCACTTGTAAGTGAATAATTCATCAGCAATGTTTCTTTTCTTATTTTGACAAAATTGAACCAAATTAGCTGCTAAAAGCCAATTATTATTTCATTATTTCACTTTTATTAATGATTGAACCAAACTAAATCATATTCTAATTTTTTTCATATCTCGTAGCTAATGCCCCTTTAATAATGGGCTTAATAATTGTTTACAACACTGACTGAATACATGATTGCTGTGTCTCACCTTTGCAAAGGTTAGAAAATAAATAAGTGCTATACACAATTAAACTGCTATATATATTTTAGAACTATACAAAAATCAATTATATCTCTGAATCATCTATCATCATGATCATAGTGATGACATTGTGTGTAATCTCTTTACTACTTGAAAATAAATAAAATAAATCGTTCAAATGTCTACTGCTAATGCTCATATTTCATCTGTCCAAAGACAATCTCAATGTATTTTTTTTAGTTCTTACCGTAATTGGCCTTGTATATTTCGCACTGGTACATTGTCCCGGCCCCCCCCCCCCCCCCCTCACCACGAGAATTCAGGAAAAAAAACTTTTTGTAACTGTTAGAAAACTTTTAATGAAACTCATGTAATATCAAATCGTATGTGATCGTTAGCGGTATTTTCATGGAAAAACCCGTTTTCCCTCATCAAATAGAAGTTGAAAATGCATGTAAATGATTCTAGAACACTTTATGAGTGTTAAAACAAGTCAAAATCACAAAAACAAAAAAAACAATTTAGAAACTTGTGTATGTTTAAACCGGAAGTTCCAATAGCACGTGTAAATGAAAATAAATACAGTGAGAGTGTACAGAAAATCCGTACTTAATAGATATCACTAGATTACGACTTTGAAAGTAAAACAGTTCCATTCTTGAGTAAAATAATGTTTAGTATATCTATCACAGTAATGTTTGAAGGATCTTAAGCTAAAACAAAACACATGCATCAGTATGAAACACCAAAACGGAATAAATAAGAGATTACGTTTTGTAATTTATACATCATTATGCATAAGTTGGTTCACGGTTGTCTTCTACACTTTTTTCGTTCCGTTAAATTCAAGCAGATTACAGTTTATTTTAAGTAATGCAGTGAAAAGAAACGAGAAATTTATAGTGAAGCATTTAATTTTGAAATTAACAGTAGATATTTAATATTGAATAAAAATTACATATTAATATGGATTAGGTAAAATTATCAGTTTTGAAAATGATAAGAGCGCCCTCTACAATTTCAAAAACAAACATGGCGGAACGTAAACAAACCTAGCGAAATTGAATTATTTCTTGCTTATCGTACTCTATAGTCCACACCCCTGTCTGGCAGGTTCAATTTTGGAGAATAAAACTGTGGACTGTACAAGCCTGAATTCGGTACCACTTTTCATAACAAGTAAAACTGTGAGCTACTGTTCACTGATGATACCCCCGCCGAAATATTTCGGTAAACATGAAGTTGTTGAGTGATGAATCTGAAAACGCATCACACGGTGTAACTTACTTATATAAACCCTGAAACCAAATTTCAGAAATCCTTGTCAAGTAGTTCCTGAGAAAAATGCGACGAAAATATTCATGGGACAGACGGACGGACGGACTGACGGATGGACTGACGGATGGACTGACGGAAGGACAGACAGAGGTAAATAGTATACCCCCACTTTTTTAAAGTGGGGGTATAAATATCATAGATATAAGAAGATGTGGTATGAGTGCCAATGAGACAACTCTCCATCCAAGTCACAATTTGTAAAAGTAAACCATTATAGGTCAAAGTACAGCCTTCAACACGACACCTTGGCTCACACTGAACAGCAAGCTATAAAGGGCCCCAAAAATGACTAGTGTAAAACCATTCAAAACCAACAGTTGTAATCTATATGAAAAACGAGAAATGAGAAATACTTATGAACCACATCAACAAACAACAACCACTGAACATCAGGTTCCTGACTTAGGACAGGTGCAAACGAATGCAGTGGGTTTAAACATTTTAATAGGTGCCAACCTTCACCCTACCTGAAACAATAGTGTAACATCACAACATAGAAAGACACACTATAAAATATCAATTGAAATATCATACACAAATTAATGGTAGGGGTGAGATTTCTTACAATGCAATTTTCCATAAAAATGTTATTTCCTCCAAAAATATGTGATCAGGGCTGATTATCAAATTTGTCCAAGACCTTCCTGATATAAACCTTGGATATTCATTTCCTAAAAATCAAACAAGAAATGTAGGTATGACAGTACTTACAATGCAATTCTATATAGAAGTTAAAATAGATAACCAGTGCTGATTATCAATCTCGTCCAAGACCTGGCAGATGAAAACCCTTGATATAAATTTCCTAAAAATCAAAAAAGAAATGTAGGCTTGAGAGCACTTACAATGCAGTTTTCTAGATACTTTATATTTCCAAGGGGCATAACTCCTTTAAAAATAGTTGATCAGTACTAATGTTCATACTCAAGAATTTGCTGATATTAATTCCATTAAAATCTGACAAGAATTGTATGTGTGAGAGCACTTAAAAGACAAGATGACACCAGATGAAAGGAGGCCTGGATGCACAGATGGACAGACACTCAAATTTCTAAAGCCCTCCACTGCATTGCAAAGGGGTCAAAAATATGCCATTTATATCATCAATCATTTGCTACTGGACTAGAGAAATCTTATTCAAGTTAGTTAATTTGTATTTTATCTAAACTAAAATTCATTCCATTTACCTGTACATTTCCACCCTCATCAGCTGCTGCAAAGGCAAAGTAATTAAAGTTTGAAGGGCAGAACTGAACATCTCGTATACTGGTTGATCCTACAGAAAAAGTAGAGGCTACTCTCTTACTTCTGATATCCTGAAATGAATGTAACAAATTATACTTAAAAGAGCTGAATGCTTCTATTTTTGGATATACATAGTTTTAAAGTATTTTCAATGTACACATTTTTATCATGAAGCACCTTTGTTCAATGCTTTCAAACCCATATAAAACACGATAGAATTTGAATTCTTAAAAACACTATGAACTGATGTTTCAAATAAATGGGGAATGTGTCCATGGGACACTGATGATGCCCCCGCTTGCATATCATATAAAGTTTAAAAGGGACATAACTGAAGAACGATAAAAGAGACCCTACCCAAATTTATTATTGATCTGAGTTTTGTAGTAACGAGCATTGTGTATAAGTTTCATAACATTTGGCTGAGGCAAACTTAAGTTAGAGAACGGAAACAAAAAATTCAGCAATTTTTCCATTTGTAATGGGGCATAACTCTAGAACGGTTAAAGTGACACCTCCAAAATTCAAACTTGATCTGTATTTTATGGTAATAAGCATTGTGTATAAGTTTCATAACATTTGGTTGAGGCAAACTTAAGTAAGAGAAAGGAAACCATAAATTTAGCAATTTTTATTTCTGTAAAGGGGCATAACTCTAGACTGCTAAAGTGACACCATTAAAATTCAAACCTGACCTGTATTTTATGGTGATGAGCATTGTGTATAAGCTTCATAATATTTGATTGAGGCTCACTTACTTTAGAGAATTGAAATGAAAAATTCAGCAATTTTTCCATTTGTAAAGGGGCATAACTCTAGAAAGGTTAAATTGACAACTCCAAAATTCAATCTTGATCTGTATTTTGTGGTAATAAGCATTGTGTATAAGTTTCATAACATTTGGTTGAGGCAAACTAAAGTTAGAGAATGGAAACCAATTTTGGGACGTACGGACAGACGTACAGACGGACAAGGGTAACACTTAATGCCCCCTCCGCTACGGCGGGGGCATAAAAAAGTCATATTTTCTGGAAAAGTTTAAATTTGCATTGAATTTGACTGATCCATTCAAAATCATGGGTTCTGTATTTCTTAAAGGACAAAACTGGCAAAGGTTAGCCTAAAGCAGGTACAGTATAACACAATACCCAATTTCTTATGATTATCTTTCTGTTTCATTAGAGGTTTGGAAAAATCAAATGCCTTATTATCATACACAGAAGTATAAATAATTTGATAATTCTATCATTAAACATTTCAGTCAAACTAATTCAGTCTTTACAACATTTTAAGATTGATTTCGTTTAAAAACTTAAATTTAAATCAAACATCAGGACTTTTTGTACCATCAATTTAAGCAGTATTGGGACAATTGTTGTTCATGGATATATATGTCTTTCGTTAACATATGCAAGAGTAATCAATTAAATGCATTTTAACTCGGCAAAAATAGTTTTAACTTGTTGCCTGATAAAGGGCTTAAATTCTAAATATAAAAAAACTTTCAGAAAATCAATCACTATAATAAAAGTCTTTGTAAAAAATAACTTGACAGAAATATAAGGTTCAAATTAGAAATAAAAAAAAATGTCAATCCTTTACAATGCCTCACATTTAGTATGTTCTATATAGTCTTGATGAAGTATTATAACTATAAGAAATTGTCTCATTAAAAAATAATCCTATAACTTGTAAACAACAAAGTATTCTTACAAATATCTTCAAAGATCCATCATGAGAACCACTAAGTATATAGTTGCCTTCAACCTGATGGAAACACACTCTATTAACTGTACGAGTATGCTCCTGGAAGATAAAATCTGAAAGAAACAAATAATAAATTTCTATCAAATCAAATACATAAAATGCCAAAAGTGTTTATATCATTTGTATGTTTCAGAGTGTAGTGTGGCATCCATTTTTTTGAACTAGTAACCATTATTGTGTAGAGGCCAGCTGAAGCCTGCATCCGAGTGTGGAATTTTCTCGCTACATCGAAGACCAATTAGTGGCTTTGGGCCGTTTCTGCTCTTTGGTCGGTTTGTTGTTTCTTTGACACATTCCCTGTTTCCATTCTGTATTCTATTAGATCCTTAAGTTTCTGTGAAGTTGATATTCCTTCAGTGGTTTAATAGATGTTGTAGATGCAAGATGCTCCCATTTGAAAATAAACTAGAAGAAGCACAATGACTTAAGGGAAACACTGAAAAATTATTTGTGGACAAACAAACAAAAAAATTGCTTACACAATTGCATTATTAACTGAGGTTACTGTGAATATTTCACTGAAATTCAGTTTAGCTTTAGGTTTTAGACATTGTGGATAAAAGATTGCAACCCATTTTGTAGATCTGGGAGAGGACATAATTTGTTATGGAAAACCTCAAAATATTTTGGATGAATAAATGTAGTAGTTAGTGCAAAATGGCATGAGGTACTGTAGACTTGTTAAATTTAAGAGATTAGTTAATGAGTTTTGGATTTATAAAGCAAGCAAATTTTGTAGTTGAGGCAAAATTCATGTTGTGAAAGGGAATCCTAGAAATCATGCAGATAACACATTGAAATAAGTGCACAATTCTATTATGTACTTAATATTCCCTAAAATATGAAAGATATGAAGAGGAAACAGTCATAGTCTAAGGTTGTTTAAGAGATTACAATTTAGTATAGACACTTGTCTATTGATGATGTCCATAAATTGCCCTCTAGATTATATCAACCTATATCAAGAAATTTACATAGGGTGCAGTGTCATTTTCATATCAATATCAACTATAACATTTTAGTAATGATTTTGAGAGTACATTTTTCATCTTCTATACCATGTATACCAACTATTAATTCCTCTAACATTCATTTCTTATAATTATCTTACCTTGTTTACTTTTAGAAGGTTTATTCAAGTCCCATATAACAACTTTACCATTTGTAGCTGCAGAGGCTAGTATATTATCTGCAAAGTAAAAAACATACAGTTATTTGAGTAATTTGCAGGGAAAAGAATTCATATGTTGTGTCACTCTTACCAATAGCTTCCAAAAAATATTTGAGCCAGCTGGAAATTTGTTGTCTTATCCCAATTTTAATCCCTTAAGACTTGGTAACAAAGGATATTAAATAGACTTTTGATTCAAATTTGATTTTCGAATGTAAACTGTTAAATTGACAGTGCATAATTCAAAGTGTGCAACAGCAGCATATTAATATCTGCTTTAGACTCTCTATTTTTGCAAAATTAGGCTGTCAAAAAAGTATTTTTTCCTAATACTGGATGTTGACTTGACAATGATAAAACAAGAACCAGAGACAGATACAGATACGTAAAATCTGTGTACGTTTACAAAGCATGATAGAGTTTAAGTAGCTTTTTCAATGTTATTTCTTCAAGAAAATACTCGAAATGAATGCTAGATAATGGTATCAATGATAATTTTAGCATTTTTGAGAATTCGTATGCATAATCTAATCTCACACCTGCGCACATTTGTACGTCTAGTTCAAACTACCTGAAAAGACAAATTTTCGTTTAACACCTTTATTACTACCTTTCTAAATATTTCATCAAATCATATTTATATATGTATTTCTGATAATCTAAATCTCTTTTACTAAATTAAATAGACACAAACAGAGTCTCTGAAATTTAAGAAAATAACTTTAAATAGACCAATCAATGTCCAGTACATAATAATTTACCTGTTTTCTAAACAGGTAAATTTTAGCTGTTAGACAACTCATTAACCTCGATTGTAACTAGAGGGAATTAAAATAGGGTTTATCAAAATTATAGTAATTATTCATCATGTCACTTTTATGATCGGAAATGTGTGGTTGTTTAAGGCAAAAAGTCAGGTCAAAAAGATCGCATAAACTTCCAATTTTTTTTCTGAATTATGTTAAAATGGCAAACTCACTTGTCCATTTCAGGCTCGGCACAACAAGTCAAAAATATAATATATTGGTCAAGTCCGGACAATATGACAGTTTTGGAAGCGCTGATTCTTACATGTTGTCGCTGATGTTAGTGAAAGGAGTATATTGAAGAAGGGTTAGAATTGGCCTTAAGATTTTAATATTTTTAGGTTCTGGCCTATAACAACAAATTTTACAATGAAATAGTTGTAATAAAACTATTAATACAAAATACTTTTTTTTTGCCACATCACTAATTACGAAGTTATGCATCCTTAATTATGCACTATTTGTGTCATCTTTGGTTACAGAAAATTTTGATTTGAAGGTTGTAGCCAAGGTTTTCCTAAAGCTTTTAAGTTAGAAATATGCACAACATACTGTTTTCCAATGTCACCAAAATGTAGTGACTTTGGAGCCTATAATGTGTTTTAATGAAGAGATTTGTTTTACTTAGCAGTAAGGCTTTTGAAAAAGATCCATTTTAAGAATCAAGTTGTGACCTTTTTGATAATTTATGATAAAAATGAAATTTAAAGCCATATTTTGGTAAAAGTGAACCTTGTCCTTTTGTAGGGTGCTAAAAAAAATCTCAGACCTATGTTTCAACTATAGTTATAAAATTAGCAGAAAAACTTTAATGTTATATGAAAACACTTTTCATAGCTTTTCTATGAGTCCTATTCATCAAATAGTTCTCTTGTGAACTTTTATTTAATTGAAACTTAATGGAGTATGTACTTTAACCCAAATTAAAACGAGATAATTTTTTGCCACTATTTGGAGACAGATTTTAATAAGCAATGTTGTCCGTTTCTGAATCCTATTTCTTTATTCTGTACTGTTTTATATTGCACAATTTAATTTTTTGAACAAAATATTGTTTAAACTAACTTACCATCAATATGACTCCAAGCAACATCAGAGACACTAAAATCTAAATTCAGTTTACGTCCAACTCGAAGGTTAAATTTCTCTGTGAAATCATCTTCTTCTACAGTGTATATCTTAAAAACTAAAATTAATATTAGGAATCTTTTAATGATGTCTTATTTTTTGCTTTTAATGATGTCTTATTTTTTCTTTTAATGATGTCTTATTTTTATCATGCTATGCAGTTTTCTCATGTAAGGAAAGACAACAACAAAAAATCCTTGAGCAGTCATAATTGAACTTTTCACATGAGTGAAATATATCCACATCTTGGATTCATAATGTTTAGTTATGTTTTAAAGGTTATTAGCCTTTATTCAAGCTGCCATCTCCTGAATAAGTGCTTTGTTAGTGCTATAAATAATTATATTAGTTAATGGGTTGTTTAGTAGCAAAACCAACTATTTTTGCATTATGAATTCACTGATCATCTGTTGAAAAAAAAATTATTTCTGTAGACTTGGCAACTTGATGTTTTGGTCTTTTGTATGTTATCAACTTGCATATTTCATAGTTGTCTCCTCTGTTTGATGAGTAATGTACATTTTGATTAAAGATTAAACATTTCTGCAATTTGATTAAATCAATACCAGATTTTTGTGACTCTGCCGATTCAGAATGATAAATAATATCATCATGTTATCACAATAATGAATATCACTGTTCGAAATTCTCAGTAATTTACCCATTTCTAGTTAACATTATTGTTCAGGGGCCCGCAGAAGCCTGCCTCCGGGTATGGGATTTTCTCGCTGCTTTGAAGACCCATTGGTGACCTTGGGCTTCTATCTACTCTTTGGTCACGTTGTTGTCTCTTTGACACATTCCTTGTTTCCATTTTCTATTCTATATCAATTATTTAATTCATAAAGGCTTATTTATAGATGATACTGAAAATATTGAAACTTAGAGGAATAATTTCCCACTCATACATACCATTTCTACCTGCTACAACTACCCTTGAAAAATCTCTGTTGAGATCCATGGCATTGACAGCTCCTTCACAATTAATCCCATAGCTGTTATGTGGATTATTGATAGATACTAAAACAAAAAAGATATTTAACTAGCTTTAACTAACATTTGAAGCTTTTCAACACTAAAGATAGACTTCTTTTTTTCTCTCCATTCAAGTAAGAAATGTGTTCCAGTGCTGAATAAAAATTCGAATTATTTAACATATGATTTTTTTTTTAATCTGTAAATTTATTTTTTTGATACAATACATTACAAGACTTAAGGTACACAGACAAGGTTTAATTGTGTCGTCTTATATGCTTTAAAATTACACAAATATTATAGATTGTTTTACTTTCGACATCTTCTAGTATCAGGTCTATTGGTTACTCGTTAGGTCTTTGATGACTTACAAAGATTGAGCTGATGTACATTTCATCCATGGTAAGTGAGATATGTAATTTCTTCAATAATACACAAAATAATCACACTTTTCACCCAAGAACTTTCTTTTTGTCAAATTCTATTACATTCCTAAGCGTTTAAAATGTTTAAAAATTACTTCTCACAAAAATAAGAATAAGTGCACATTCACTTGCCATTGAAACTGGGAGATACAGTAAACCAAAAACTTTAGCAATGGAAAGATTTTGCAAAATCTTGTGGAGATAAAGTAGCAGATGAAGTGCACTTACTTTTATATTGTCCCCTATATAAAAACCTTCGAGAGAAGTTTGATATTTTCCAAAATTTGATTAAAGATGTTGATATAAAATCAGTAATCTATTTACTTAATCCAAATAATTTGGCTAAGGCCAAACAAATATGTAATTATTTGAGACAAGCTTTTGAAGTCGTGTCAGTTGTTTTACAAAAGTTGTGAAAGTACTATACAAAAAAAATTAGACTTTTAGTTAAATATATTATCATTCATTGTCATTAATTTTCTCGTGTTATGCATTGTTTGATTTACGTTATTTGACATGTTGTATATGTCATGTATGTTGTCAATGGGATTACGCAATTTATCATATGTGCTTTATCTAATAAAATATTTGAATTTAAAATGTTTGATGGTAAAGTTTGACGCCGTAACAGGACATATGATGTCATACTGGTATGTCACAAAATACAAGATCCAAGACTTGTGGAATTTTTTATTTAATAAAATGAGAATGTTTACAATAAGAGAAATAGGTTTAACAACTCGTGAGAATTGAATATGGCTTGATTTCAACTCTTGTTATTCAATTTAAATAGTAATAATAAACTCGCCACAGGCTCGTTAATTATCATATTGAAATTAAGTAACTCAAGTTGATATCAAGCGATATCCAATTCTCACTTTTGAAACCTATAAATATACATTTAGCTTTTTTTTTTAATACTTAAGAAAAATTTACCATGTAGCTAGGTTTAAGTTCCTTAGATATTCAACCTTAGAACTGAAAATACCATTTTTTTCTTTCTCAACACCAAATTCATTAATTAAACTCTTAATCTGTGTCAGCTGCAAATAACAATTTTATACAAACTTATCCTTTCAAAGATATATTGCATTTGCATATACACTATTTATTTTAAATTAGCTACATACCTCGGTCATGTACAGCTTTAGTGACATTATGCATAACTGACATTTTCTGTAGATGGCAACTATTTCATTCTGTTTCTCTGTTAATTTCTGTAATTATATATTAGAATCAACCAAATATTTTTGTTTTGACCTTTACAATTTTCATACATCTTTCTAGCACAAAACAGGCATCATTTTTGGCCCTTCGAATTCACAAATTAAAAAGTATTATTAATCTACCAAATAACTTCCTTGTCAAAAATATGTACTACCTTCTTGTGTGTTCTATCAAACGGGCCCAAATGAGTGGTAAATAGTTATAAAGTTTTAGAGATAAACTGAACCAAATACATCATGTTCCTGAGTCAACTACCAAATATGCACTCCCCCTGGAGCAGCTGGATACAACCGCAAAGGTCGAACTCTGAACAGTTGGGCAAGTATGGACACAATATTCAAGCTTGATACAGCTCTGAATCTGGATAGTGATTAAATATTTGACACATTATAGATTTCTGACATAGTATAAATGTGGTCAGATTACTTAAAAATTTGAAATTGGACATTTAATCTACTTAATGGTCCAATATCCAAAATCTGATTCCATGGTTAGATTCAGCATATAAAAAAAAAAACATGAATTCAAAGTTTAATTTTGGACCCTTTGGACCTTAATATGGACTAATTTGAAAACAGGGCCCAAAATATAAAATCTGAATGCACAGTTAGATTCAGCATATCACAGAACCACAAGAATTCAGTTTTTGATGAAGTCTAATTTTGGACCCTTTGGACCTCAATGTAGACCTATTCAAAAATGTCCAAATATCCAATATAGTAATACATGGTAAAAACCTCAAACAATTCAAGACTTTAAATTAATCCTCATTGAAATTGGTTAAAAGATTTGTATTTATTTTCAATTGAGATTTCTTGCTGTTATGCAATACTTTGCTGTTGCACAATACTTAGTAAATCTGTTTACAAACTAAGTATAATAATTTACACACCCTGTTTGGTGTGTATCTCCTGCCATATCAGTATTTGTTGTTTCTTTATATAGATCAGAAATAATTTAAGTTAGAACCAGCTTAGCCAGTATTAAAAAAGTATTTTTTTTGGCCCCTATTTGTCCTCAACGATTAAAGCCACAACCCACAAAATAGACCCCAACCTTCTGTGTGTGGGTATGGAACTTTGTGGTACAATTTCACAGAGATCCATTGACTGATACTTAAGTATTTGTCAGGAAACCAGAAAAACCTTGTTCCTCCCCCCCTTTTTGCCCCTTATTCCTTAACGGTTTGAGCCATAACCCCCAAAGTCAAACCCAACCTTCCCTTTGTAGAATGGAACCTTGTGTTTCAATTTCATAGAGATCCATAGACTAATACTTAATTAATTGTCCATTTTCCGTCCTTTTTTGCCCTTAATTACTGAATGGTTTGGGCCATAACCCCCAAAGTCAATCCCAACCTTCCCTTTGTGGTATGGAACCTTGTGGTACAATTTCATAGAAATCAATACACTTATACACAAGTTATTGTCCAGAAACTAGAAAAATGCCTTTTTTGGTCCCTTTTTGACCCCTAATTCCAAAACAGTTGGGACCATATCTCCCAAAATCAATCCCAACCTTCCTTTTGTGCTTAAATTTCATAGAGATCCATTCACTTATACTAAAGTAATTGTCCGGAAACCAAATGTCTTCGGACGACGACGACGACATGATAGCAATATATGAATGCAAATTTTTTGCAGTTGTATAAAAACCCATTTGAATTAACTTTGTTATATTTAGTTTTTGTTTTGCTTACTCATGTAATTTCAGGTGAAGATATTCAGAGCAGATGCTCGAGTTCAGTAATGGTTAGTGTTCAAATTTTTCTATTTAATCATATTATTATAATATGTTTGTCAACATCAGATCATGTCAAAATGTTTTATTATTAGATTAAGGGGAGAAAATTACAATAACAGCTTAGTTCATTTAGGCAATGTAAATTCTTGATCATGTTGATTGCCTGAGAAAAATTTCTTTCAAGAGGGAAAAGAAATTTGTTTATATTGAAAATAATAAAAATAATAATAAAACAACATTGACTTAAAAAAAAAACACCAAATCCCTGTCATATGTTATAGATTTTTTTTTAATTAAAGTTGAAAAACTGTTTGCATCAAAAATAAACACATGTCCCTTCACAAGATGAATGAACAGTGTCCTTGTAGTAATTATTCCACCTTTTTTAGATTATGTGATTTATAAATTGATATTTTTATTATAGATAAAATACTGTTTGATTTTTATCATTTAATGTGAAATGATTAATGCTTTATATAACTTATTATAAGAGATTTATGTTCATGTTTATTCTTTTGTCTAAAAAGACATATATATTTTATATTTTATTTTACACTGTCTTGATTTGTAAATATTTATTTGGTATATATTGTCTTGTAAGTCAGATGTTTGGCTGGATATTGATTGTTTTGTTATGTACGTATATTGTGTATGAATTCTTTTTATTGCAATCAATATGTGACACTTTAATAAACAAATCTATATAAATTTATATTCCATTTTCAGTCATTTTTCCAGTTGTATAAATATATACATGTTGCATATTCTTTAATCATGTATCATATGTAAACCATGTTAATTATATTGTTAACAAAAAGTATATAACCAATTATTTTTCTAGCAATCTGAGCTAAGGGTAGCAAATGTAATTAGTGTCATCTACTAATCAACATCAAAGACATTTGTTGTTTGATATGCAATCAGTGGCACCTGCCAATCTTTAATGACACAGGATTCAGTCTGCATTATCCATATATATTTGAAGCTAAATGTGTCCAGTGCATCATTGTGTGAAAACTAAATGGTTTGTTATATCAGGTATGTACATGTATTGTAACATAAAGTGCTCAATTCTTCAAATTTCCAATAGACAAAGAATCTTGTTTAACTATTTAAAAGGAGATTTTTTTTACCATTTGATATTTTCCTTGAGTGAGGGGACAAGACATTTTTTTCTGCTTGCGCATATTTATCATATATATTCAGTCATTGCTAGGAAACAGTACTTATTCTTGAAGACAATACTGTATTTATGTTTTTTATTTCATGTAAAACAAAACAAAATTGTTGGTATGAATTTTTGTTTTAAATCTGACTTTGGAAAGATTATTCATATTTGAAATGTGATGGCATCTATTTTCAAAATATTACTACAAACCTCCCACTTAATATGATTGCACATGAAATTTCAAATATCATATGCCAAGCTTGCAAGAATCTCTGAGCAGTAACAATTTATCTATCCTGGCATAAAGGCACACTTTCTGCTTTGTGTCAGTCAGACAATGAGCAAAGCCTCCAAAAGACTATTTTTTATATCAATTTGTACCACTGATCACTATTGAAATTGGTTAGTTATGCCAAAATTATATTATCAAACAATTGGGAAAAGTTTTATTGCATGGGTGAAAAATATGATGACAATACCATTTTACGTATACTTTCACATTTTATGCAAAATGACTATTGAATAAGAAACAAAGATATTCCTTTAATTATTTCTGTAAACATTTGTACATTAGCATCATAACAAGGAATTGCACAGTACCAAAACCTTTCAATATTGGTAGGGATATATTTGTTCGTGTGTCAGAACCACAGGCACTTGTTTCTATCCCTGGGAAGGTCGACTATCCATATATTATATAGAAACAAGTACCTGTGGTCAGAACACATTATCATATATACGTATATCTTATTTGCTTCTTTGAAATATGTTTCATGTAAAATGTTCTTTTAATAAGGTAAAGACTAGTTTAGAATACATTTTTGTTTGCTTTCTCTTTTCAAGGTTCAGTAACGTAAGACATACTGACCTAATCTTCTTGGCAGAGGATACTTTCACTTTGTGGAAAAAAACACCTGGTGGGTACTACGTCATCAAATTCTGTGCTGTAAAAGTTAGTCCGTTTCCGGTTGTAGCTGATTTCGGAGTTAAGTACAAGGGGGAAATAATTACCAGAAATGAGTTTCAAAGCACCTCAGAGATCCCCCTTTCATAGAAACTCTCCAAATCATACGTATTGTAATGACCAAGGGCGCACAACCTTCAATGGTCATCAAGTGTCAGCTAACAGCGCAGGCGCTTTACCAGCGTGGGGGAGTCCTGCTGTAAGTTGTAGTCCAAGAGGCAACAGACCACAGAGAACTCCCTATAACCAGTACAGTCCTCGAGGAAATGACTTCTCACACAATTCACAGTTTAACAACAGTCCTAGAGGAAACAGTGCACAAAATAAACCCTATAATATGAGTCCTAGAAATAATTCATCTAGCACACCAAGTACAACACACAATAAATTTTCTAGTCCAAATGATGTCTTTAAAACTCCACAGTCACCTCTAAACAGAAGTTATTCATCACCAGGAGCATATAACAGTTTCAATAGTAGTGGGAAAAGATCTTACAATCAACGTTTTCAGCAGGTATATATATATTGTTTTCAAGATTTATCTGCACTGAACAACCTCTTAATTATCATTTTGTTGCCAATGTTGGGTTTGTCTTTTCAAGGTTGAGTAACAAAAAGGAATACTGAAAGGCCAAGGATTTATTTAGTAAGTATCTTGCTATATAAATCCTTGGTAAGGCTATTTTAATTTTTGCTGTGATTTACATATAAATAAGAAGATGTGGTATGAGTGCCAATGAGACAACTCTCCATCCAAGTCACAATATAAAAAGTAAATTACAGGTCAAAGTATGGCCTTCAACACAGAGCCTTGGCTCACACCGAACAGCAAGCTATAAAGGGCTCCAAAATGACTAGTGTAAAACAATTCAAACAGGAAAACAAACGGTCTAATCTATATAAAAAACGAGATTGTCATGATTTTTATGATGTGGAAAAACTTTGATCAGTCTAAAAATATTGTTCACAAAAAATTTATACTTTATTGGTTAAAAAAAATTAACATCATTTAAACAGATGTAAAAAATGTCAGTAACTGTGAAGTCTTGTAAAAGATTTAGAGTCAAAATATTAAGGTAAATTAAAAAAAAAACTCTGTTTATGATAAACTAGAAAACATAAACTATCATCAACAACTCAATAATTTACTTGAAATCAGACATCACATTCATAAATAGGAATAAAAGTCTTGGCAATGAGCTACTGATTTTTGGTCTAGCAAGTTCATTTTAAGATGTAAATATGTCATGAAAAAGAAGTTCCTTCATTATATATGTTCCAAGTGGAAGAAATATTCTGGTATTTACTGTACCATACTAGATATACCAAACATACTCAAAATGTTGACTGAGCAGTATACCAAAAACAAATTGGACTATACTTGAAAACTTTTTAAATCTAAAAAATAACTCAACTTATTTATGTTGCATTTGACGTGGCGAAGAACTAGCCAGCATTTATTCTGGTATAATCTGACATTATGTGACGATACATATTTATACAATACAACAATAGCAAATAATAAATTAGGCTAACAGTAATGCCCATCTAGATTTTAGAAATAAATGTTCAAGATTCTATTACTTGAATCTTTTATTACCTCTGTCATTAGAGATGAATGCCTCCCCCCCCCCCCCCTTTCCCCCAAGGAAAAACCATAAAAAATAATTTTGGTCGAGGTAATGCGGACACCATTTCCAGAGAAAGCGCCATGTCCTGCGCTAAAAAAATGAATACAAAAATAATCAGTCACTAGTTATAACTATATATACAAGTCTAAATTGAAAACAACGTTCAAACCTATGATTGCGTTGGATAAAAACCGCAATTTTTATACGTGTGCATGCAAAACAAATTTCTTGTTAGAGGGGTCTAAATACAACACAAACAACATTTTCCAAAAGACCAAAAATGTGAAAAAGTATATTTTAACAAAACGCATTTGACTAATAGGTCGAACAACAAATGTTCTTAAACCCTGCTGACTGCCAATGGCGATTGCCAAATAAACGGATCACTGATGTAATAAATGGACCTTAATTATAAATTTAATACTTAACAGAAACCAATAAACTTGCGGCAAAGATGGTATACTGCAAACATAAGGTGCAAAGGTTTTTGTACACCATATCCGAATTTCGACAATTAATGTCTCTTCAGTGATGTTAGGAATCGAAACGGTATTTTGAAAGCCATACAATTAACTTCAATTTAGGATAGACTCTTGAATTTTGATGAGTCAAAATAGGATGAACGGATCATATAAACCTGAAGGCAAATATAATACAAGCCCAAACGAAAAAATATAAACAAGTCTAAATTGAAAACAACGTTCAAACCTATGATTGCGTTGGATAAAAACCGCAATTTTTATACATGTGCATGCAAAACAAATTTCTTGTTAGAGGGGTCTAAATACAGCACAAACAACATTTTCCAAAGACCAAAAAAGTAGAAAAGTATATTTTAACAAAACGCATTTGACTAACAGGTCGAACAACAAATGTTCTTTAACCCTGCTGACTGCCAATGGCGATTGCCAAATAAACGGATCACCGATGTAATAAATGGACCTTAATTATAAATTTAATACTAAACAGAAACCAATAAACTTGCCGCAAAGATGGTATACTGCAAACGAAAGGTGCAAAGGTTTTTGTACACCATATCCGAATTTCGACAATTAATGTCTCTTCAGTGATGTTAGGAATCGAAACGGTATTTTGAAAGCCATACAATTTACTTCAATTTAGGATAGACTCTTGAATTTTGATGAGTCAAAATAGGATGAACGGATCATATAAACCTGAAGGCAAATATAATACAAACCCAAACGAAAAAATATAAACAAGTCTAAATTGAAAACAACGTTCAAACCTATGATTGCGTTGGATAAAAACCGCAATTTTTATACATGTGCATGCAAAACAAATTTCTTGTTAGAGGGGTCTAAATACAGCACAAACAACATTTTCCAAAAGACCAAAAAAGTGAAAAAGTATATTTTAACAAAACGCATTTGACTAACAGGTCGAACAACAAATGTTCTTAAACCCTGCTGACTGCCAAACCTATGATTGCATTGGATAAATACCGCAATTTTTATACGTGTGCATTCAAAACAAATTTCTTGGTAGAGGGGTCTAAATGTATATATAAATATATTTGTCTGTCTTATATACTGTTACAATGTACTTGCTAAGGGATAAAATGTACTTTTTTTATACTGATGCGGTGTTATTTAGGACTGATAAAATATTCTGTAATTATGGTAATAAGTTGTTTGGAAACTCAATTTTGTGGCTGCTATTTAGACGTATTATAATTATGTAATTGATTCCTTATTATTTGTCCAGTGTAAACTGATTTGATTGATGATCTTCCGTGTGAGATGTAAAATTAATCTGAAATTTTAACACTTTACAGAATTCAAGACGTGGCGGAATTTTTACACAAAGAGGTGGCAGTTCCATAGAGAACTATTATCATTATAGTATGATTGAAGACCCATGGAAAAACACACCCCCAGTACCTGTAACAACAAGGTCTTGATAAAGAAAGTATTTTATTCAAAATGTTCCTTTGCTTGGGTTTTTAGATAGGCAGCAGGCCTGTAATTGTGTCAAACATCTGTCACATAGTTGCATTAACCTTGATGAAGCAAAAACATAATATCTAGTGTATAGTTTGGAGAAAAAAAAGAGAAAAGTAAACACTATGAATATTCCATCATTTTATGAGTTGAATAGCTAGGAATTAACAGGCAGCTGAATTTTACTATTTTATTAGAAAATTTATATTGTTTTATAAAACTGAAGAATAATTTTGTTGAAGACATGAAAATATTGAACTTTTAGCTGTAAAATGTATTTTATATTTATATGAAAATTTAAATTGTTATCATTCAGGTTGTTTTTATAATAAACTACATGTATAACACTAAGCATATGTAATTGATTTTGATACTAAAATTTTCATTGATGTTTAATGTGTTGGAAATTTTTAATTTCTTTTAAAGCTTTAGTAAAATTTCACATATTCGGGTACTATAATGTCTGACAAGATTTTGTGAGATCGATGAAGCTGGTCTTAAAATGATCAAATTGCATTTTTATGATTCTTTTTTGAGGAATGCACTGTTTTGATATTGAACACATTCTCTGTAAAGAACAGGCAAATTAAACCTTTCATACTTTTTGTGTCATTGATGAAACTATATGAACTCATCCAGTGTCAAGTTTCATGTTCTGCTACTTCGTCAAAATTATCTCCCCATTAGGCATTACACCACCTAATTTTTCAATCGTAAAAACTAGAAGCCATTGTAGGGATGATGTGCTGTAAATTTAGCTCTTTAAAACAGATAAATGTATCCACATAAAAACAGATAAATGTATACACATAAAAACAGATAAATGTATCCACATAAAATCATGAACCTTACATGACTATTGTATTTTAAAAGACAAATGTATCTAATAGCTATTAAACATCATTTAATGTACATTTAGGCCTTTCGTCAACTTAAAATTATTTTGTCTAATTGGTTGTCATGGGGAATTTTGATGTAAACAATTATCAAACCAAAGGTAGTGCTAGGATAACAAAAGTCTATACATCTGTAATCCTTATTGGCAAAGTTTCCAATATCTCATATTAAAGCAAAGTTAGGTGATAGAAATGGTAGGGTTTCAAATGTCTATAAAATTATTGGCATTATAGAGCAAATTGACCCTCTTAAAGCTTTAATTTATTAAATATTATTACAATAATACATTGTACATATGTATTTATAGCAAAATCATTTCTTAAAATACTGCAACAACTTTCATTCTGATTAAATAAGTGGAATTGTCATAAAGTGCGTTTAACTGAACCATGGTATAGCAAATATTCAATTCCCTCACAAAATCTTATAATACATGCTGTAAAAATGTTACATAAATATATATTTATCTGTTTTATGTTTTAACCAGGCTTTGTTGTTAACCAAAAAATTTGATTTTGCTTTTTCTGCAAATTACATGCAGAACTGAAAGAACTTTTACTCTTTATTTTGCATTTTTGTTTCAAATATCTTCACCTTTGAAATAACTGAACCAATTTTGAACAAAGTTGACAGAGTTTAGATTTTTTGTGAAAGTATTACAATCATTTAATTTAACCAGCATTATTTCATGACTTAAAATTAAGATTGAATAAAGTTTTAATATGCACATAATAGATTGATTGATAGGTGTTGCCTATCTTGAAAACTGTGTTTGATAGGAAAAATCTGACAAAAGCAGAAGTGCTTGTAAATCCATAAAAAAATGTCATATGTTTTCTTGTATTCATTGCCCTATAATGATGGTTTTTCATTAACTCTAGCATTTTTTTAATATAATCTTGTGAATAATAATTGATAAAGATGTCCTGAAGAACAGTTGTAATTTTTGCATGCATAAATCCCAGAAGCAGCATGTTTGTCTGCCTTTGCAACTGCTTTCAAATTCACAAAGCTGATTTGAAGACATTAGTTATTAATTTTCCATAAATTTTGGAAACCTATCATTTGCAAAGTTGGGAAATTAAACACACGCTATTTGCACTATTATCTCCCCCTACTTCTGTATTGTATGCCTTATATAGAAAAGTTAAGATTATTTATTTGTCTATTGAAATGAAGTCAAAATTTGCATTGTGCATTCAACATGTTTGAATGAAAGAGATGTCTATATTATGCTTAAATGTCGAGATAATATGTCAATGCAGTGGTTTGGACTATATTTTAAAAAAATTACACAATTTATTATTGCTATAGATATCAAAATTCTTGTTACCATGGTTACTATGTAACGGATTTTTTCAGTTGAAATATGCAAACACTGTTAAGAATTAAGAAATAAAAATAGAAATACATCATTTTCACCTCATGATTATGCCAAATAAAATTATTAGTCCAAACAAGGGGAAATAACTATGTTTGAACTTTTTTATTAATAAAAATTATATGATGTGATATTTTAACAAATGTTAAAATCAGTAACAAAAACAAAGAGGAAATTTTGTGCCACTTTATGAGATACCCATGTTATTTTGAAGAACTTATAAATGGTAAATTTAAGCATAGTTTAAGTTGGCTAAAGTATGTCAATTTAAAAAAAAAACTTGATTGCAGTATGTCAGTGCATTTTTTCAAACATGTTGTGGTAGGCTCCTTGCGAAGTTTGGGCCAGTCAGTCCTAATACAGATTTTTATCCATGTGTTTCTATGTATATTTTATACTGAGCAAATTTCAAAATTTTGAGTCCCAAGTGAAGTGGCAAGTGTAGGAAGTTATCCATAATGATTGAGACCATAAATCATGATGTGACAAAAATAGTTTCAATCAAATTTGCCAATGGGACCCTAAAGACTGTGTATTTTCAAATTTTAAACCCACAGATCTTTGGACAAACAGTAATAAAGACTTGACAGATTTAAATGCCTGCTTACAGTAGAAGAGGGGCATTATGTTTTCAGGTATGTGGGTCTGTCCGTCCATTAGTCTGTACATCTATCCCATATCAGGTTAAATTTTATGTTTATAATAAGTTAAAGTTTTGTTCAGGGTAGTTTGTGGACATAACAACTTGAAACTTAGTACAAATGTTCATTATTGGGTGAGCTGTTTAATATAATATATTAAGGTTTTGAGCAAAATATCATGGTTCTTTGAATATGGAAATGTGATAGTACCAGAAGAGCAAGGTGTCCTGTCGAAAAAAATTCTTCATTCATAGGATATATGTAAACAGAATATTTCTGGCATTTTACAGAATTTTTTTATGCCCCCACCGTAGCGGTGGGGGCATTAAGTTTTACCCTTGTCCGTCTGTACGTACGTACGTCCGTCCGTACGTCCCGAAATTGGTTTCCGTTCTCTAACTTGAGTTTGCCTCAACCAAATGTTATGAAACTTATACACAATGCTTATTACCACAAAATACAGATCAAGTTTGAATTTTGGTGGCGTCACTTTAACCGTTCTAGAGTTATGCCCCTTTATAAATGGAAAAATTGTAAAATTTTTAGTTTCCGTTCTCTAACTTAAGTTTGCCTCAACCAAATGTTATGAAACTTATACACAATGCTGATTACCACAAAACACAGATCAAGTTTGAATTTTGGTGGCGTCACTTTAACTGTTCTAGAGTTATGCCCCTTTATAAATGGAAAAATTGTAAAAATTTTAAGTTTCCGTTCTCTAACTTAAGTTTGCCTCAACCAAATGTTATGAAACTTATACACAATGCTTATTAGCACAAAACACAGATCAAGTTTGAATTTTGGTGGCGTCATTTTAACTGTTCTAGAGTAATGTCCCTTTATAAATGGAAAAATTGCAAAATTTTTATTTTTCTTCTTAATATCAAGTTATTTTTAAAATTGGAGTTATCTTCCTTTGTCCATGATTATAGTTGAATCAACTACAATCAATTCTTTATACAATGCAATGTTTAATTTTGACTTGCACTGATAAAACACAGATCTAGTTGAATTTGGGTAGTGTCACTTTAACCATTATTGAGTTATGCTCCTTTATAAATCGAAAGATTGCAAAATTTTTAGTTTCCATTCTGTAACTTAAGTTTGCCCCAACCAAACATTATGAAACCTATACACAATATTCATTACCACAAAACTAAGATCAAGTCCAAATTTTTTGTGTCCGTTTTCTAACTTTAGTATGCCTCAACCAAATGTTATGAAACTCATACACAATGCATATTACTACATAATACAGATTAAGTACGAAATAAGGTGCTGACACTTTTACCATTCTTGAGTTATGTCCCTTTATAAACATAAAAATTGCTGAAATTTTTAGTTTGTCTCAACCAAATGTTATGAAACTTATACACAACGGTTCTAGAGTTATGCATGTTTACAAATAGAAAAATTGCTGAATTTTTAGTTTCTGTTCTCAACTTAAGTTTGCCTCAACCAAATGTTATGAAACTTAAACACAATGCTTATTACCACAAAACTCGGATCAAGTTCAAATTTGGGTAGCGTCACTTTTACTGTTCTTCAGTTATGTCCCTTTATAACTATATGATATGCAAGCAGGGGCATCATCTGTGTCCACATGTGGACACTATCCACATATATTTTGTAATTTTTTTATTTTTCATGATGAAACATGTGAAATTACATATTACAGTATTAGACACAAATTGTAAAAAATTGAGTAAGATTGATCAAGTCATAAAGATATAATAAGATATAAATATTACAATTGATTTCGTTAATTAAAAGCTGCTTCTAACAAATGCCACTTCTGATCCATTTTTATAAGACCGCAAAAAATTTGGTATCACGTCCTCTTCCGAAGACATTTGGTTTCCGGACAATAACTTTAGTATTAGTAAATAGAAATCTATGAAATTTAAACATAAGGTTTATAACCACAAAAGGAAGGTTGGGATTGATTTTGGGGGTTATGGTCCCAACAGTTTAGGAATTAGGGGCCAAAAGGGGCCCAAATAAGCATTTTTCTAGTTTCATGACAATAACTTGTGGAACAGTGTATGGATCTCTCTGAAATTATACCACAAGTTTCCATACCACAAAGGGATGGTTTGGATTGGCTTTGGGGGGGTTATGACTCAAACCATTTAGGAATTAGGGGCAAAAAAGTGAGAAAAAACACGGGTGTCCTGGTAAATGGACAATTACTTAAGTACAAATTACAGTGTAAGGGAGGTAATTCAAACACAAATTTGAATTACCTCCCTTACACTGCTTTTAAATTATTTATTAAGAATTTTTGTATTGTCTTGAGGTGATTAGCTGTCAATTCATTTTTAGAAGTTACTATTTTAATAATTTTAAAAATGCTGATTAAGGTAAATTAATTTTAGCTATGATTATGTATGTCATTTTCTATTTTAAGACTTTTATGATGTATTTAAATGGGTTATTATGGTTGCAAACTCCATTGGAAATTTGAATTGAAAAATATGACCATGACTGAGGGAAATAATTTTCTTTTGAAAAAGGGGGGGGGGGGGGGGTAAAAAAATTTGGGGGGGGGGGGTACAAAAAAATTGGTGGGGGGGTCAATTTTTTCTCCTCAAGATTTCAGAAATCAAAAAGAAAATCCTTCATTTTTTTTTTTTTTTTTGAAAAAAGGGGGGGAGGTCAATTCGCAACAGCATAGTGTATTGCACAAAAGCAAAAAATTGAATATAAATTCAAATCATATAACCAATTCTAAGTTCTTTGACTACAATTATTCTGTGTCAGAAACCTTTTATGTGTCAAATATTGAATTACAATCCAAATTCAGACCTGTATCAAGTGCCAATATTGTGTCCATTTTTGCCCCAACTGTTCAGGGTTGGACCTCTGCGGTCGTATCCAGCTGCGCTCAGCGAAGCAATTTATTACAGAGTATATTTCTATATTAATCCAATATTTTGTGGGCAATATGTTCTTACATCTACATTTGTATATATAGTATTTAAATAACAACAAAATATTATTAACTGTTTTACAGTTGACAAAATCCTCAGACACACCTAAAATGACTTCTTTTTCACTGAAAGGCAAGAGAATGTCATAATTTTTAATCCAGTCTATAATGGATAGCCAGAAATTTTGTGTAACATTACATTCCCAAAAAATGTGAAAAATATTTTCTCTAATTTCTGAACAAAATATATAGTTCAGTTTCTTTTAATTTACATTTCAATAAAAATGAATAACATGGTAGAATCCTATGAACAATCTTAAAACGAAATTCTGGTTATAATAAAAGGCATGGAATAAATAGTATTCCAATCTTCAATCTGTATATTTAAATCTATTTCCCATTTTACAGAATTGGTTGATTTTGAGATCCTAACATTCACTTATTCCACATTTAAGATGACATATTTCAACCACAATGAATACTTCTAGCAAAGGTAATCACAATTGGATAAAATTAATGAATTTTACTGTTGACCCCTGTGAGACTTGCATTACAAAAATTAAAAAAACAAAAATATCGAAATCCATTGAATATTCAAAACAGAAAGTTTTTTGCCTATTGTTCTCAGAATGCCATGAAAGAAATTTTTTGTGCTATCATTCAAAAAGGTACAAAGGGTATGGTTATTGTGTTGTGCATTTTATTATGGCCACAGGGCAAAATGTTGGGAGGGAGGGCAGACATAGTGTTTTACCCCTGTCCATCTGTCCAACATGGAGTATATGGGTTGTCCCGCCAACTCCTACAGTTTTCCAGAAAATAGTTTTATTTTATTTAGATGGTTAGTACATATACTAAAGGTGTGAATATTGTCAGGATTTTAATTTTCTTTAAATTTTCACATATGACAGGTTGTTGAATTTTGTCTTTTTTGGCGAAATTGGACATGCTGAGTATATTGTTTGTCCAGCTACTCCTACAAGCTAAAACTTTAATCATGCTAGTGTTCATACAAAAATTATTGCAGAGGCATGAAATGTGTCTACTGGTAAAAAGACACAACCCTTTTAAGTTGTCCTCCAACATCACTGTTTTTAAACCAGTGGAGGCATCATCTTTGTCTACATGGCAATGCTTGTATATTTACTATTCTAATTAAGCAAGCATAAATTTAGAGAAATAAAATAATGCTTTTCGATAAAATGTACTTGCCCAAGACTTTCAATACTTGGTTATGGATCCAAATACTCTTAAAAAAAATTCCTGAAACAACAAGATAGACTGTTGTATAAAAGCTATATGTACACTGCAGAGAAACTTTTGTAGTCTTTTGCAAGCCATTTCTGAAAACCGGAATTGAACTCTTAAATCTTAATTTGATACAAAGTATGACTTTAATAAGTTTTTCATCACCTTGCTGAAAAGATTTTTCAATATTTTTTTTGTGTATGGATCTAA